TAAATGAAAAATATAAAGTAATCATAATGATCTGCAAAAAAAAAACAGCAAAATATGATTATTTAACTAATTATTATTCCAAACGATTGATGAAGGTTAATTATTTAATTTACCTTTGTTATTATGCCAAAAGATTAGTAATCAATTAATTAATCATCAGATCTTTACTAAAAAAATAGTAAAAGTAAGATATATTTAATCATTGTTTTATCAAGGGATTATTAAAGTATAATAATTTTTATCATCATCATCGTTTAGTCAAATTATTAAAATATAATCGTTTAATTCAAAGTCTATGTTTTACGGTCGTTATTGCTCATTATGTTTAAGGAATCATCATAATTGTGATACTCATCATAGTTAGATAACGAGAAATTAGTATTTTTTTTTTATAAAGTTTGGTTATTTTTAATTTTAAAAAAATCAACCCTTTTGATCGAATAGCGTCAAACAATTTTGTCTGAAATAAGTTAAAAAAATGTATGTGATAAACACATTAAAAAATTTCGCAAAGATTCTGCAAAAAAAATGAACTAAGCTTTCACTAAAGCTTATTTTTTGCGCAAGTCTGCATTATTTTTTATGATCTACATAAAAACATGGATACTTTATCGAAAACATATTTTTAAACTTTTCAAGCCGCTTGATTTTGTAATAAAAATAATAAAATTATATGTCTTGTTTTAAAGTGAAAAAAGATAAAGTTTCATTATGCTCTTAAAATGAAATAGGATAGAAATTTATTTTTCATCGAAACGGAGTAATCTAAAAACTCGTTAAATCTCGCTTTACTCAAAAGCTATACGAGTATATATAAAAAAAGTCTTATCTGCTAAAAAAAAAGAGAGTTTTTTTTCGACTTTTATGAGCGGCTGTAAGCTGTAAATGTTTTTATCTCGGTTTTAAAGGGCAAATTATCTCTGCGTTAATTTGATTATAAATTTCGGAAAATTATTCCTATAAACACAATTTTTCGTTTTACTAATGAATAAATTGCTTAAGCTAAGAACATAATGGAATCGTAAGTTAATTGTGAAGATTTTGAATTGTTATGAACCACTTTAATCCAGCAAATGTTTACGAATATTCGATGCATTAATTTCTTGAAACATTAATTTTCCATTAGTAAAATATTAGGTGGAATATTATAATCAAGTAAAGTATTATTTATGTTTTAGACTTAAAATATACTAAAAAATATTTTAATTTGAAATATAAGGGATACATTTCACTTTTAAGAAATATATCTGAGTTTATTTATTTCATCAATCGCAATTTTCATTGTATTTGAAACTTTCAATGAGTTATATTTCAATAAAACTAAAAAATTTACAGATACAACTCTATAATAAAGGAATAAAAGTAAGAATAAATTTTTAAAAAATTAGCCCACGCTTTCCAATTCCCGAACTGATTTTCATTCATCATTGTTTTTTTTCTGAAACAACAATATTTTCCGCAAAAACACAGAGCATTTTAATTTTGAAATTTAATAAGTAATTTCTTCGTTGACGTATTTCATAAAAATTCAAATCGGCAATCGCTCTTTATTAAGTTTTAATTTTTTTATTTTTAAAATTTTACTATAAGTGTTATGATTTATGTCTTTCAATGCTTAATTTCATTCTCTTTCTTTCTTTTATTTTTATTTTTTTATTTTTTGTTACTTTTGATTCACATCTACTCGAGCGCGAGTTTATAAAATAAAGAAATGAAATAAAGATCTCGTGTGAAAGAAATATGAATTTTCTGCAACAATTGGATATAATATAAAAAAAACACAACTACTTCCCCTTAGTAGGAATAACATTTACCATGACGCAATGCTAAATTCTATGCCACTATCCACATAAATGCCACTATCCACATAAATCAATTATTAATCAAAAATCGAATATCAATTACTTTTCTTTATAATGCAATAAAATCTGGCGAGCAGCTATTTAAACGATCAAACACTTCGTTTGTTTATTTGTGGCTTGAAGTTAGGCTAGCAGAAAATGCCGTTCATGGGTTAAATTTAGTAGGAATAACACTACCTGTGACGTAGGCTATAGTATACCCAATTGATAAATGACCAATATTTAAAGCATAAAAGTTTTTTAAAAAAAATAATCAAAAGGCACTTAAATTTGCAATAACTTTCAAGCAAATGGGAATTAAAAAAAAAAAAAAAAAAAAAAAAAAAAAAAAAAAAAAAAAATTTTTNAAAAAAAAAAAAAAAAAAAAAAAAAAAAAAAAAAAAAAAAACATTTGATACTCGTTAAAAAAAACTAACGGAACGTGGATAGACGAACGTGTTTTTTTTGAAGTTATACTTCTTATGCGACTTCCAACAAGGTTGCGTTAAACGTTTAACGCTACATTGTTATTGGCGGGAATTCACGTGGTAGGATCCAGTTTTCCCTCATTCATTTCCATATTGTTTAGGTTGTCATCAGCACAAAATTAACAATAGNACCAAGGTGGCGTTAAACGTTTAACGCTACATTTTTATTGGCGGGAATTCACGTGGTCGGATCCAGTTTTCCCTCATTCATTTCCATATTGTTTTGGTTCTCACTAGCATAAAAATAATAAAAGTCACAAAAGTATTGCTTTCTATAAATATTTTTTTAGTTTGATTTGATACACATACAATTTTATAGGGTATTATTTTTTATTTTCAAATTTAGTGGATAACAATTGTGAAAAATTAGTGAAAACAATCCCACGGACAATGCGACGGATTTAAGGTTATGTCAAGGTACGTCTCCAGTGAATATCAATTGACTGTTAGGTTTTCTCTTTTGAAATTACATTATGACGCATTCACATACATTATTAATACAAATGCATTTTCCATGGCGAGACGATGAGGCAACCACAAGCACTTCCACTGGTTCAAGAGGTCCACGAGGGGAAAATGCACAATATTACCGTTATTACAGAGCACGGATGCGAGCGGAGCAGGAAAAAGAGTCGTTGAATAGAACTAGTGATCCTTCTACGACTGCTGATTCTTCTACAATTAACGTCGCAGGTTACGAAGTTTAACTTCTTACTCGTGGAGGGACTCCACGCACAATTTTTTTTTTATTTTAAGTTCAACAGTTAAAAATTTTTGAGCTTATTCCATTGAACTACTACACTTTAATCCGGATCCCTTTTATCACACCTTCATAGCTTCAAGTTTATAAGTCTTATAGAGTTTGAGCAACAGAGCAATATACAAAACTAAAAATAAAAAAAAAGAGAGAGAAATTTTCAAAAAAGCACCTCAAATTGCAATAACTTTCGGGCAAATTGGAATCCAGAAAAATACCTCTTGCATACGATAAAAGCACATGGTCCTATGTAATCAGTAATGCGCATTGACCGCCTTTATTTCCCAGACTCGTTGATCAGAAAAAGTCGACAGAGTTTCTGATCGATTTATCATATCAAATATAAATTTACTATCAAGTTTCTATGCATATGTTAGTATTATTTTAAGGTCGTACCGGGATCGAACACCAGTTCCTCACAATAACTGCTCAATGTCGAGATGACTGTGCCACAGCGGCTCATGAAATAGTTAATAATTCAGCAGAAAAAGAGGGTTTAATGGAGCAAGAGTTGAATTTAAGCAACATTCTAAGTTTGTCGATCAAACGGAGACGGCTCACTTGGATAGTTCGAACTTATATTTAAGAAAATTGGATTAATTCAAGGATTCAAATCTTTTTAGTATTTAAAAGTTCCGATTCTATATTTCATTTTTCTAATTAGATCAGAAAAATAATTTAATATTCTTTCTCTATATATATGAATGACTTCTTAAAATATCGGACTTCAAGTCATTTTAAAAAGATTGATGATGTTTTTTCCTGTTTCTACTAAATTGCCCGTTTATGAGACAAAAAAAAAAAAATACTCTGTACTGGTAAAGACATTTAAAAATCAGTTTCTTAAGTAACTTCATATTTTTCAATAAATAAAAAGCAACTGAAAGAAATGATTTATACATCCGAAGTAAACGCTCGTTTGGAGTCTTTTGAAATTTAATACATTTTCAGAAAAGGGGGTAGGGAGTTGAAGGGTTTTTTAGAAAAGTCCCTGTCAACGCTTATCAGAAGAAGAAGAAGTAAAGAAAGAAAAAAAACATGGCTTTTAAAATAGCCCACTCCATCTTTTGAAAAGCGGGGCGTGAAAAATTCGAGAAACGAAAAATTGAATCGCGCTCCTTTTCGTAAGTGATCCATCATAAGTCAGAAGACAGAACCTTATTGCTAGGATCGCCTCTAATTATGACGTCACGAAAGTAAAAAGATACTTCCTTTTTTTAAGTCAAGCTCTGAGCTCTATTGATGCCTCAATAGTGACAGAATGAATATCGTCTGCGTCTTTTGGTTGTTGATCAATGGAGGATATTTTGCTTTTACGGAAGCACTTGGAAATGCAGGTAATTTATTAGATTTTTTAGAGAAATATATTCTATAACTCCAAGCACTTGTGTTTATGATATTTTCGTTTTTATCATTTCAAACATTTAATTACAATTGGTATTATTATTTATAACTAAAATGGCAGTGGTGGCAAAAGATAATAATTTTTTTTTTTTATCTTTTGTAAATTCTAGTGTTGATTTAGATTAGAACTCTAGATTTTAGAATTCAAAAAAATAAACTTAAAAAGAAGTAAAATGCGGATTTCGAAATAATAAAAACGTAATTGTAAGGAAACGAGTTTTCTACTCAATAAATAAGATCAGTAATGATAAACGGATTTATTTGAGTTCGATGATTGAAAAAAATGTATTGTTCAAAAAGTAAAAAAGTTCTTTTTTCAATTTACTTTGTTTTCCTTTAAAAAACTGATTTTGTGAACATTTATTTTCATTACAATTATTATATTACTGCTCTTATTCATTCTCTTCATTCAAACCATTGCATATCATTTTTTTCCTACATTTCATAACAAATAAAACATGTTGTTTGTGATGCATCATGGTTCCTTATAATCATGCATATGGGCATATATTACAGGCAAAATATGAAACCTCCGCGCATTCTACCAAATACCTATAGACATATTACAGTATGATTCTATATGAACTGATGATTTTAGGCAAATTATTAAAAAAAAAGAATCTTTATACACTTTACTTAGACATAGTATATAAAACTTAAACCTTCTATAAAACGCTAAATGTTCTTTAGGTAAAATTTACGATAAGGCTATTATTTAAAAGACATAAATTCTTTATGAATGTAAATCAATTTTTCGAAAAAAAACTGAATACTACCATTAAAGAGGACTCTATATGTTTCCTGCACTGTGTAACACGCCAACATTCTTGCATTCACTGTGCAACACTGTGTAACACGCCAACATTCACTGTGTAACATTTTACCTAGACATAGTATATAAAACTTAGACCTTCTATAAAATGACAAATGTTCTTTAGGTAAAATTTACGATCAGTTATTATTTAAAAGACATAAATTCTTTATAAATGCAAATGCATTTTTCGAAAAAAAGCAAACTGAATACTACCATTAAAGAGGCCTCTATATGTTTCCTGCACTGTGTAACATGCCAACATTCTTGCATTCACTATGCAACACTGTGTAACACGCCAACATTCACTGTGTAACATTTTACCTAGACATAGTATATAAAACTTGGATCTTCTATAAAATGACAAATGTTCTTTAGGTAAAATTTACGATAAGGCTATTATTTAAAAGACATAAATTCTTTATAAATGCAAATACATTTTTCACAAGAAAACAAACTGAATACTACCATTAAAGAGGCCTCTATATGTTTCCTGCACTGTGTAACACGCCAACATTCTTACACTCACAGTGCAACACTGTGTAACACGCCAACATTCACTGTGTAATATTTTACCTAGACATAGTATATAAAACTTTGACCTTCTATAAAATGACAAATATTCTTTAGATAAAATTGACGATAAGGCTATTATTTAAAAGACTTAAATTCTTTATAAATGCAAATATATTTTTCGAAAAAAAACAACAACTGAATACTACCATTAAAGAGACCTCTATATGTTTCCTGCACTGTGTAACACTCCAACATTCTTTACCTAATTCTTTTATTGAATATTTAATGACTTTTGTACTCCTCTTGTTTGTTATTTAGCATTCTACAGAATGCCTAGACAATGTGAGAAATGTTTGATTATTTCATACTTAGCCTGCCAGTTTTCAGTATGCCGAAATAATTAATCCCGATGAAATTAAAATTATAAATTATTTAGTTATTTCAAAAAATAATTCAATAAAAATCCTCTTAATTTTCTTCCATAGATATTTTTATTAAAGAATTTGCTTAACATTTCGATTTTAAGAAAATAAAACTGAAGTAAGCAAAAATTTCAAATTATAATTTGAATAATGTATCTACTTCAATAAAAAATATTCTTTTTTAGTATAAATTTTCTAATAATTAAATATTTATTCACAAATTATTAAATTTTTATTCACTATTTTATTATTCACAATTTTTAAGAAAACTAAATTTATTTTTTAAAGAATTCATTAAATTAACTGAGTTTTATATTTATAATTACCGTGAATGTTGTCCTCTTACATTTGGTAAAAAATTAAATCTCGAAGAGTTTAATAAGTGTTGCAATTCAAGAGTTAAAAGAGCACTCTAAAAATAAATGTTAAGCAGTTTTAACTTAAATAAATCTAATTTAATTTATGAAGCATGGATCAATTATGATTTATATTTCTAAGTACTTATATTTCTAACTTCATGGGTAATATATTTCCATTCCTCATTTTTTCAACCTCCGGTTTTCATCCAATGTAAATCGATAGCTCAAGTGCCAGTTTTAATTAAAAATGTAACATTCTACCAAATATCTTTCTCATTTTTATTTCCATTCGTAACAATATGCATTTTGTAATGAAATCGATTTGTAATAGAAAAATATAATAAAAAATAAAATAATATGATAAAAAATATAATAAAAAAATAAAATAATATAATAAAAAATATAATAAAAAAATAAAATAAAATAATAAAATGAAATAATAAAAAATATAATAAAAAAACATAATAAATAAATAAATTTACTTCTTACAATCCTTTTTAAAAAGAAACTGTTTATTAAATTAGGTATTTATTTTAAAGTGCAACAAGCAGCTGTTTGAATACTTTATGTTAATTAAAGCGGATATTTATTTTCTAATATAATATTTTCTCTACAATAAACTCAGAATTTGTATTTCCAACATAAACAAAGAATTAAATTAGATTTACTGTTGCTCTAATGGTTATTCATAAATTCAATATTAATGAATAATTCATAAATTTTCATGTATTTTTGCAGTAATTTAACAGAAATCCCTAATACAAATATATTTAAACTGTTGAAAGCAGAATTTAAAAGTATATAACAAGTCTCCTTTCATGAAATTAAAATATTTATTTCATTGATATTCCAATTTATTTTGTCAACTAACGTTTGTAAACATTTAAAATGTTTTAATTATTAAACGGAATAAATATGTTTGTAAAAGAGAACTGCAAATGTTTCAAAATATTAATAATGTATGTATATTCAACGAGTTGCTGCAAAAGTAAATATTTCACAATGTTCTACAGAACTTAAAGCAGTATTTGAAATAATGAATCATTTTAGACGCATTTATTATTATCTTCGATTGTAAGCTATTTATTGGATTTGCAACTAAGTTCCCACTTTTTTTTCAAATTTTAATACTCCGCATGTCATTACATTTGTTTGGAATAATGTTTTAGATCATTCGAAAAAGAAGGTTAGGTAAATACCTGAATCTAAGTCTTTTTTTTTTCTTTTTTTTGGAATTAATTTATGTTAATTATTCGATCCTTAAAATGAATGTCTAGTTAAGAAAAATGAGTTTTTTCGATATCTCTTATTTGTTTTTCAGATATCTTTCGTTATATATGTAGATTAGGTATGTTCGATATCTCTTTTTTGTTTTTCTTCGAAGGTGTTGTTCTCGTATGAAATTATGGTATTTTGTGAACAATATGTTATTTTGATAACTAATTCAAGGTGGTAACAGAAAATGCAGCTTTATAGTCACTTTTCAAAAATTAGATCACAATTGCTTTTCATATTCACTTTCATATCACACTTTGACTTTTTCTTCTCGACGTTTTGCACCATTTTCAGAATTAGACCGTAAGGGAAGCTGGCTGAAGTTGGACTTAAATACTTTTTTAACCCACCAAGTTCAACCCACCTTTAGAAAGCTCCCTCTATGGTATAATTCTGAAAATGGCGTACATGTCAAGAAGAAACGCAACAGTTTTGTGAATATGAAAAGCCTTTGTGATCTAATTTTCTGCATTATTTGGCTCATAAGAGTTTGCAAAAATTGAGAATCATTCATCGAATTTGATAATTTCCATCTAGGTGGGAAAATCTCACCAAATCGGCGATTTTCAAAAATTCTAAATAGCTTTGAACTTATTTGCCGGGAAATAAACTTTAGTTTAACTCCTTTAACAAAGGAGAGTTTTTTCTTCTTTGTAAATAACATCTCGAATCCATGGTAGCAGTTCCTGTATGACAAAATATTTCGTCATATCCAGTTAACAAGTTAAAATATTTAAATTATTCCTCCGTTCCAAAACTAGAATTATTCTTTATGGTAAGATAGTTTATGTTGTTTAAAATTATTTCTTAAGGGAGATCCACTTAAACTGTGGCTTGTTTATTTTTCTCGGCAAATGAGCTTCAAAGAAACATTGTTAATGAAGTTTCAAATGCCTCGATCAAAAGCTGCTCGTGTCATCTATGCTGCGTATGGAGAGAGTAAGCCATGGATGAAAGAACAGCTCGTATTTGGAGTGACAAGTAGATATGATAGGAGTGTAACTTTTGACTTTCAAGATGCACTTCGTTTTGGTTGTCCAGTTATATTGGAAAATTTTAATTTAAAGTAAGTTAAATATTTTTGCATAAAATTACTTTTGATTTTAGGTTTACGAATGCTTCTTCAAAACCAACTAAACCAAGATTTGATAAGAAACTTGGGAACACGTTATGAAATTGTACATCCAATACAAATCAGCCAATATTGGAGTAAAGGAGTGTCAACAAGGGATTCAAGTGTGGATGGTCGTGTAAGTTTTTATTAATTCTGTGCGGATTATTTCAGAACTTTCTTTTATTCTTTATCTACCTCTGCTTCAGGACAATTTTTAATTTAATGTTAGAAGGTCATATTACCAAATTTAAAAATAAAAATAATATGTAATTTAAATTTAAGTATTCTAAAAAAAAATAAAAAAAATCAGGGTATTTTTCTGTAAAGTGCAAAACTAAATGCATGTGATTAACACTAAATATATATAACATAAACTAGATATGTATGATTTTCTAATGAACTTTGAAACTAACTTTAATTCTAACAAACTCTTTGAAACTTATTTATATTCCCGACAAAGAATATTTCCTAAATAAATAATTACTACAGAAATTTGATAAAAATTATTTGAGATTTATCTTCCATTATTTGTATTATTTTCATCTTTTAATTTCCTTCGAATTTCAAAAAGAAAGAAGTGCTAATTTATTCCGACATCCCTATATGCACTACGAATATAAAGCTTTCTAACATAAGTTTTATATGATGCTTATTGAAATAGAAATTAGTCCGCATTGATAAATCTTTTCTAAGATAAATTTCACTTTATTAGCATGTTAGGATAACTTTAAAATTCGTCTCCCAAATTGACATAAGTGTGTAGGTAATTCTTTTGTCAACTTAAAACAAAAAATTAATTCTTCACGATTCTTTTGTATTTCATCTACTTTTCACATTTTTTCTTTATTTTTTTTATCTTAAATTTTATAGAGAAAAATATTTGAGTTATTATTAGTAATGCTTAGCAATTATAAAAGTCATATAAATACAAGTCATATAAAAAAATTGTCATATAAACTAAGTTTTTTTAAATTACAATTATAATTATAAGTACTTCGGATTTATATTTACGAAGTATTGATACGAAATATAATCAACACCAAGATTTAAGAAATAATGGAACTTCCATTTTTCAAAATTTTATAATCATTAGGGGAGAGTGGGGTCAATTGTAACATTTTTTACTTAACTATTTTTAACTAACAAAAAATCCAATATATTATTAGTATTAATTGACAGACGAGTAAAGTAGACTATCCTCTACTAGAAAAAAAAATAAATACCTTATTTTAAATGTTATTATATTAGTTATTAACAATTTTTGACAGTCGTGCACTTGTTACAATTGTCCCCACTTACGGGGTCAATTGTAACAGTTCATAAATTCAACTAAAACATAGTTAATTATACATATTATCATAGTTGTGATATATTTTTTTATTGATCAAAATAGTAGTGATATTTTAGGAGTAAAAATAATAATGAGCAGAGACCTAAAGGGTTAAACTTTTAACTTTAAGGGGTTAAAAATTTTAATTTATGCTGTGAAAGGTGACAAATAAAATAATGCACATGCAACATAATATAAATGATATAGGAAACTATTGGTGGTTCTTAAAGAGTTAAGTAATTGTTTGTAAGCATAAGATTATTTATTTTCAGCTGTTACAATCGTCCCTTTACTTATTGTTACAATTGTCCCCAAGACGCCATTTCAGCTTCATTTGTTAAAAACAATGCTAGTTAATTAACTAAACTAATCTTTTTTTTCTGAAATGTTAATTAAGGTGTCCACTTACATATTCGGTTAATAATTTTTATTTATTTAAACAAAATTACTTTGTTACAATATAATATTCTAATACCAAAAAAATTACTTGCGTAGCGTGAAAATATCTTTTGTGATGTAACTCTTTCAAAAGTACCTAGAAATGGTTGTCAGCAGGGGTGCACATGTAGATTTATTAAATACACTTTGTGCGCCACCTAAGAACCAAATCTAAAACCCGACACTCGAAATTTTTGCTCTGTTACAATCGTACCCTGTTACAATTGACCCCACTCTCCCCTACTGATTATGACATTTTATTAACATCAATTCTATGTTGGCAGATGATATTTTCTACAAATTCTTATTGTCAAAACAAATGTACTTTGATGATACATTCTCACAACCTGCTTACATCAAATGTACCAAGAACTGCAGTTGATTTAAAGAATCAATTATAGAAACGAATAGAGATAAAATATTCACTGTTTTCCGCATTTTTTAAAGCTTTTACTACACATATGTTTGCTATATATTTATTATTCCCAAACTTCAAAATTAGCTACTAAATCAATCAATAGATTTCACTGCTGACTGCAAAAACTATATTAACAATATTGCATGACAAACCATTCAAATTGAATCAATCCTCAATTTGTTGCGCCATCTGTTGATAACCTTTTAAACTAATTTTTAAACTTAGGGATAATAAAGACCAAGTTTTTTAACTAGAACGCAGTAATCTGTAACTGTCTATATCGTTCTGTTTTTATTTAATTGTCTCTTTTCTAATCACCGGTTACTTTTGCGTGCCATACCTTATAAAATATAAAAATAATTATAAACCAAAACTCTGTTAATATTTAGGGACTTTTTCTTTGATGAAACATTAGATTAATGTTTATTAATCACCATAATGCAATGTATAACTTTATCTCAGATGAATTAACACAGCATTATTCCTTAGTTATCTCAGAGACAAAAACCTCGTAAATCATCATCAAATTTCAAATATATTAATGTATATTTAGTAATAATGTCAAATATAATAATATAATAATATATAATAACATAATAATTTCAACTATAATAATATAATTTCAAATATAATATTTCAAATATAATAATGGGAAAGACAGAATTAGATATAAGATCGCAGTTACACGATAATTGCTCAACAAATTACATCAGCATGTCTTTCAGTAAAATGACTTTACAAGCAATGAAGAGCAATTAGATGTTATTTAGCTAGTTGTCTTTATTTTTTACTTCCGTTACTTCATCTTTTCAGAATTCGTCAGGTTTCAATGTACGATTTCGAAAGAATGCCATTCAAAGTTTGGAGAAAAACTTTTAATTTCGACCTAGAAAACGTATGTGAAAATTCATCGATTGTAAATTAAATAAACTTTGCTTTTAAGGCTACAAAATAAAATTTATATTCTTGAAATGTATTATTGTAGGAAATTTTTTTATTAATTTCATTTGGAATTTTGATATTTGGTGATTCTTAAATAAGTAAATAAATTCATAATAAATCTACAAGGAGAAAAAAGATTGTGACTTAACCGAACTATATGGTAATGAGATTTCTGGCAAAAAAACACATGATTCTAGCTATTAAAATTAAAATCTAAAGTATTTAAACCATTCATTTTCTAATTTTTCCGTTTATATGGTAGCGATTTACCGAAAATTCTGGTTTTCGAAATAACTTTAACACACATTTAATTTTTATAAACATGCATTTAGTAAAAAATACGAAACTGAGAAGTAAACTTAATCAAAAATGGTTTTTATGCCATGCTCTAAAGTATCATGATGAAAATTTCCAAATTTTACCACAAATTATGAAACCATATTTTATAGTTAATTTTACAAAAATCATTAGAAAAGCGTTTCGGTAAAAATTACCACTTGTTTTGATGTTTCCATAGAGTCATAGTTACATGGTAAATATTACTATATTCTGTGAGTTTTGACCTTACTTTTTTTCTCAATATATTATTGAAGGAAAAATTTTATGAGCGTTCGCTTCCCAATGAGGTGACCCAGGTTCGAATCCCGGCAAAGGGTGGTTGATAAAAACTCCGCTACACCAACCATAGTGCTGACATAAAAATATCATCAGTGGTAGACGGACCATGAGTTTGAATGCCCCCGGACGAACCGTGGGAGGGTTTTGTGGTTTTTCTCACCCAAATGTGGATTGATTTCGAAAATTCCTTAAGGAAGGCTTGTTTGTCCCATTGCTTGCCTATTGCTTAATGCAGAAGTTCCCTTGTCTTATGGGTTGGGTTCAAAATTACAAGGATACCGAGTCGATCATTGACAGTCGTAAACTCGGGATTAGGTCGGCTGTTCAACGACGGCTATAAAATAAAATAAAAGAAAATTTTGATACAAATTTTGCGATTAGAAATGTTTAAATAAGTTAAGAAATTCTTAATTATGCTGAAAAACGATGTATTCAATGAAATTGAATGTTAAAATATCGAAATATTTAAGACGTTAGGATATTAAAAATTGTCACGTGAGAAATCACCATCCAATATTTTAAATTTAAATTGATTTTTAGAAAAAATGTTTGACAATTAGTAGCTGAAGCTCCATTAAACTGGTGGTAATATGGCGAACTGAATCACACTTAATTAATAAAAAATTCAAATTAAAGGAAAGAATATAAATCATACATTTTTTAAATTATGCATAAAATTTATGTGTATCTAAATAATATTAAATAAAATATTTTATTTAAAATATAGTAGTTTTTTTCTCTAAATAATGAAATAATTCACATCAAGGCAGAAATGTAGATCATTTAATGTAAAATTGAATATGATTTACACATTTAATTTAGTGATTTATACTTCATCGCTTACAATTATACTCAGAACAAAAAATTGGTGAAAGCTACCAGGAGATGATAAAATTCCCCATTTTTTGACTATAAGGAACACCAAAACACTCGGCAATTTTTACAAAAGAGCTTAGGTAATAATTTTGGTAAAATTAACAACAAAATATAGTAAATGTGCTGAAAGTTGGTAAATGAGATTAAATAAAAAGTGATGAAATAAACAGGAATCTGAGGAAATTATATAAAATAACAGGAAAAGATAATAAATGATAAGGAACAGAAAATGATATAAAATGTGATGAAATTTGATAAATGAGGTAAAATTTGGTAATTTTATCATGATACCTTAGAGCATGGACCAAAAATCATTTATTCGGTTAAATTCATTTTTCAGTTCTATATATTTTTTTTTAAATGAACAGTAATAAGAACTATAATTTCGAAAAACAAAATTTCTGGTGAACCTTACCTAATAAACGTAAAAAAATAGCGAATGAATAGTTTTTGATTTTTTTAACCAGAATTATGTTGTTTTTTTCTTTTACAAGATAAGTCATTGCCATACATAACGGTAATTTTACTAGAACTGTTTTCTTCGTGCAAAATATTTTCGCTTCAGAATATACTTTAGTTCTGCAGTTATCTAAATATTATTTTACTAGCTATCTCATATTACTGAATTTTATATTTTATTCAGAATTATTTTAGTGATATTCTTATGCATAATAAAACACTTCTATATGAAAAATAGGAATTATAAAATGTATCAAATTTTAATTTAAGTAATTCAAATTATTAAAAATTCAAATACCGAATTATCTAGATGAAGCATTTTAAAGTTCATAATACATTATTCTAGTTTGTGAATTCTAATTTTCTTATTAACTTTATAGATAACTCATTTGCAAAAAACATCATTTGTAATCGACACCTTTGGCTATAAATTGCATTTGGATTTAGAATTAAATACGTAAGTATTATTCATACGTATTAATATTATATATATATATATAGATGACGGCNATATATATATTTACTCTCTCGATATTTACGAATGACACTTTACATTTTGTATAATTCAAGTAACATCGAATTATATTTGTCTCATTTTAAATGGTGCAATCAACCAAAATAAAAAATAAATGTTCATGAAAATCACGTCACCGTAAGGTTACAGATTTTCATGAACAATTTTTGTAGATAAATTTTTGATGAAAGTGACTAAATTATTTCTTTTCAGAATTTTTAGACGTGACTACGATTACCATTTTAAAATTTGACTCAAATTCGTAAAGCAAGGGCATAACTACAGATGATGGCTCGTATGCTATAAATGTTTTTATCTTTTTTTCTTATTTATGAGCTAATTTTTTTAAATTTCGGTGTCATTAGAAAAAAAATTAGAATAAATCAAATTAAAAAGATATAGACATTTTTAACATACTACTGTACCACCATCTGTAGGTACGTCATTTTCTTAAATTCAATCAAATTTCAAAAGAATCCTCTCATCGCAGTTTTGGATAAAAGATCTTTAAAAAAAGATCTTTAAAAAAATTATTTTAGCCATTTTTCATCTAAGACATTTTCTACAAAACTTTTACAAAGGAAATCAGTGGCATGATGTGTCAATGGCCAGTGATCGATTTCGCTTCGAATGGGTCATTAGATGTTTAAGTTATAATGGGAATAAATTAATACAATATTCTCATGACAGAAAAACTATAAAACCAAATGTAGTATATTTGTTCTTAATTTAATGTATTACTTCTTCAGATTTATTACTATGCTAAAATTAAGCATTCGACTATTTTCCTTTTAGTTTCCTGAGTAATTTTCATCTCTTGTCTGAATACATAAATGACATCAGTTTTTTTTTTAATAATATATATTACATAATGCTGATTCGCAATTTCCGACGACTCTTTGAAGACGAAGTTACTCTTTCTTTCGATAACAAAATTTTTAATGTTATCCATATTAATTTTTTAGTATCACACTATAATTAAAATAAGATTAATTCCGAAATAGCATTTGATGTTAAAGAAAAATTTATTGTAGTCGCTGTTATCAATGCTTCAGAAACATTTCACCACGTGTGCTTCTCACACTCAAAATGCAAAAACTATTAGGTGGAAGAAAATGAGATTTAGCACATTTTCAGAATTTTTTTTTTTTAAGAAACATTGAATAAGAAGTTGAATAAAAAATTCAGTTTAAAGAAAATTATTTTGAGAAGGATTTTGATTTTTAGCAGTCATGTTCTCTGAATATGTCTGAAGCCGTTAGACAAGTCTGCTTTTTTTTAAATTTCGAATTAGTTTTTGAGTTATTAAATTTCGAATTTGTGTTTTTTTAAAAGTTTTTTTCAATGTAGCAGAAAAACTAATCTCAATAAAATTATGATTTTTTTTTCAGCGAAGTACTTATAAGTCTAAAAATAGCTTTTTTTGCGATGAAATACAGAAAATATAGAATCGCTAAAAAAGTTAGTAAAAGTTCTTTTTTTTTCTTCTGTTTTTTGGAAGAGAACGTGTTCAAGCATAAGACTTTTATTTAAAAGATTTATTTTACATTATTTAAATTAATCTTACAATAATCTTAGATTAAGAAATTTTACAATATTTAAAATAGAAGATTCAACTTTGATCTTTCTGTAAATTAATATAGAGAGGTTTTTTAAAATTTTCTCCTTTTAACCCTAGATTTCTCTTCCATCTGCTAAGCCTTATTTTTTTCCAAAAATACAAATTCCTCAGTAAAAAAAATTCTTTTCTTAAAATTCTCTTTGACGATAAAGTCAATCGCAGTTTTATCTATACGATTTCAAAACCATAAACAAACTGCTAAAAAGTAAAAGCAAGTATTGAAAATAATCGTAAAATGATTGAAGAAAATATAAAGACTAATGTAAAAACTGAAACTTCTACTTTCGGTTTTAATTCGTCTGTGATTATGGTGAAAATCAGTTTTATCGACAAAACGGCTTTAAACCGTTAAAGAAGCGGAGAAGTCCGAAAAAACATACGTTTGTTGATACGTTGATTGTATTAGCCCCCTAATAAATTTAAAATGCATTAACTTTAAAAACTTATTAACATTTATCTAGTAACTACGACCAGCAACAATCAAAAACAATTAATTTATTGTTGAAAATTGAGACTAGTATTTTTTTATAGTTTTATTCGTATTATATGCATTTAACTATTACATAGACAGATAACGCTGGGGAACAAATTTTTTGTTGCATTTATACAAATACTTGATGTTGCCTAGTTCGGGTGTTGAGTGATCTAAAATTATTTTTGATCCTAAAGCTGCAGATTTTTTTGTTGTTCAAAATAATTTTTAGTTTATTTTTTGTTGCAATGAACAAGTCTGTATAACGGGGGGTAGCGTAAATGCTGTGATACACTTATAGGGGCACATCATCAAGATGAAAATTGCGTAGAAACCCTTGCCCAGAAATGCCATCGTATGCATTTAGGGTAGCTTCCCCATAATGACCTGTTTTTGAACATGCAAAAAAAAAAAAAAAAAAAAAAAAAAAAAAAAAAAACAGTTTATGACAATGAAGCGCCCCTAACGGTGGCATGAGTTCCTATGCAGTTTGTATACTGATGATATGCCCTAACCCCGCCTAGAAATTTGTCGCACCATTTATGCGATTCCCTGTTATAAATAACGTTTTCAAACTGGTACATTTTGGTAAAAAATAGACTAAAAACGTCAATTAAAAGAACTGCGGTGAGCGAAAAACCGACTGCACATTTTAAATCAGTGATTTGAAAATGTTCCAGGTCTATTAAAAAAATTTCATGCAACAAAAACATTATTCCTCAGTGTAATTTGTAATAAATGTAATATTGAAAGTAAATATTGTACCATATTTCTTAAAGAAAGTAATAAAATTATTTCTAAACATGTTAGTTAACAATAGCCCCTAAATATAGAATTATTCAATTTATGAATTAAATAATTTACTATTTATTCTGACAACAAGAAGTAAGTACTAAGATCATAAATAACTAGATTTTACAAAAAAAGTTCAATTTTTTAATTTAATTAATTTAATTTCTAGTTTTTCACCCTCACAATTTCAAACATCATTGTGTTCCTGAAAATTAAATTTAATCAATTAAAATTAAAAGATTTGCGTAAATACAATATTCTTAACAAACAAGTTATAGCGTTAATTTTATTCTTCTAATTTTAATTGTATTTTCTCAACACTTTTGTAAGAAATAATTAAATTATTATGTAATTATCTGTGCATCAAATCAAAATTCGGCCAATCACTAGCTTCAGTATTTATTTTCTTTCGTTGTCTTTTTTTTTTACGAACAATTTCTGAAGAATACAGAAATCACGTCTTTTGGCTTGTTTGTTCCTTTCTTTTGCCAAGTATCAGTGATTTCTAAATTAGTCGTCTTTTTACCTTCTTTGTTCCCCCGATTGAGCTTTAGCTCAGATTCCTGTTTATTGTGAACTAAATATGTCTGATTCGTTTTTCTGATTCTTATCAATTGATCATTCAGTCCGATGCCTTTCGGTAATTCTATCTTCTGTGTATCAGTGTGCATTGCCAATTAAGAAGATAAAACTGCTTTCGGTTTATTGAAATGTACTTTTATTTATTGCGGCTTTGATAGGTAGTGAGATTTAGATAGTTTTCGGAAGAGATATTTAACTTGAAATAATATTAAGAGGACTTTGGTTTTAATCATTTCAGGTTTTGTACATAAAGTTTCTAAATTATAATTTCTTGCCCTAGCGTGTTCTCTTTCAAGAACAGTTTTTTTTCTCCTTTCTAATTAAGAGACAAATTACGACTCTAATAGATCAAATAAGGTGAAAATAACAAACTATAACAATATTCAGCCAAAATAAAACAAAAAATTAACTAATTGGTCAATTAAAAGGACATATGTCTCAGAGAGGCCAAAAGTGTTAATTTTTTTTAATGCTCAATGAAAAAAGTCTCTAGAATTATTCATATCTTATTTCATATCTTTTAGATTTGTCTATTGTTGAAAAGTTTTCATCATATCAATGCTTCGATAAGAAAACAAATTTTGGAGCGTTTTTGAACAAATATTTAACCTTAAAAATAATTTAATATCACATTTTTAATATAATCGACCTCTTACACAAAGTGTTCTGCATTTTTGTCACTGTTGTATATGTCGATATTGTTAAAGTATTTTTTCTCTATAAATGCTTTATGAAATCATCTAGTATTTGCCTGTTTTTACAAATTTATTATTGTCTATAATCTAAATTGCTTATGAAACCTTCAATGAAGAAATAAATTTAACTGGATTATTTTAAAAAAAAAAACACTTTATTCTGAAATAATATTTAAGCACACATTTAATCTAATAAAAAATTAGCATTTGGCTGTTCCCGTATATTTATAATCTTAAGCAACAGTTAAGAGTATGTACATTCCGCAAAATAAAAAACGGACCACCCTGAATAACTTTTGATTAAATGATCACATCTTCAAGTTCTAGGACTCTATCTCAATGGTTCAAGGAGTGTCCTCAAATATGCTAATTAATTAGTACAGATGATATTTTAAACTACAAAATCAGACACAAAAAACGTATTTTCTTTGAATAAACATAACTTTTTTTTCGACGGATTTGGATTTCTGATTTCTGAAATGTAGGGGTTAGCCGCAATCTGGGAAATATGGTCCCAATAGTTTGGTCAGGAGAGTGAAATTTTGAAAACAATTATAAAATTTGTTTATCCGAATTCACTTCCATACAAAATATAATTTTTTATTATTTTATTCATTACTTTTTTATTACTTTATTCATTACTTTTTTATTATTTAATTCATTAATAGTTGAAAATTTTTTAAATCATTATATATACTTTTTTTACATCATTTTATAGACTGTAATTTTCTATGGAAAAAAGCAAATTTTTAAAGAAATCGGTCAATTGAACTTTAAAAAAGTCGTATTTTTAAAATTCTATTTCCCAGAAACTATTAGATCAGTTTCAATCAAATTTTGTATTTTGCATTGTAAAATGACATTCTTTAAAATGGTGTAAATTCGCCAGTCAATCATCCTCGCCCAGTGTTGGAGCCTGGTAGTAAAACAACTTAATTTTTTTGTGTTGATTCATTGTGTTTTATTTTCCACAATTTATTTTATTATTTATTTCAAATTAAGTTCAAAATTCATAAGAATAAACCAAGCATAAATATTGCTCGTATTTATCATGGGATCAATACATTTCTTCTTGAAAATAATGTTGTGTTTCTCCTTTAAGGCTGTTTTTCGAAGACTTCATTGTCATATAAAATTATGCTTTTTTACGAGTAACATGCTATTTGCATAACTGCTGTAAGTTTGCAACAGTTACTCATAACTGTTAGGACAACTTTAGCCTATCTAGAGCTAGCGATGCCCATGCGTATTCTAAAATATGGAACAAAGCGTCAATATCGAGAAACAGCTTTATAAAAATCAAAAGCATTTGTGATCTATTTTCTAATATTTGAAAACTTACTTCAATGTTGTCTTATTTGGGCTCATAAAAATTTGCCAATAACTGAGAATAAGGCAGGGATTTTTAAAAATTTTCATCTAGATGAAAATTGTCTCCAAATTAGCGATTTCTTTAAAAAAAGTTCAATAACTTTTAACCTCTTTCTTCTCGCTCCCCTGAAAGTAACGGGGTGAGGTTTCTCCCTCTATATCTCGCTCCCATGAAATTTCCGAGTTGGAGTGTTCAGTAGTAACGAGCCAATAAGAATGAAGCTAATTCATTTCTTTTGCCAGGAGAACATTTTATTTCTCATTTTGCACACCAGATGGCAGATTGAGGATATTTTTAAGGTGTAGATAGTCAATTTATTTTAAACTAGATGTCAGCACTAATCAAACGCGTATTTGACAAAATATGCACTTTTATGACCGTTTTCTTGAAAATTAACCGATCTAAGGGATTATAATGCTTAATTAAATTGTTTGTTCTAAAGTTCAGATAATTCTTCACGGCAAGATGATATATGTAGTTTAAAACCATCGCTGTTCTGCAAGTGTAAGGTACTTAAACTGTGGCCATTTTTTATTTTCCTTGGAGACAGAGCCTCGAAAAACCGTGTAAGTAAAAATAGCATATAAGATCTCCTTTTTACCGAAATTAAAAATTTGACAAAAACTATTCCTTATGTGATTTTTAGTCTCAGATATTTTTTTTCCCTTTTTAATGGCTCAATGAATCGAAAAGTTTTCCCTTCCCACGCTCTCTTTTTTGAGCGAATAGAAAAGAATCAATAAGGAATCTATTCTGACACCAAAAATTGTTATCACGGCTAGATAATCTTGGCACGTTGGCGAATAAAAGAAGCCGAAAAGAGCTAAATTATATATATGCACAGACATAAATAAAAATTGTTCTGATACAAAAATCTTAAAATATATTTCTACTACAACTTCATCGCGCGTCGCCTTTTTTCGTTTCATTTCTTGTTATGCATTCGTTTTCAGAATATGTTTTGAATGTAAATACTTTTTTTTCCTTCAATGCATTGAGAAAAGAATATTAAAAATGTTTTCGATAAAAAGGATGCATCGTGGTCTTTTGGTTTTTTGTACGAGCATTGCTTCTCAATTCAAAGTTTTTTGAATGGAAACTTTCTGGGCGCATCGAAGTAATGAGACCTTATAAGCTGAAAAATCCGTTCTAAACTGTGTTGAAATTTGTGAAATGGCCCCCAAAATCACCAAGTAAGATAAGAGTTTTTAAAAGGGCTTTTAGCTAAATTTAAGGTAAATAAATATCATAAATATGTTAAGTAGTTTTTTAGTTTTTCAAAATAAAAATATGATAATGCTTTATTAGAAAGAACATATAATTACAGCGCTTTATAAAATATCGTTTTCGTTTCATTTTTAAGATACGAATAGGAGCGAAAAATTAAGATAAGAATAAAAAAAACTGCTTTTAGTTTAATATAAGGTTAATAAATGTCATAAATATGTTAAATTGATTTTCAATTTTTCAATTTAAGATGTGATAGTTTTTCTTAAAAAGAATAAGTAATTTAAACCGTTTAAAAATATCTTTTGTTTTTCTTTCTTTGCATGTAACTAAAATACAAGCCCAAAGACAAATTCTAATCCAGCAGAAAATGTAATTTTTTCTGTAAGTAATAAATACGCAAAAGCTTATTCTGTGTTAAGTATTTATAACTAAAAGTGTTTTTAAAGAGTTTTGAGATGGATCTGTTCCAGACTAATAGTGACTTATTTGTTGTTACTGTTGTCTTCCGCCATTACGGTAGAGGGGGTGCGATTGTTCTTGCTTTCCAGTGACCCCATCTATGGCCAAGAATTCGACTTCTGCCACAGTCATACGTCACACCCGTTTATAGGGCAGACCCATTCATACATTCATTCATACAGATCGTAATTTTGACCTGAACCGGAGAACTATCAATCTCCAATTCATTACTCCCAAAAGTATTGATTTGTTTTGGGAACATTGACGACTTCGTGACCCAGCGGATTTGACCACCAGTCACTATATGCTACACGGGGAGTCTTCGGCCTGCTGGATTCGAACTGCCGTTCTCACAAACAGGAGTCCAGCTCTCAGCCAACCAGGCTTTCCCGGCCATATTGATTTATTTAGTAGGTAAGTTTAAAGATAAGTGAAATAAACTATATAACGTAAAATTCAATAAAACGTCAAGCCCCAGGTTTACCATTCAAACATCGCATTCAATAAAGTTAAAAATTCAATAAAGTTAATGCATTCAATAAAGTTAAAAATTCACTTGTCCATCTGCTCTCCAATTTCAACCAGGACCACACAAAAGAAAAATTAAAAAATGAAATAATAAAGGCTTCTCAATAAGAGTTCAAAAGCATAAATAACGGAAAAATTTGAACCTTTTTTTCCTCCTTTCTAACGAAATCCAACTTTCGCGTATGTATATACATATCAATTAACCAATCAGATTTATGAATTTTGGAGTAGACGGCGAAAAGTTTAGGCAAAAAGTAGTAGGTTGACATATCTCCCCGAAATATCTTTCAGAAACCCAGTTTAGCGAGATTTCAAAAAGTCGCTTATCGAGATTTCAAAGAATCGTCACGGGATGAGCTATTCTATGATCAACCCTGTTCTCTCTTTTGTAACTAATTAATCGTCAGTATACTATTTGCATTTCTTTATTTAAATATGTTTTCTAATATTGATCTGTTTTTAATGCCGAAAAATCAGTTAAAATAATTTTTAAAATAAGAAAAAAAATATTAAGCATTTTCTTTTCTTCTTTCTTTTAGGAATCTATTTGCCCCAACATTTGTACAGTTAATTTATTCTGAAGAAGAATTGCCCATCGCAATTAAAGAGGTGATATTTTGCTTTCATTCAAAACTTAAAAAACTGATACTTTTCTCAATTATCAATCAATTCCTAAGGAATAAAGGTGACATAATTTGGTGATAAAAGAACTAAGAAATTGTTTAATGGGACTGAGAACTTTCTGAATTTTAAAAATGAACTTTTTCATTTATTAATGTTGATTTAGTTAGCGTATTACTGCTAAAATGGGTATAATTTAAAAAACCTAATTATTTTCAGGTTAACCGTACGTATTCAATGTACTTTGTATGAAAACAAAAATATTAGAAATTTATAACATTATTATTTATTGCAATTACTTAAAACTGTGTTATCGCAACATATTTTAAAGAAACTGGCAATTTAAAATTTAAATTTTTTTAATCTCCTTAATTAAAATAAAATGACGAAACACTAAAACTGTTACTTTCTAGTTATTAACTATACCATAAATTATTTCTAGAAACTAATATTTGAACGTATTTTCGGACAGCTGAATACCTAATATTCAAAAGCATCATTTGTAAGCAACATGCTCTAAATCTAGTTCTAAACATTTACAATTTGTACAAGCTTATTTTTTTCCTGAAAATGATTAAAAGTTTTAATTAAAAGAATAAAAAGCTTTTTTGTTTAAAAAAACTGAATCAAATTATATTAGAGAATAATTGATAGAATTGTAACAAACACTTCAAAAAAAGTGCTAGAAAATAAATTGCAATTAATAATTTTTTTAAATAAATATCTACACTAATTAGTTAATTTAAATAGTATATAAAACAGTGTAAATAAAATGTAAATAGTATGTAAATAGTATGTAAATAGTATGTAAATAGTATATAAATAGTATATGTACAGGGTGATTCTAAAAAGATGGGCAAAATTTTAGGAAGTGATAGTACACACCCAAGCAAACAATTTTTATCAAAGAATGCATGGTCGAAAACAAAACGCAAAACCGCTAGAAGGCGTCCAAGTTTATGTTCTTATATGAGGCAAAAACACACAAAGAACGATGAAGTTAAGCTATATAAGCAAATTTAATGGCATGTGATTACAATAAGTGTTCAAAACAATGACCGGCAGCGGCTATGCACGCAGTATAACGGCGAAGAAAAGATAGGCGAACATTCTGAAACACACCAGGCATATCACGAACTTTCCCGGCAGCGGCTGAAAGCTTGGCAACAAGTAACACAGCGCAGTAACTCGCAATAGGAATGGAGCTTTCACGTTTGCATCAAACAACTTTCCAAATGCTCCAGCACCTTTGCGTTTTGTTTTCGACCATGCATTCTTTGATAAAAATTGTTTGCTTGGGTGTGTACTATCACTTCCTAAAATTTTGCCCATCTTTTTAGAATCACCCTGAATATATAGTATATATATGAATAGTATAAAAAGGCAAGGTTTGATGCATCAGTAATTTTAAATCAAACGTTTCTTATTTGTGGAATTTTGCTGTTTTAAGAAAAAGCCGCCAAAATGAACAGGTAGCAATGTTATATGAGTGGTACAACGACTTTTAAATAAAAGTCATAATAATGTTTCTAACGCAATTAAGACAAATTTAAAGCTATTTTTGATTTTCTATAATTTGAACTTCATTGTATTTATCGTGAACATTGAAATGTGCAATCTTCCATCGAAAAACTTGTCGTTTTAACTATATTACTTAAAATGCTCATAAGCAGTCTTATAAGACTCATACACTGTAAAAAATTCTGGATCAAATTACTGTAGATAGGTAATTATCACTTTCAAAACTAAGGTTGACTGTTAAAACTACGGTGGCTGTTGATTTAAAAAAAATGGTCTTGTTTGGCGATGACCTCGTGAAGAAGATAAAGAATCATGCGTAGTACGTACTCAGAGCATTTAGGATTTGCACAAGCCGATCATTCAAAGACTAATAACAGGGCCTTTACTATTCGACAAGTAAGGAAGGGGGTAGGAAATTTGGCCTAGGTTAAAAAATGGATGAATATTCCAAGGAATCCCGTAAGTGTAACGTTATAGTGCAGCTCTTCTGGCATCTTTCGAGGCGAAGGACGAGTGTTCAATAATGTCTGCTGTTAAAATAAATAAATAAAAAAACTTAATTAAAATTTTATACATTTTGGATGATCATTATTTTATCAAAATAAAAAACATATGCATCTTAATAGCATTTCGTTCGGTACTTTTTACCGTAATTTAATGCGGGATATTTTATAGTGTAGCTGTTTTGCTATAGACTGAAAACCAATATGATTAATAAATTTACAAATATTACAGTTACCTGAAAATTGTTTCTATCAAGCAACAATTAGAAATTATCCAGATGGTACAGCTGCATTTTATACTTGCTCAGGAGTGAGGTAAGTAGTATGTTAATCATAATTATTAAAATTGTTATAATAATCATTGTTAGAATTGTTATAATATAATCATTGTTATATTATAATCATTGTTATAATTTTCATGATAATCATAATTATTAAAATTGATTAGAGACATTTCACAGATTGATCTATTCATGTGTAAAGTATCAAATAAGTGATGTGATTGCTAGATAAGCTGATCAAAGCAAAAAGTTTTTACTCAAAATTCTTCCAACCCTGCAAAATAAAGCATTTTTACATAATGCTTCAAAACACAACAATGCTCCGAAATAAGCTTTTTTTAAAAATTTTTACACAAAATTATTAAAATTCATCATAAACATTTCTAAGCTCTGATTCAATTTATTTTGGTTATGTTTCAAAATACTCTCAAACAGGTATTTTTTTACAATTTGCTCCCAAAATAAATTTCTGTCGCCAAAAGTACACGTAGAAAAAATTCTGGTGAAATTACCGTACTTTATAATAATGACATTTCTGGTTTAAAAAAAAAAAAAAANAAAAAAAAAAAAAAAAAAAAAAAAAAAAAAAAAGCATAATTTAAATTTATAAGTCCAAAATATACGGTATTTAAACCTTTCATTTAATAATTTTTTCGTTTATATGGTTTTTTTTTTACCGGTGTGACCAATTTACCGAAAAATTCCGATTTTGACAATTATAGTTCTTACAACCACACATTTAGTTAAAAATACGAAAGAAATAAGTAAATTTAATTGAATAAATGGTTACTATGCCATACCCTAAGGTATCATGATAAAATTAAAAAATTTTACCACATTGTCCAAATTTTATCACTTATTATAAAAGCATATTTTATTGTTAATTTTACCAAAAACCTTTCCAAAGCACTTCGGAAAACTTACAGTGCGTTTTGGTACTCCCATAGAAAACAGGGAAAGGTAACAGAAACACGGTAAATGTTGCCATATTTTGGTAATTCTGAGCATACTTTTTCTCACTATGGAAAATAAGTATTATCAATAAGTTTGTATCATTGCTAAATTATTTATACTACATTGAAACTATGTAATTCTCTAAATTAAATTTTTTGAGAATATAATACCTGCATTCGATAAGCATTGCTTATCTTTGCATTGTTTATCTTTAATTTTGAGCAAGTTGATTATAAAGCAAGCATAGTGAAAAAACACGAAACACATTAATGGCTTTTGATCAAGTAATGAAATTGTTTGTGAAAAAAGTTTTAATTTGAAGTTTTCAAGGACTGTTCACCCACTTACATTTAATTTCTGGCTTTTGTGATTTGAATTTTAATGGTGCTTGAATATGCACATTGAGAAAAAGTATGGTCAAAATTACCAGAATATGGTAAAAAAAAAGTATCATGTTTCTGGCTTTATGGGATTAGCAAAAAGCACGGTAATTTTATATTTGGTAATGATTTTGGTAAAATTAAAAATAAAATATGGTTTTATAAGATGTGATAAAGTTTGTAAAAAGTGGTAAAATTTAATAATTTTATTATGATACAATAGAGCATGGCATAAAAACCATTTATTCGGTTATATTTACCTTCCAGTGTTTCCATTCTTTAGTAAATGTGTGGTAATAGAGACTGTAATTTTGAAAACCAGATATTTCAGAAAACCATTACCATACGAATTAAAAAATTACCTAATGAATGGTTTAAATATCGTATATTTTGGTTTTATAACCAGAATCATTGCTTTTCACCAGAAGTTTTTTTACCATACAGTACGATAATTTCACCAGAATTTTTTCTCCGTGTAAAAATTTCTACGTTTCGCTATAAAAACTCTTTCGACTGTTATTAAATTTTAAAAAAATAATAAATAATTTTCACATATTTGGATTAAAATTAGTGATAGTGTGTAACATTCTTTTGTTCAGCTTAAACAGTTTTAGATATTTGGTGTTAACATTAAAAGATATTAAGAACATTAATTTAACATTAAGAGATTCAAATTGTCGACTACTTGTCTTGACTAAACTATCGAGACCTGGCGTCCAGATTAGCACTATTATTAAGTGTATAAATGCAAATATGTTGAATAAAATGGTTTGTTTATTCATAGAAAGTGCGTTTTTTGTCATCTTTCGTAATTTATAATATCGCATTTCGCAAGTTAATTACAATGCTTAAGCTTAGACATTCAAACAATTAAGATTCCATCTGAGTAAGAAAATCCGTTGACTATATTAAGAGTTGTTAATTTTTTTGAGGTACTGTGTAACAATAGGGCTTAAAGAAACTTTACTGTAAAAAATTCATGATCAAAATACTGCAAAAAGTACCAGTACTCAGGGTTCAGTACTTATTACAGTAAAATCCTTTTTTACCGTAAAATTTTACTAAACAGATAACTGATATAACATAAATTTTACTGTAATGTTTGCTGTAAAATCATTGATTCACTGTGATTAAATATTACTATACAAATTACGATATAAAATGCTGCGGATACTGCACTCAAATTACGGATGCTGCACTCAGGGTGTTAGTACATTTTACGGTAATTCGATTCGGAATTTTTTATAGTGTATAGATTATCAGATTAATATAATATTTTAATTTCTGTAGGGCATCACAGCCGATATATTTAAAGAATACTTTCTAAATAATTTCAAATAAGGAAAAACCAATTAGTATGAAACGAATTTTTTAATTGTGTAAAAAAGTTTGAGGGTCTAGAATGCAAATACACCGAAATAAATTGGTAAAACTCTAGTTAGTTTTAGTCTTGTTAACACAAGTTAATCATCATGTTTTAAGCTTAGATTTTCATACATTTAAGGTATAGTTCGTTCACCAGGAATTGGCACTTGGCTCCTCCTTCATCACGAGGTATCAGATGATCCTATGCTATTTTTGGGAGAATCATGTGGACAATCCTGAAAAAGGTTGTTATTTGGCGATTGCATGACAAAAAAATTTATTTCGTAATCTTTATGTGCATTTTTTAGCATGAAATATCTCATAAATTTGATGATATTTCTCTCTTTTGGTTGAATAGTCTTCCTTTTTGAGACATTTTGCTGGGAAAACAGCAGATTTTAAAATTAAAATATATTTAATTAGCTATTGTAACCAAAGGTATAATAGCAGTTGATAAAGCGAAATAAGTGACTGAAAAAGAATTCACTGTTTGCGTTTGGCACGCATAAAGGGTTGTCTTCTTTTCAAATGTGGAGATGTTTCTCCTCTTATTCCCGCGCTGAAATGAACTCTGCGTCCGAGCAGGTGCAACAAAGTGCCAACTCCTGGGGAACGAACTATATCCGACTTGGTGAAAATCAGCAATTTCGACGAAAATTTCATTAAATTTTTAATTATCTTTACTTGAACTTAAAATCATGAGCTCATCAAAACCTTCTAAGATGTTTATCCATAATTTTTGGAAATGAATTTATAGTTGTTTTTTCATATGTTGACAGGTAAAACCGAAACTGGAAGTAAACTATGAAAAAGGAAACTGAAATGTTTTTTGTTATGCTTTCAATATTTTCATTTAAATAAATTATATTTTTTTAAAACAAGTAAAATTCTTTCAGAAATTTATATTCGAACTACTAATTTTTTTACTGATATATATATATATATATATACAAAGAAGATAATTAATACTAAAAGTTTTCTTGCTTTGCTCTTTCTAATATTAAAAGTTTTTCTTCTTTTCTTTTATGAAATATTAATTTTCATAAAAGACTTTTTTGTTGAAGTATAAAAATGAGATGAGGAAAAATAGAAGAAACGTTATATGTTTAGAACTTAAAACACACAAGACTTTTTATTATTAAAAGTCCTCTTATTTTTCCTATTTTTACTAAAATAGTGAAATTTGTATTAGCTCAATTTTTTTATTCTTTTTAGAAAATCAGAAATGTTTTCGTGAATTTAAAGTAACGGTAATCTGAAAGTTTATTCATTTAATTAAAAAACACTATTTTTTTATTATTTTATTTCAGAGGAATTATATTGCTAGATGGAAAAATGTTTTTTCTACAGCCTTTGCATGGAAACCTATCAGTAAGAGTTCTATCCTTTTTTCTTGTGTTACAAATTTTAATTAAAATTTTACACCTTTGCAAAACATCCATGGGGAAATAAATCAAAATATTATATTTTATAAACCTCAAAGAATTTTCTTATCTATAAAGTATCTAGTGATTAAATTTTACACCTTCATACTCTGAGAAAAAAAGTATTGTCAAAACTACCGGAATATGGTGAAATTTACCGTGTTTCTGGTTCTATGTGAACACCAAAAAAGCACGGTAATTTTTAACTTTCATAATTTTGAACACGGTAACTTTCATACTTGTACGCACAGTCTTTTTAGGGACAACCCGAAAATTAATTACGAGCTCACATGAGTGATATTTCATCATGAATAATTTCTTTCTTAACATCTTTTTTTTAATTTCATCAATGGCGGCACTTATGAAACTATCGGGTCTTTACTTTATTTTAAAAATTACATCTCAATCCGTTTACATTGTTAAAAAGATCCGGATCAAATAAAAAAAAGTACTGGCACTCAGGGTACTTGTACTTTTTACTGTAAAATCAATTTTTACCGAATTTTAATGGAACAAAAACTCTGATGTACCGTAATTTTTACGGTAACAATTACTGAAAAATCACTGCATCAATCGAATTGAATAAATATTACTGTAAAAATTACCGTATAATATTTTATGGTAAAAATGGATTTTACGAATGATGCTGCCAAAGTGCTCGTATTTTATACTGTAGTTTGATCCGGAATTTTTACAGTGTATAGACTTTAAATTTCATTAAATTTCACTTCTTTAATTACTATTATCATTGAATGAAACACTACAAAGTAAAAACGAAAATTCCTCTTAGTTAACTATTTTTTCCATATATTCTTATAGGAAACCCATCCACACCTACTTTATCATGTCGCTCAAGATGAACTATTAAAGTGTGGTAAGATTAACATCTTTAACGCATGTTTATTTATTTATTACATTAATCTTCAGTATTTCTATTTAAGAACAGAAGAAGAATTTTGGACAACAAAGTGATAATTCACTTTTTTTCCAAAAGGGATAATTTTATATCAAACTGTCCCTTTAAGTTATTTCAAGATGAGCAGTTTATATTTTTTGACATTTCTACCAGATATAGAGAGATATCTAATTGGCTACGTAGAAATCGTGATGTTTTGTCATCAAAAACGCTCTTCCAAATAATTTGGAAATGTGGCTTGCAAATATTTTGTTGCCAAAAGCCCTTTGATTTTAAAAATGTAACATAATCTTAGACTAAATATTTCGTCGATTTATATTTTTCTTGAGCTCCAATAACTCCTGAGAACTGTCTTTTAAAAGAACTGGGGATCGATTCCCGGTGACGGCTTGATGCCCATTTATCTTCAAATCGATAGTTAGGAGCTTCTCTAAGAACTACAAATGCCCGGTGCGCAATGTTGACCATATTGCCAACAGCATTCCGCTGGGTCTTAACCTCCATGACACGGAAAAATCCTTACATTTAGAAAAAATAATGGTCAAAATTACCAGAGTATAATAAAATTTATCATGTTTCTGGCTCTATGGAAACACCAAAAAACTCAGTAATTGTAATGATTTTAATATGATTTTATACTAATTGATAACATCAAGTAAATGTGGTAAAAATTGTTAATTTTATCATTATACCTTAGAGCATGATATAAAAACAATTTTTTCGGTTAAATTTTCCTTTCAGTTTTACATTTTTTAGTGATTGTGAGTCGTTAAGAACACTAACTTTAAGAACCAGAATTTCAGGTGAACCGTTATCATATAGGAATTAAAAATTTCGAAATGAATGGTTTAAATACTGTATATTTTGGTTTTATTGACAAAATTAATATTTTTTTTTACCTGAACTGTCACAAGTACGGTAATTTTATCTGATTTTTTTCTTTTATATTCAAACTATTTAAAAAATAGAAAAAGCATGGCATTTCTTCCATGTTTTTTATTCGAACTTAGAGTCTTTCTTGCGGATTTCCAGTATTAATAAAACGATCTGTCGTGCATAATCATTGCTCTTAATTTCAAATTCCCTAATCAAAATAGGATGCAAGAAGAATTTAAACATTTTGCTGAAATAAAACCTATAAACCAATTCACTTAATTTTTAAAGTAATTTAAAAATTTCGAATAGGCATTTAAGGAAGCCTCAGATATAAAAACATTAATTTAAATGTGCAATTTAAATTTTGAATACATAGTACGTATTCTAAATTTTTTAAAACGAACAGATAATTTATGAAAATAAAATTATCATATTCTTTCAAGTAATGACGAGATTTACTAATAATGAGACTTTTTAAAAGAAATTTTTTAAAAACAAAGAAAAGAAAAAAGAATTTTTCAACACCTAACAAAAATAATTCGAGAAGTATGATACTTAAATAAATCAGAAGAAATAAAAAAACTTTTAATTCCAAGTAAATAAAACTAAATGCAAAGAAATTATCGAAATATATAATTAACAAATAAAAAGTTATTTCATTATCTATTCAATGCAAAATTACGCAAATTAAAATTATTTTTTCTGCTTATGGATATTATAAACTGATTTGTTGTGCATATATCTAAATCTTTTTTAAAATAACTAATAAAACTAATGAATTTTCAAAACTCTAATCTAAGCTCTATAAATAAAAAACCAATGTCACAATTTTTAAATTTGTTTGATAATTTAATTCCGCTTGTTTAATTCTATTAATTTCAGTATTTCTTGTTTTTTTTTTCAAGTTTAAATAAAGGAAAATGTAATAAAAAATTTGACCATTAAACGTAAAACAATAAATAATGCTAATAATTATGCCAGTATTTATTCCTAGATATTTTTACTGTAGATACTCAGATTAAATTGTGAAATAATTATTGTTAATAAAATTATTAGAAATCTCAATGGAATTGATGATGGCTTTGTTAAAATCCTATTCGGGGAATTAATCAGAATATTGCTTTGAAAAATATCTGAGATGCATTTAAATGTATCATAGGCGAAGGAAGTAAATTCATTAAAATATTTAAATATTTCTAAAGCATTATGTTGAGTTTTCAAAAGTTTTTTTAACTATCATATTCAATTATTATTTTGGAAGAATTTAATTTTCATGGATTTAATTATTTTATTGTGGAACTTAAAAGTTTATAATAGTTAAATGTTTTATAGAACAAGTACTTTTAAAATCATTATGTAAAAAATGAAATATTCAAATTTATACGACATTTTTGAAGCAAGTTTTATTTACCAAAAAATTAACATCGTAGTGATCTGTCAAAAATTTTTAAAAGTCTTAAAAACTATGCTTTTAATTCTCAGTAATGATCCGAACAATCCGAACATACAATCCGAATAAACAATCCGAATAACTATATTTTAATAATATTAAGTAGAATTTTTTTTTTCAAAAATTTTCAGATTTAACTTCCTATAGAATTTCAGTACTTAAAAACTAGAAATTTTTTTAAGAAAGGAAAGAAATATAATTAAATATTTAGAACTTATTTTCGAAGATTCTCGAAGTACTCATACAAACGAGGTGCACCTCTTTGTTGCAACAAAATGATGGTTACATTAAAAACATGCCATCATGGTAATTTTAAAAACATGTTGATTTATAATCTTCTCCTTTTATAAACGAAATTCATGACTAATTTTGAAACTTGGTAGAACGATATTTCCTCAATTTTTAGATAGAACGCAGCAAGCAATACAATTCTGTCCGCTTTCGCCTTTTTTTAAAAATGATTTTTCAGATCACCAATTATTTATGTAACACCTGGTATAAATTGGGAATGAGTATTATTTTGCTAAGTATTATTTACAAAAGAATTGAACTGTATAGGTACAATGTATAATGTATACATACCTGCCAACAATCACTCTTTTCGGGAATGGATTTTCCAAGTGGTAGTAAAATAATTACCGAAAAACTATCTTCCTCAAAGATATATTTATATTTTAATCAGGTTGAAATTCGCTATCGTAACGAATAATATGCTTTTATATATTTGTTGTAATTATTTATATGTAGTGGTGGTCAAACTGATTTAAAATTATTATTATAATTCAAAAAGTTTACTGAAATAACATGAATTTCGCTAGCACTTTAAATATGAAAATAAAATCTTCCGGGAAAACCGGAAGAGTTGGCAGCTATGTATATATATAACGTCCACATATATAATACAATACAATATATATAATAACTTCCTTTTATTGTCGTTAATTTTTTAGATAATTTTAAACTTCTCTCCCTGAATATCCTCTCTCCCCCCTTAAAATTTTTTATTCATTTATTTTTTTATTTTTTTTAAAAAAATGTAGCGAAAGAATGGACAAAGTAGTTCCACTACTCATCGTTATTAAATGCAATTATTATAATTAAGTTATGACAATTCTGTCCAGATATCAGTGTAAGGTTGGTTTTAATGTCAGCAATAACCTTTATCACAAAGTCCAGCAAGGTTTATAAACAATTAGCAAGTATACCATAAACAATTAGCAAGCTTGAAACAATGTTAAATTTAACTATGCTAGTTTAGGTGCATTGTGGTTCGCATTAAGCTTGTATAAACAACCCTTTTATTGAATTTGCCTTTACAAAACAAGGCTAAGAAATATTTAAATCGAAGATGAATCATCATTCACAAATCAATAAAAGAAAGTGCTTTCTACCTGAGAGATTCACCATCTTGAAGTTTATTTTAGATTTTATAACCATCAATGAAGCAGGATATACTTGCGCAGGCTTTTATATACTTTCTTAACACTTTAAAAAATAAGGTTGGCCTGATCATTGTGTTTTCAACGCAAACAAAATGCTGCATTTGAGAACCTAGAGAAAGCTAGAATGAAAAAAGGCAAAAACAAAGTTTGCAACAAAAGAGAAAATAATTGTACCTTTTTTTTGAAAAGTTACGTTTTTTTCATACCATTATTCAATCTTTACGGAAACAAGCTTTGTATACTAAGATTTCTACTAAGTTCAAAAAAGAATTAATTTGTCAACCTTTCTAAGCCAACTTAAATGAAAATGCAACATTTGCTATAAGGTTGCCTTTCTATACAACTAAAAGGATTTTTAATGTGTAAGTGAGGATTATTTAGTAAAAGATGATTTAAAAGGTGATGATTAAAAAACTCTTTGATAGCTTTTTCCAACAATCAATCATATTATGGCTTCTTTAATGCCAAGTTTTTAAAATGAATAGTTAAATTAAAATTGTTTTTTTTTCTTCTGGTTAAAATATTAATTTTCTACCCGTAATATGTAGAGTTTTAATTTGTAAGTAAAGATTATGTGTAAGTAAATATTAATGTGTAAGTAAACATTAATGAGTAAAAGATGAATTTGAAAGGTGATTATTAAAAGCATCTTTGATAGATTTTTTTAGCTATCAAACATGTTATGGCTTTTTTAATGCAGACTTTTTAAAAGTGATTAGTTAAATTAAAATTGATTTTTTTTTTCTTTTCTTTCCCTGGTTTAAATATTAAATGCTGACCTTTATGGTGCGTATTTTTAATGTGTGATCGAGGATTAATATTTAGAGACGATTTGAAACGTCATTATTAAAAACACCTTAAATTTTTTTCATCCAGCAATCAATGATGTTATGGCTGCTTTAATCCCGATTCTTTAAAAGTAATTTGTTTGATTTCAGTTGCGCCTTCGTTTTTCCTGGTTTAAATATCAATTTTCGACTTATAATGTGTATATTTTTAAATGTAAGAGTGGATGATGATTATTAAAAACACGTTAAAAGTTTTATTTAAGCAATCAAGCATGTTATGGCGTTTTTAGTCACATCTTTTTAAAAGAAATTCGTTTGATATCAATTGCGTGTTTCTTTTTCCTGGTTTAGATATTAATTTTTGACCTCTCTTTGTGTATATTTTTTATTACACTTTCATCAAAGATTCCGAAATTGTATATATGAAATCAAATCTAAAACGCTTTGATACAATGTTTCAAGTGTATTATTGTATCAAGTATATTGTCTATACATTGTTACAAATGTATCAATGCATTAGATCGCCCGTATATAGTTGATAACAAATTTAACAACCAGAACTAGATCTGAATTTCATTTATGTATAATTTTCATTTAACTTTAAATATTTTTTGTGTGATAATCAAAAGGAATCATTCATGAGTTATTCGGTAATTATTTAACATATTTTTTTTGTAGATAATACAGAGATAGTAGAAAGTCTGGCGGAGAACATGCTACACGTACAACCAAATGTGAGGAGAACATATATTATTTAGCTAAGTAATTAAATCATTTGGTTCTACAAAATAACATTCATTTAAGTTACTTTTATATAGGATGATAAGTAAGTAATGAAAATTGGAAAAATCATTTTTTTTAATATTTACTAAAAAATGCACGTTGAAATAATTTAAAATTGTTTATTTGAAATTGTTTTGATTTTAGAATTGCATTGTAATTATTAGAAACATTCGCTAAGTTTTTTTTTGTTATAGAATGTAAACATTTTCCAAAACGCTTTTAAACTTCAATTTTGTGTCAATGGCATAGGTACTCTAACTACATTTTTCGTAGCTCCTTCGCCAAACAAAATAAAAGTCCTCAGTTTAAGTACCTGGTACTTGAAAAACTACATATGCCCTCTCACCGTGACGAATTAACTGTGCTTTATAACGGACAAATAACTAAAATATTTCAAAAGTTATCAAACTTTTTTTTTGAAAATTGCAAATTTAGCGATATTTTTCTTCCTAGATTAAAACTAATAACTTTTAGTCGTTTTTTGCAATTTTTTTTATTAGTCCAGACAATATAGCATTGTAGTGAGTTTTTAAATCTTAAAAAATTAGACCACAAACGCATTTTCTTTTCTCAAAACTGTGGCTTTTCTCAATATTGACGTTGTGCGCCATCTTCAGAATAAACATAGAGGGTGCTGGTTAAAGATATTGTAAATTTGGACCAATTGTCTCAAACTCACAACAGTTAATAGCAAAAACGCATTATTTCATGCGACTACATAGCCTTTGAAAAACAGCCTTAAAGGTTGAAATTGGTTATCCTTGTTGGTGTGCCTTTGGATTCAAATGAGTGTATTTTACTCTTTGAAAAATTTGGTTCAATTTGAACCATAGCGTTTTGATGTTGAGCAATAAACCATATTTTCCGTTCAAAATCAGCCGTGGTCGTGTAATCAAGTTAAAGAAATAATACCCAGTTACATTTTAGCAAATTTTATCGATATTATGATTCGGCAAGCAATAATTTTCTAAAAGTGTAGGTATTTAGGAGAACTAAAGGTTCTAAACCACAAGAACCATGTGAAGGCCATTTATGTACAATCTCAAACCATTCTGACATACTTAATCCATGGGTTGTTCTAATATCCTTAGAATCATATTTCACCAAATAAAAATATTTATTTTCAACTTTTTAATTACTTGACGTTCATCCTATTTATACGATTAAATTAATTAAAAGAAATCTTCTTTTGTATAAAATCATTAATTAATCTCGTTTTTATTGCTTAATTTCCTTAGGAGGACGTTGCATTGAGGGAAAAGTTTATTGAAGTTGCTCTAGTTCTAGATCAATCCTTGGTATGTATTACAAGTGCATTTTTTCCGATAGTCTGAAACTTTTTAAACTAAGAGGTTTGTAAAATCTTCTAGTAAAGTATAATGTAGCCTTTACTGACTCAGCCTTAATTGGCGTGATTAGAAATCATCTCTTCGCCTCCAGAAAGCCACGAAAGTTTTTTTTCAACATGCTTTTAACTTTCTAACTGCTTGTGCTATAATAATGAAAGATGTATGTTGCAATAGTAAAGTGATTATGCATTACTTAATGAAGCCGCCAACAGCCCCAAGTAGTAAAAAACTGATGAATTATTATTTTTATTTTGAAACTGATGTGAGAAAAGGGGAAAAATGAACTATAAAGTTGTTGCGCATCATAAATTTAGTTTGGATAGATATGTCGTAAACATTATGATGCTATTAATATAATTCTTAAAGCACGTATTTCTTTTTCACCGTTACCCTCTCAAAAATAATGAATCGATCTTAGAAAGAAAAAAAAACTACTTATCATAAGATGCCTTTATTTATTCTTTGTTCAATGACAGAAAAATGTAGACTGAAAAAGTTATCTTAAGTAGATAAATGATTTCAAAATTTATTTTAAGAAAAAAATTAGGATTAAAGAAATAAATAAATAAAATAAATAAAAAATCAGTTTTTTTTTATTAGTTGAAGCATTTTTCGATAGATGGCTCTGAAATTAGTAAAATTCTAAATCAAAGAAAAACAATTGAAAATAGCCTGATAAAATTTTAAAATCTCTTTGTAAATGAAAATTACGTAATAATATTTTCAAAATGTCCCTATCAGCCACACGTGATACTAATCGGAAGACGAAATTTGTATACATCAAAGTTCAACATAGAAACGGCCGAAATAGCTGGCAGTGCCCTCTGTCATAAAATTTTGGAACTAAAGCCAATAACTCTGGAAGGGAAAATTTATCCCCTGTCACAAGAATTTGCTGCAAGTTTTCTTTTTCCTTTTTTGCTTTTAATTTTCCATTTTTACTAATATAAATTTTTAAAACTGTTAGTAAAGTGTCTGAACCTTGCAACAAGTTTGAATAAAAGATGTTTTATGAGTTACAAATATCTGAATTTTTTCTGAGTAAATATGTATATTATTAATAAAAACAATAGATTATTGAAAAATCACCAAGTCAAGCATCAAATATAAATTTTTTCTCAGCATTATGTCTACTAGTTGTACATAACTATTATTTTTGTTATTTGCAGATCGAAAAATATTCTTCCATTCAAGAGGCTATAACCACATCCATTGAAATGATCAACTATGCAGACATGGTAATTGAGTTCGTATTTTCATGTAGTAGATGAAAATTTCCATTCGTGGAATTAAGTAGCCTTCTTGTGGTATTCGTTTAAATATATTTATGAGGAATAATTAATCAATATTGTTTTTTCTTTCTTTCTTTTTTTAGATTTTCAAGCCATTGAACACATCTCTAAGTCTGGTTTACGGCGAACTGTGGGCAAAAAACCGAATAGAAATAACGAATAATATCTCAAGTACTTTGAAAAACTTTAAAGAGTATGCAGCTCAGCGAATGAGTCGATTTTCGATAGATACGGCTCATCTCCTATCGTAAGATTTTTTTTCTAATATTTTGTATAATAGATGTTTTCACGAATATAAAAAATGTTCTAAAAGTATTTTTTTATGAATATTAATCAGATTCCGATTAAATGAAAAAATAAATGATGAAAAATAGATTTAGGCTTAGAAAATGAAGAAAATTCTACATTTAAAAAAAAATATTTGCTATTAAAAATATCCTTTAAGGATTTATTTAAAGTAGTAGAGACCAATAGGATTTCTCTTTTTTTTCACAGAGGAAAAAAATTTTTATTAAAATAAAACTAAAATGTATTTTAGTTGTTATTTTTAAGATACTTCAACATATGGGCATTAATGAAAACTCTTGATGTTTGGTCGTTATTAAGAGATACACCAAACTTTTAAATTATGATAATCTAAACCAAAATGGTAATCTTAAAAAAGTTTTTAATGAATATATTGGAAGGATAAATGCATTTCTAAAGTGCAGTGAATAAATTTAATAATATTGGTAAGAGTTTGCAAACATTTCTTTTTTTCCACATTTCATTGCGCTTTATTGAAATCTATATGACGAAAGGTGATATTTAACGAACTGTTTCTTCATATTAAAGCAATTTTGATACTATGGTAATTAAAATGTAAATGATTATATGATGGGATATTATCTAATGAAAGCGAAACAAATTTCTGGACAGACCTCAATAAAAATTGTTATATATTAATAACGTTTATCTTTTTTTCCTCTTTACCAGGTCTTTAAGAGCTTTGTGTAAAGATTATAAGGCTGAAACACGAAAAATATACATTTAAGTCAGTAATTAGTGAACACTTTGTAAATATATAAGAATTATATCATTTGTAAGCAATATGATGCTGTTTATGATATCCATTATGGGATATTGCATTCTTACAATAATATATCATGTATGAATGCAATATCACGTTCATATGATGTATTATTTTATGTTTCAGAGGAAGCGATTTTAATGATGAGCAAAATGGCATCGCTTTCTTGGATAGTGTCTGCACAGCTAATGGAGTTAGTTTAACTAAAGTAACTGTTTCTTTATGCATTATTTGGTTATTTATTATTTGTTTTCGATTATTAATTATTTATTAAATTGACTATATTTATTTTTTTATGGTTTTTTATTACCATTTTGTTGTTATGCTTTGATTTTAAACAACAGCTTTGATAAAACCAAAGGAGCTCAAGCAATCTATTCTTAACAATAAAGAAAAATTACTATTGAATTCAACAATAAGTAGATTGTGAACAATAATAGCATTAAAATGAACTTGTTCTAAGATTTTTGTAAAAAAAATTTTTTTTTAGTAATAGTTGTTCATTTATATTTCAAATATATTATTAAAGGACAAAAAAATGAAGGAATTTTAATTTTAACATATATTTAGGCATATATTTATAACATATATTAAATAAACATATATTTAGGCTTATATTCATGAAATGAATATCATGAATTTCATCATGAATTTCAGCAATTTAGAACAAACTAGCATCAAATTTTATTTAGACTTTCTTCTCCAAAAACAAATGAAAAACAATTCAAAAGCAGCGTTAGCTCAACTTTAACGTATCCAAACAATCGAAAACAGCGCAAATGCTACATAGTTTGTGCTTTAAATACTTATCCCTCATATTATAAACTTCTTGATGACAATTTATTTAAATTGCATAAGGATGGAAGCATAAATACTCAAAACTTATCAACTTCATATTACCAATCTATTTAAACTACGTGAATAAGGGAACATAAATAGAGAAGTAAGAAAGATAATACACGAATAAGGGAGTAAAATAAAATAAATCCCCTGACAATTTATTTTTCTAACAAGCTTAGTAACTAAAATGCATCCTATCATCAAACTAGTAACCCAGCTCTATACGTATTAATTGGTATCGGGAATACATAAGCTGATATGAAACATACATTCGTAATTATTCGATTTTATCTAGAACATTTCTACGACATTAAGTGATGCTTGAAAACGAACATTATCATCGGGGGGAAGCAATTCATAATGAACGAGAAAATATCTCATTCGTTCGGAAATCAAGCATCTAGCACTTCGTAGCATTTTATTTATCTTCTTCTATAGAATATTTTTTTTACTCATTAGGGAAAGTTAAAGATTCTTTATTCTTCCATTCAATGCATGTTTCATTTGATATAATGACGGACCAAAATTTTTATCTGGGTTCATTAGTGTATGAACGCGTCCTTCTTATGATGTCAAAATGCAGTTGCTAATATAATTAAGTTATTGAATACTTGGAGTGTACAATTTTGAAACAAGAGATAGATATTTTGTTTGCTAAAATTGTAAAGGTAAATTTAAAAAAGAAGAGTATTTTAAATATTAGGTTTAGAAAAATATATTAAAATAAGACAAATATATTCAAAGCTGATAAATATTCTAAAACATTTATCATATTCTAATATATTTCTTACATCATCCAGACTCTAACATTTTCATATTTTTCTAATATATTTATAATTTCTAATAAATCTGCATTTTTGTAATATATATATCTAATTCAAATTTTAATATATTTTTCTCGGAAATCCAGCATCTAGCACTTCGCAGCATTTTATTTATTTTCTTCTATAGAATATTTTTTTTTATTCATTAGGGAAAGTTAAAGATTCTTTATTCTTCCATTCAATGCATGTTTCATTTGATATAATGACGGACCAAAATTTTTATCTCGGTTCATTAGTGTATGAACGCGTCCTTCTTATGATGTCAAAACGCAGTTGCTAATATAATTAAGTTATTGAATATTTGGAGTGTACAATTTTGAAACATGAGATTGATGTTTTGTTTGCTAAAATTGTAAGGGTAAATTTAAAAAAGGAGCGTATTTTAAATGTTAGGTTTAAAAAAATATATTAAAATAAGACAAATATGTTCAAATCAGATAAATATTCTAAAACATTTATCATATTCTAATATATTTCTTACATCATCAGACTCTAACATTTTCATATTTTTCTAATATATTTATAATTTCTAATAAATTTGTATTTTTGTAATATATTTATCTAATTCAAATTTTAATATATTTTTCTCAGAAATCAAGCATCTAGCACTTCGCAGCATTTTATTTATCTTCTTCTATAGAATACTTTTTTTTACTCATTAGGAAAAGTTAAAGATTCCTTATTCTTCCATTCAATGCATGTTTCATTTGATATAATGACGGACCAAAATTTTTATCTCGGTTCATTAGTGTATGAACGCGTCCTTCTTATGATGTCAAAACGCAGTTGCTAATATAATTAAGTTATTGAATATTTGGAGTGTACAATTTTGAAACATGAGATTGATGTTTTGTTTGCTAAAATTGTAAGGGTAAATTTAAAAAAGGAGCGTATTTTAAATGTTAGGTTTAAAAAAATATATTAAAATAAGACAAATATGTTCAAATCAGATAAATATTCTAAAACATTTATCATATTCTAATATATTTCTTACATCATCAGACTCTAACATTTTCATATTTTTCTAATGTATATATAATTTCTAATAAATCTGTATTTTTGTAATATATTTATCGAATTCAAATTTTAATATATTTTTCACATTATCAAATTTTAATAAAATATAAATTCTGATAATGTAAGAAATATATTAAAATAAGTTAATTATATAAGAAAAATATAACTATATTCGAAAAATATAAATATATTAGAAAAATATAAATATATTTGTCTGAGGACGTAAAAAATATATTAGTATATATTCGATTTTATCAAGAACACTATTAGGACATTAAACGAACATTACGACTGCGATACGAACTACGACTTTGAAACGAACAATATTATCGGGGGAAGCTATTCATAATGAACTAGAAAATATTTCATTCGTTCGGAAATCAAGCACCTAGCACTTCGTAGCATTTTACTTATCTTTTTCTATAGAATATTTTTTACTAATTAGAGAAAGTTAAACATACTGTTCAATTGAATGCATATTATTATCTATTCCGGTTAGAAAATCTTTCACATTTTAATGGTAAAACTGATAGCTGGATTCATTAATGGCTTGCAGTGCCATCTGTGAGCAAAGTTTGTAACTAAATTTCAAAATTTCTGTATAAACTATTAGTAGCTTTCACTTTAAGCATATTGCAAGTTTTCCTTCTTTATCGTCCTTAGTTTCTGATACTTTTAATTTTGAAATAAGTCAGGTTTTTGCTGAAACGCCCCGTAAAAAATCTGAATTATTACTATGTACTTTGCTTAGTCATAATATAGAATGCCTAAGCAGTCTGAGAAATAATAATCAATTCGATTTTGCAAATCAATTTCAGTCATTCTATACAATAATTAGGCATTTTATAGACTCCCATGCACACCTTTAGCACTTTGATGAGTTAAGCTCCCTGTAATTATTGCACAATAATATCATAGGTGCTTAGGTAATATATATATTATATATANGAGAGAGAGAGAGAGAGAGAGAGAGAGAGAGAGAGAGAGAGAGAGAGAGAGAGAGAGAGAGAGAGAGAGAGAGAGGGAGAGAGATTAAATTCGATACAAATTTTAGCTCTTAAACTATTCGACAACCGGTAATACTATATTTTTGTATTTTATAGGTGAATAACATTTTTCTTCCCTATATATCTGCAAACATTCTTGCTCATTTAATAGGACACAATCTAGGAATGAAACACGACCATAAACGTAAGTGGCGACATCTTTTTTATATCGTAAAAGCAATTTTTATATTTTTTCATTTTATGGTTTAGTGATAAAATGTGGCTAGTTTTAAAATGTTTCATTTTTAGGTGTACACATTATAATGATAAATTCGTAATAGGAAAAAAAGCTTTATATGTGAATAAAATTTTATTAAATTCATTTTTATCAGCTTGCTGTCCGACTTCTGCTCACAGTTTTATCTTAAAATGTCAACTCTAAAAGAGCTCAGACGGTAACAGCACGCCATTTTTTTTAAATCTATAAAGCAATTTTAATTTATTTGGAAAGTATTTAATTTTTATAAGTTTTCAAGATATGAATACTACTGTAAATGTGTAAAAATTTATACTTTTCAAAATAGGTTTTTTGATTACATAATGGACAAATATACCGGGATTTTTTTAATTATTGCACCTTGAATATAACTTTAGAATCCTCAATAAAAATGAAGACAAATAATGTACTCCGTAGCTAAGTATTCGTATCTAAATGTATTTAGTATCTAAGTGGAGCAAAATGACAAACGTAACCAACACTAAACGAATCATTTTACGTTTGAACAAAACCTCTTTGATTGCGGAAGAATATTATTTTAGAATAATATCATGAACATTATATATAAGATGTATATAGAAATGATATTGGGGGAAACATTACGATGTAATGCGAACTTAAAATGTCTTTTTAGTCAGGATATTTATTCAATTTATCAAAAACTGTGAACTCAGTTTCTTATGTAATGGAAGTGATATTGGTAATAACTTATTTGTTAAATTTCTAATGAAAAAAAGTTATTTTTTATTTATTTATTTATTTTCTCGTCGTTGTAGAACGACATTTTAATCGGGAAAACACACACTCGGGTTGAAATAAATGGCATAGTTGTAACCAAAAATATAGAAAGGAAAAAAATAATGGTCTTAATAAAAACCTGGTAGTCGAGGGAGACAAATCAAGGCAGAATACATTTCTATGCATAGTGCAGGAGTTGAGCAAAACCGAGGTAATTTACTATAGATTTGGAACTATTTAAATTTGCAAAGACTTATTTTATTATTCTACTTGCCTGTTGACTTTGATTAAATGCGTTTTTTTGTTTATTGTGACTTCTAATTTTATTCAAGATGATTTTGACTATTCTTACTTTCAAATTTCCATAATTTAATTTGATTTCTTTGATTTACCGGATTACTTTATATTTCCCAGGTTTAGTTTCTGTGTTTTTAATTATTCAGAAATATTTCTAACAGTGGAAAATTTAGTTTAAGAGTTCTTTATCATTAAGAACATGCTTTTGATGATATATTCAGTGTGCCATTATTATGGAGAAGGGATTCTGGGTGCCAATTTATGTTGGTGATGGATATTCAGGTGGGGTTGGAGTTTGTATTCGTATAGTGGACTAGTTGAAGATATTGACAAACTGAAGATGATGACGAAATCAGGAGATGATGAAAATAGAAGGGTGATGAAAATTAACAGTTGAACCGGATCATATTTAATAAAAAGCTTTTATTTATTATATATTTGCAGAGCTCGAGTTACAATATATAAAAATCATTTCATAAGAATTTCAGTTGAATAAGTTTTGCATAGTAAGATTAATATAAGGACAGGCCGTGGGAGACGAATCCCCCACAACCTGCCTAGTCAAAAGCCAAATTAAAAAGTACATGTAAATTGTTCCCAGCGGACACAGAAGCATTGGTAGGAGATCCAAAATTGGCGGTCTATTAAAATATTACATAGCCAAAACAAAGCCAACCAGCCTATCAATATTGGGTTTAAAATAATACCTTGGCGATCACGANTTATGGCTAATAATGTACCGTAAGTATTATCAAGATATATTAAAATGAATTGAAAAATTTATGTACATTTAATAAACTGGCGAATTCATAAGCATCTCATTTTAGTGCATCAGCATGCTTAATGTGCCAATGTGTATTTGAACATATTTATCATTATTAAGTGGGAAAAAAACATATTGAGAATAATGAATTCCATAATTCATTAAAAAATTAAGATTCGAAAATTTAGAACTTTGAGAACTTATAATGGTGAATGCATTTGCAGCACGTTGTATCATATTGATATTCAAATTTATACCACCCTAATGTGAAGCCCCCTTTCAATGAGCTATTAAAGTATTTATGCATTTTATTAGTTTTAAGGTTCAGTTTTCATCAGTTTAGTTTATCAGTTTATGTATCTTATCAGTTTTATGTATTTTATCAGCAAAAAGGGGAGCATACAAATCAAAAAGAGACACTTTTGGTATTAAAAATTAAAAATATTTTGTTATTTTGCTATACTAGTGCAAAAGTGTTTCTAATAACAGTCAATTAAATCTATATGAACTGATCAAATTTGATTAACTTATAGTACAAGGAAAGTGAAAATTAGTAACATCTGCTCGTGTTTTATTATCACTCGAACTAATCAATACTTTTTAATTATTATTCAATTTTGCAATAAATTAAATGATACGCTTTGCATTGTTTTTAAAATGTAAAGAATTTATCATTTTTTTGTATAAATATTTTACGTACAAAAAATTAAAAAAAAACACAAACGAGATGTTATTTATCCTTTAATATTATAGTGAAATAAAATATTATTTTATATGATTATTAATGTTAAACATTTATAGTGAAATAAGAGCGTAATATATATAAATGTAATATTCATAATTAATATTCATTACATTTCAAGAACACTGTCCGATTATTACCTGGGTTTCACCCCGGGTATCACCTTGGTTAAGCCCATCCAGCTTCCTATTGATAGGTACTTGCTTGCCCGAGAAGTAAAAGTTGTTGGTGCTCGACGCTGACTACATGCTGTTGATCACTAAATCGAGAAGCCTTTATCTTCATGACTTTGTGACCTACAAAGGGCTGTTAAGGGAAAGCTTTACTTCATTTCCCAAAGCGGTGTTAGAGTTTTCTTTCTAAAATTCCAGTAAAACCACCGGCTGCAGACTGTCTATCCATTTAGCTGTAAGGTTTACAGTGTGGAACACTTCTTTACCTTTACGGTTTTGAAACTGACTACTTCTTGTATAGTTAAAAAAACTGCAAACCCGTAACTATAAGTTTTTTGAAGTTATACTTCTTATGCGACTTCCAACAAGGTTGCGTTAAACGTTTAACGCTACATTTTTATTGGCCGGGAAATCGCGTGGTAGGATCCAGTTTTCCCTCATTCATTTCCATATTGTTTTGGTTCTCACTAGCATAAAAGTATTTTTCTTCTATAAATATTTTTTTAGTTTGTTTTGATACACATATAATTTAATAGGGTAGTATTTTTTATTTTCAAATTTAGTTGATAACAAATGTAAAATATGAGTGAAAACAATCCCACGGACAATGCGACAGATTTATAAGGTTATGTCAAGGTACGTCTCTTGTGAATATCAATTGATTGTTAGGTTTTCTCTTCTGAAATTACATTATGACGCATTCACATACATTATTATTAAAAATACATTTTCCAGGGCGAGGCGATGAGGCAAACACAAGCAATTCCACTGGTTCAAGAGGTCCACGAGGGAAAAATGCACAATATTACAGTGATTACAGAGCACGGAAGCGAGCGGAGCAGGAAAAAGAATAGAACTAGTGATCCTTCTACGACTGCTGATTCTTCTACAATTAACGTCGCAAACTTCTTCCGCGCGGAGGGACTCCACGCGCTATCTTTTTTCTTTTCTTTTTTTTTTTTTTACTATTTACGGCTAGCATTGTTTTAAACTAATAAAAATGAAATTCTTATGGACATTGAAATTAGGTTGTGTTAGGCTTTACGTAAGGTAATGGACACAGGAATTATGTTGTGGCTGAGATGTGTATTGTCACACTGTAAAATGTGGCTTAATTAGTTTATCTGGTTGTGCCATCTATCGTGAGAGATGTGATATATTAGACTTATTTTGTGTTAATCAGCTCCCTCTTTCCGGTGCTGCCATCTATGCGTAAATAAAAGTTTCGTATTCCTATAGTCCAGCGTCACCAATTGAGGTGTGCTACACATTGGAAATTCTTCAAGTGTTGAAGGAGTGGGAGACATATTTTGGTTTCAATGCTGGGATTCGAACCCCATTTCAGCCCTTCACGAGATTGACAGGCAAGCCGTGTTGGGTAAATTATATTCCTAGGATATACCAGAACTAAGTGAATTAATAAGGTGGTTAGTTAACCGTATTAAGTGGAAACAAGTAATAAGCGTTTTCACATTAAACAGATTGAATATTTTTTTTACGGTTATTTGACTGTTTTGGTTGAATATAGTAAAATAACAATTAAATAAATAATTATTTAGCCATTTTTTCGAGAAGTTTCCAGCAATGTATACGATGAAATGTTGACTAATAAAATATATACATAGGATCTGTTCATAAGCTCCTTTAATACACTTAAATGTTTGGATTTGAAACAAATTTAATCATTTTTAAATCTATCTCTGAACCAATAAGCTGAATAAATTGATCTGAAATCGAGAAGCGACTACATGATTTCTCGTTTATAAATTTGCTTCTCATGCCACGCTATAGCGAAAAACGAAAAATAGAGTTGCATTGTTTATTTTGCCCAAGGGTTCTACAGTTGATGGACTTCTATTTCCATTTTCAAATAAAAAATCATAAAAAGGAATTCCTTACATCAAGATTCATGAAATTATTTTTCGCCCAGAAGCTTTTTAGAAAGTGAAAATAATTTTTTTAAAAAAGCGATGGCATTAGGCGTATTACCTTTCCAATATCTTATTTCATGTTACCTTCAAAGAAACTTTGATAAACTGTCGAAGGATACCACATTTTCATTATATTCCTAATTGCATACAAAGAAGTGATAGGCTATTTTAAAAACACCATAATTTAATACAAAAATTTGTAGTCAACAAAAAAAATCTTGACACTATTAAATACATCTGTAAATTTTCATGGTTGTTTTGTTGTTCCATTGGTTTTTCGATCAATGTTTTTTATTTTATTGGTTTTCGTTCCATTTTTTTTATTTCATTGTTTTTAATAGGTAAATAGATTTCATTTCCTATTTGAATAGTTTTTAAATCATTTAAACCATTGCTAAACTCTAGTCAATTTTTTGACTGAATTTAAATTTCTTTAAAAATTAGTCGTTGTTTTAAAAATATTATGAATTTTTAAGTTTGACTAGTTGATATTTTTGACATTTATTTCCTTTTCTTTAATTGAGAAAAACAGTTAGGGATATTCTTAAAATACATTAAATTTAAATATATGTTATAGTTAAACACGAATGGGAATTTATACGGCTTTTGGCGTACCGACTGAGGAAACACTTTTGAATTTTAAAAAAAATATTAATTTTAAAAGTTTAACTGAATGCATTACAGAATAACTATGGTAAAATAGAATTCATTGAAAATATTAATTATTTTAATTATCAATTGTTTTAAAAAATAATAATTATTGATTCCTTTAATTCAAGTATTCAATTTGTCAAAATTAATGTGTCATATTGTTATGTAATACTAAAATTTAAAAAAAAACGTTCAATTGCTGAAAATTTGATTTTAGTTTAAAAACTTCTAATCTATTCAAACAAAATGGTTCATTCTCATAGAATTTTCAAACATAATCAATCCATTTCAGATTAAAACAATGTTAAGGAACCTAAAGAAAAAAAAAACACTTTTTTAGATATAAAGAAAAACATCAAAAATATTGTGATAACCCGAAACTAAATTTATAATTTTCCACAGTCACTTTTCCCAAAATACTGTTTTTTAAAGCAATTTAGTAGACATTGATTATATAATATNGCTTGCAGATTAGGAGAAGTAAATAAAACTTACTGATTTTCTTTGTTTTTCTCCTTTTCATTTTTATTTATAGTGCTATATATATATATATATGCATGTGTGTGCATTTTCTTTTTCCTATTTTGCCTCATATTTAATGAAATTATTTCAACTGCTGAAAATGCAAGTAATAAAAGATATGCATGTTAAACTGTCAAAACAATTAGTTTGAAAGGAAACCAAGCATAGTTAAAGTGTAGGAATTTTTTAAAATTATAATCGTAAAGAGCTTTTTTTTTAAGTTATGAAAATTCTTTTAATTTAAGTTGTCTAAAACTATTTGCTAATAAAATAACGGTATTTTCTTATCATAAAATTATAATTTGGGAAAAACTTTGCGGCATATTATTGATATTTTGCATTATTACTATATTTTAATAAGATTAAAAACTATTTCATGTTTTGTTAAACCTTAAATTAATAATATTTAATTAGTGCTATAAACTATTAATTTTTAACTTATTACTTTTATATATTTATAATTCATATTTATAGAAATTTAACTTGAAAATACTAAAGAAATTTTTAATTGGAAAGAGGTGAACTTATAAATGGGTGGGAGTAATTTTTTGTGGCAATATTAAATTTAATTCAAAACAAGGTTTTAAAAATTACAATTACTAAAAATTTTATTNTTTTTTTTTTTTTTTTTTTTTTTTTTTTTTTTTTTTTTTTTTTTTTTTTTTTTTTTAGTGTGCAAATCAGGCAAGATTGGGTGTCTGACATTTATGACTTAATTGAAAATTTCAGGATATGTTCCTTATGTAAATGACTATAAAATTTGAATATCACTTTAAAAATGACCTTAAAGTATCAAATTAATTTAAAACCTGAACAACCTTCAAGGTCATTAACCTATTGACGTAGAGGAGGCACCGATGATGACTTTTTTGAAGCTCTAATTACAAGCAAAAATATTTTTTTAAAAATAAAAAACAGTCAAAAAGTTTTTTAGATTATTAAAATTATATTTGCACTAATGTATAAGATCCAAAAAATGTAGTTTGAATTTTTTTACTCGTATTCAAAAATTTATCAATAATTGATTTTTTCAAATTAAAGAAATTTCAATGATGAACAACTGTTTCTCTTAAATCTAAATAACTGCAAATAAGTTCAAATTTGAAAAAATTATTGTTTGGAACTGGGTCATGTTTGGAAGATTTTTTAACACAGAAAAAGACAATGGTTTCCTGCTATATTTCATAACTATCAATTATTAAAATGCTAAACATAATATTTTTGATTTATTTTGAGCTAATTTAATACTAAGTGATGAAAGTAGTATGAAAAATAAGTTTAAAAAAATTTTGCACCTAAGCGTTAACTAACGTTGACAAAACTTTGGTATGAAAGAACCTTGCACAATATAGAAATCGGTCATCAGTAAAATTGACTAAAATTTTATAATGTTGTAGTTCATTCCATGCTGAATAAAGTCATCTTTGGGCACGATGTTGAAAACTGGCTGATTTTTGCGATATAAAATTTTTAAAATCGCACTGGAGGATAGTTTGGCCACTTTTTCACTGTTATGAATTGCTATATCTTCATATTTTGAATTGAGCGAAATTAAAAGGCCGGGATAGAATGGTTGGCAGGGTTCTGAAATTACGTTCATGAGAACGGAAATTCAAATCCAGCCGGCCGAAGACTCCTCGTGTAGTAAAATTGACTGCTGCATGTTAAATCTGTCGGGTCACAAAGTCCTCAATCCTCCCGTAACAAACTATACCTCTGGTGGTATTGAATTTGGAATTGATCGTTTTCTAGTTAAGATCAAAATTACAATCTGTGGATGAATGAATGGATGCATGAATGGGTTCGCCTTATAAACGAGTGTGACGTAAGTGTGCGGCAAAAGTTGAATTCTTGGCCGTAGATGGCCCCCCAGGAAGACAAGAACAATCGGACCTCTCGTCTTAATACATACTACAACAACGACAAACTTAAAACAAAGCGACCACCAGTGCAATTTAAACTTTTATCACTCTGAAATTAGCCATTTTTAAGCTTCGTGCCCACGATGACAACATAATAAAATTTCAGTCAATTTGACCAAAACCCATTTTTCATAAGATTTGTACAGGGGGCTTTGTTAAAAATATTTATAATTACTAATTCGATACTGATACAAAATCAATTTACAAATCTATGGTTACTGATTCAAGTTTTATACAATAAACTTTGAGGCCCGAGCCTAAGTAATTGAATACAGAAATAGTTATAAGAAAGCCGTAGATTGTTTTAAGAAATGTGATTTAGGCTCAATATGAATATCTGAAGTTAATATCCTCGTCAGAGGTGAGCTTTAGTCTCTAGGAGAGGGTTTCCCAAACTTAGGACTTTTGTGTACCCTTTCTAAATTTTTCGTAACGGTGTGTACCATTTATAAAAAAATGAATGTATTTTTTACTATAAAAAATTGCACAAAAGTCACAACTGACTGTTGACACCACTATTTATTAATTGTTATTTCAGCAAAAAATAGCCAATTAAAAAATACGAAAAATTCATGGGTAGTTTGGTTTTTAAATAAAAATTTTTGAAATTTTCGTTTGTTGTAAGATATTTCGCTTAAGAATGTGTACCCCCGCTAAATTGTTACCGTACCCCTGGGGGTACGCGTACCACACTTTGGGAAACACTGCTCTAGGGGGATCTCTAGGCAAATGGAACAAAATATACTCTTTGCTATTTAGGCAAGCTACACAATGTTTCCCATGTAATATTTTGCGTTAAGGAGGGGAAAAAAACTCACTCAAATTGATTATATAGTATAGTTAAGAAGTTATATATTGGATTTATTCATATAAAAACAGAGAAAATTTTGATTCTTACATATTTATGCATCTGACATTGCTATCTAGGTAAGTAAGGTATTGATTTCAATGTATTTAAGCAATAGATAGGAACACAGCTCATAAACAATTTGAAAGTCATAAAAGATTTGAGTATAAAATACAGTTGTGTGCTTTTCGTACTTACCTGATTAAAACCTTTAAACTGTTAGTGAACTGTGCATGAAGTAATTTGCAAAGAAATACATTCATATACAAATATTTAAAATGAAAATGAAAATAAAAGAACTTTTACTGACCTCGCTTGAGATGCAAGTATATCAAGCCCTTAATATGAAGTAATTATACGTAGAAAACAAAAGAAAATCACAGAAAACATATAGGAATTAATAAAAAAATTGTGTAAAAAAAGGAAAGAAGAAATTAAAGACAACTAGTATAAACTTCAAAAAAATATTTAGCAAAAATTTGATTATATAACTAAAATAAATGCAATTTTTTCACTTAAGAATACATGATTTTAACAGTTTTTTTTACTAATATTTATTTGCTCAGTAAAAATAAGAAAAAGAAATATTTCCAATAAGTTTTATATACTTTAGTTCTTAGTATTTTTCATACATCTTCATTAAAATGGAAACAAAGACGCGACGAAAAAAAAATTATATAAAGGGACACATTGTCAAATCGAAATTTCCATTTATTGGACTTCAAAATAATTTTCTTAACTTTTGTATTAAAGTACTAATTCACAACATAAATTTTCGCAGAAAATTTAATTCAATCCAATAGCAATTAACTGAAAAAAAAATTTTCTAAAAATACTCCTAAATATTTCTGCGAAAGGGAGAAAAGAAACTAAAAATAGATAATTAATCTTTGAAGTGTATATATAGCTCTTGATACACTAGCAAAAAAAAGCTAAAATTATTCTATTTTTAGGCATTACGAGTCAATACTTTTCTCTGATTGCAGTATAAGAGATTATTTCCAGACACTTAACAAGGGATTTGGTGCTTGTCTATTCAATATGCCTACGCTGGTAAAAGTTTTTTTAAATTTTTTTTTAACAAATTGCTTAATTGTTTTATTAACATTTCTATTTTTAATCAGACATTGCATTTTAGTTTCAATTTATCATTGATTTTGGTTTAGCTTGACATTTTAAAAACAAATCATTATCATAATTACATAAGTAAGAAGTGGCCTTTCTAACAAAGTAGTACTAAATATTAATATTTAATAAGAATTAATTTTAAACAAACTGCATTTCTTTACAGGGAAGCGCTTCGTGGTTTTTGAATAACCAACAAATCTTTAAGTTTCGTTCTTAATAAAGTTAACTATATAATAACTACATAAATGTATAAAGTTGGACTATATGAAGTTGGCTATATTATAATAATAATAATAAATCAATTAGTAAAAACAATAATAAAAATAACAATAATTATAAATAAATAAATTAGTAAAATAATAATTATAATGATATTAATAACTAATAAAAAACCGATGATAATGAAATAATAATAACTTAAAATTAATAAAACAATAATAATAATGACAATTAAAATAACTAGAATAGCAGCAACTATATTATTTAGCAATAATTAAGTAATATGCGAGGTGTTCTATTATTACCCCCGCCAATATATATTTCTGAAAAATTTCGCCAAAAGAGGAGTACAAAAAATGTGCTTGTTAGAGGTCACAAATTGATTAGATATAAATGCGTTATCGAAATCTCTTGAATCACTAGTGAGGAAGGCAGATTGAAGATTGTCAAATCCAGTATGATTTCCTTGTGTACCTTGGAGTTATTTCTAATAATTTATTGTTGAGTCGAAATAAAGTTGTTTTTTATGTTTCCAGTTCCGCCTTCCTCAGTAGCGATTCATTAAGGTTTGTAGACAGTTATGATTATTTTTCGCTTAAGTAATCATTTGCAACCTTTAAAGTGTGCTCTTTTTTATTTTACGTTTGATAGGCATTCTAAACATCGATACTGAAGACGATGATTTAAAATTGTCCTTTAAATTTTATGCATAGTAATGAGGTCGTTCACCCAAAAATTTCCATATTTGATGTACAGTGTGTGAAATTAAAGACGAAACACTTTAATATTATTTGATCTAATTAATTGGATTGTTAACGAGAACTTTCGGTCTTTTACAATAACTCCTAGAAGAGAGAAGATCTCAGCATAGATCAATTTATAAGTCCGACATAGCGAGCATCAATTGTGCAATAGAGAAGGATGAAGAAAGATGTTATTACGTTCGGGCTACTAAGTTGAGTAATGAGAGGAAATACGAAAGATATCATTACGTTTGGACTACTAAAGGATCAAATTTCGAATTTATGGCAACCCGTGCTGAGGTCTTCTCTCTTCTAGGAGGTATTACTTTTCTCCTGCCTAAACTATTGGGGCAATACATTCCAGAATGTCTTTACCTATCATATTTTAAGGGTTAAGAATACAAATTTATCTGAGAAATACTTGTTTATTCAGAGTAAGAATGTTTTTGTCCTTGTTCCTTTACTTAAAGTATCGTTTGCATAAATATTTTAGCGTGCTTATTGCATCCATAGAATAATTAAATCCATTCGATAAGATTTAATAATGAAAATTTGCAAATCATTTAACCGTTCAATTTTTATTAAAAAAAATGTTTGACTCAAAAATGCTGCTGTATTCAGTGCACGCTAGAAATTTTAAATCAAATTTGTTATCATTTTCGTCTGTAACTTCATGATCGGCATAACTCGCCATTTATGGTATGAAAAATTAAAGAAGAGATACACGTCTTTTTACTGGAGAGGGTTAAGATTGCATCTCATAAGCCTCAAATTCAATCAGTAAATCGATAGCTGTTCTGTTCTTGACGATGCACAGTGCATAGATTGGAAATAAAACTGCCCTTTTTGTATATCTTATAAATCTTTGCCACAATAATTAATAAAATTTTATATTAATGTTCATACTTATGAATTTTGTTGTTCTTTTCACTATCTTGTTGCCGCCATGTTTTCCCCATCATTTTGAACTCTTGTACACATTGCTTAGAGAAAAGCTGTTTGCGGAAATGGTATAGTGGAGGAATCAGAAGAATGCGACTGTGGAACTATGGAGGTAATCATTTTTATAAACACAATTATTAGTTATCAACCTCATATACTATTAAACGTTAATTATTACGTTTGTTTGAATAATTTGAGATAACTATTATATTTCCTCTTTTTAAATCCTCCACTTATTTCAACTGGTATACTCTATAACAAAAAAATCGACGCACCAAGAAGCAATCATCCGATTGCTTTGAAATTTCGTATGCATGAAGTTTTTGAACAGATATGGCTGGAATGATGCCGACTGGGGACGTATAGTTTTTAGCGACGAATCCCGCTTCCAACTGTGTCCTGATGATCATCGAAGACTTGTTTGGAGACGCACAGGACAGAGGGGGGATCCTGCCTTCACTATTGCACGNAAGGATCAAATTTCGAATTTATGGCAACCCGTGCTGAGGTCTTCTCTCTTCTAGGAGGTATTACTTTTCTCCTGCCTAAACTATTGGGGCAATACATTCCAGAATGTCTTTACCTATCATATTTTAAGGGTTAAGAATACAAATTTATCTGAGAAATACTTGTTTATTCAGAGTAAGAATGTTTTTGTTCTTGTTCCTTTACTTAAAGTATCGTTTGCATAAATATTTTAGCGTGCTTATTGCATCCCTAGAATAATTAAATCCATTCGACAAGATTTAATAATGAAAATTTGCAAATCATTTAAACGTTCAATTTTTATTTAAAAAAAATGTTTGACTCAAAAACGCTGCTGTATTCAGTGCACGCTAGAAATTTTAAACCAAATTTGTTATCATTTTCGTCTGTAACTTCATCTGTAACTCGCCATTTATGGTATGAAAAATTAAAGAAGAGCTGAACACGTCTTTTTACTGGAAAGGGTTAAGATTGCATCTCATGAGCCTCAAAATCAATCAGTAAATCAAAAGTTATTAAGATGTTACGTTTTTGACGTTGCACAGTGCATAGATTGGAAATAAAATGTACAGGGTGTTCTTAAAACACTGCCCTTTTTGTATATCTTATAAATCTTTGCCACAATAATTAATGAAATTTTATATTAATGCTTATACTTATGAATTTTGTTGTTCTTTTCACTCTTTTGTTGCATCCATGTTTTCCCCATCATTTGGAACTCTTGTACTCATTGCTTAGAGAAAAGCTGTTTGCGGAAATGGTATAGTGGAGGAATCAGAAGAATGCGACTGCGGAACTATGGAGGTAATCATTTTTATAAACACAATTATTAGTCATCAACTTCATATACTATTAAACGTTAATTAATATGTTTGTTTGAATAATTGGAGATATCTATTATTTTGCATTTGTTTACGTCAGCAACTGTTCTTTCCAATCGATTTAGAGTAATCCAAGCCCGTCAAGCTTCAATTCTTTTAAGTAACACATTCTACATTCTTTCACAAATATTTTAATTTTTTCACTATATATTTCTTAATACAAAGACAGACACGATGTCTTGTAGAACATATACCAGAGGCATCCTCCTTGACATATACAAGCTAATTGTGCATCGAAGTTGCCAGGTACGCAAAACAAAAATATATCACTGTTACAATAAAATTTAAAAACAAATAATAAATCTAAGTTAAATAAATGACGCGGGCTAGAAAGAATGATGTTTCAGCAATTTCGATGTGCAATACGGCGATTTAATTACCTTCACGCTAATTAACGTTCTAACTTAAATGAGAAACTTAGTTTAACTCATGCCATTTTGCTTATGAACGATCAGATGTCGCTGACATCAGAGGTCACATGTGGGGGTATTTGTGATCCTCTTTTTGTTCTTGAAGTGCAAGTACCCAATTGATTTCAATTTCAATTTGATTAAACCTACATCATCATAAACATATCAAATTTATTTCAAATTGTTTCGAAAAAACTTCAAATATTTATTGTTGATGCTACTAACACTAACAACTTAATTTTTTAAGAATATTGAAATGAGTCTTAGAAAGTTTGAGATTTAGAAATGTCCTTTTGTATTAAATTGTAATTACTTTCAGAATCTTTTTTTTCCTTCAAAAAACCAAGAAATTTTAAAAAATAAGTAATTTAAATTTTTTTTAAATTGCAGGAATGTATGAAATTGGATCCTTGCTGTGATCCGGCAACGTGCAAATTAATTATGCATGCGGAATGTTCTGTGGGTCCTTGCTGCAAAAATTGTAAAGTATGTAATTCTTGACGTACTATATAATTGATTATGTATTTAAAAAATTAAATTAAATTTTAAATTTTTATTAAAATAAAATAATAATTAAATATTTTAAAATACTTTTAATCATCCTCAGATAATCTAAATAGAAATGCCTGGTTTGTTACATTATTGTTTGTTACATTCCCCAAATTCTCATTCTCACCAAGGAACCATTCTTACAAAATAATTTATTCTCAACAAGTTTCAAAATGAGTTAGAATGTTTTTCAACGGATAGCACTGCGAAGTAAGAAAAGCTCTAGAGCTATATTTTCTGATGAATTCCTGCTAAAACATTTCCGGCGTCTGTTGATCTTCTTTTCAGATTACACCATGTTATTTCAGTAAATGTTTCAAAGATTTCCTTAGTTGGGGGCTCCATCTATTGATAAAGATTGTAAGCAAATTTGAAACTTGGTGAGAAAAATATCTCATACTCTTAGCAGTACATGGGAAATTATACGTTCATATTTCTTTTTTATTTATTTACTTCATTTTTTTAAATTTATTTATTTTAGTTTTTCAAATTGCCTGTCGCGTTTGACACACCGGAATGTAGTGTTAGATTCTTGTAAATTCATTCATTGTAAATCTATTTCATTCTTGTAAACCTTGTAGTGTCCAAACAAATTATGGAAAAGAGTCAAAATAATTTTTACTGTTTCATAACATAATGTTATATTACAATATAGGAAACTCTAAATTTATAGTCCGAAATGTATCTTTCTAAAGAGAAAATATCTAGTTCGATATCTTGTGCTATGTCTTTAGCGCAAATCCTGCAAGCCGATAGAAATAGCTCAAACTATTATAAAAATGTCTCTTTTTTTAATATATATTTTCGGACCCAAATATATCTTCCATAATTTGTAAAATTCAAAGCAACATTTTTGGCAAGCTGAACGCGTCTGCCTGAATTTTTAAAAAAATTTTCTTTTTAAAAATTTATATACTTTTTGATACAATAAAATACTGATATATAATTTGAATTTTTGCATTGAGGAAACATCACTGTAATATTGTAAAATATTAATATAATATTAGTGATAATAAGAGTTATTGTTAAGTTAATTTATAGATAATTTTATAAATAAGAGTAAGGAATTTATTTTTACATTATTTCAGATGTTTTGAACTAGATAAAAAGTAAATTATTCTAACAGCTATGAAAAATGCATTTAAATTTTGTTAGTTTAAATTGAGAATGCAACATCAGTTAAGAACAGTAAGAACAGTTGGAAATTACCATAGTTGAATTTTCGTAAGTACAGAATCAAAAACAAATTTTAAATTTTCACATTTAATTAGTTTAAATTGAGAATGTAACATGAAGTTAATAGCAGTAAAAAATAGAAACAGCTAAAAATTTCCACAGCTAAATTTTTGTAAGTACCCCCCCCCCTAAAAAAAGAAATTCAATTAAACAAAAGGAATAAAATTTTCTTTTCAATAGATACAACAATAGAATAAAATTTTCTTTTCATTTAACTACATGTTTTTGAAAATAACAAAGTTATATTTTAGAAATGCTTAAAGCTGATAAATATCTATTGTTAAAAAACAAACTCCTGAATGTGTACTTGATCACACTTTTTGCATGGTAACGAAAAGTTATAGTATAATATGTTGTAATTAATAATGTTACCATCATCATTATCATTATATATTTATACAGCATAATGATTTATTCTTAGAGTTTATAAATATTTTCTTAATATATGATTGATCGTAATCAAGTGCATTTCCGTGAAACCGTGGTTTTGGTCATAAAACTTGTAAAATCATTGTTTGCTACCGATAGTTAAGGAATATGATTATGTTAAAACAATTAACTCGATAAACTATTTTTGCCACTTAATTATAAATATCAGTGTATAATGTAATTTCAGGACCAAGGGTACGTTCTACACGATCTGTTATGGCTTCAACTACTTTCCGATGTTTTATTCTAAATGTTTCCCAATTGTCAAGTGTTGCAATTTCTTGAAAATATTCAACCATGTAGTTTATAGCAATTCTCCTCAGGGCAAAATCGCGATACTTTTCAGTTACAGCAAATATATTGAATACAATATTTTTATCTAGAAGTTTTGGCAGTATGTCTTTTGAACGATCCGTTAATTCTTTGTCTATGCCTAGACGTAGTTAGTCGAGTGATTCTTCAATTTCTGTAAAATTTTCCACCATGTACTGTAAGGCGGCTTCTCTCAAATCAGAATCTTGCTGCTTTTGTGCTAGGATATACATGTCACACACATTATTACTCGTTATTCGAATCCTCAGCATATTATTTAAATTAACTCCATAAACTAATTTTGCCACTTAACTATAAATATCAGTGTATAATGTAATTTCAGGACCACGGGTACGTTTTACGCGATCTGTTATGGCTTCAACTACTTCCCCATGCTTTATTCTAAATGTTTCCTAATTGTCAAGCGTTGCAATTTCTTGAAAATATTCAACCATGTAGTTTATAGCAATTCTCCTCAAGGCAAAATCGCGATACTTTTCAGCTAGAGCAAATATATTGAATACAATGTTTTTATCTAGAAGTTTTGTCAGTATGTCTTTCGCACGATCCGTTAATTCTTTGTCTATGCCTAGACGTAGTTTGTCGAGTGATTCTTCAACTTCCATAAAATTTTCCACCATGTACTGTAAGGCGGCTTCTCTCAAATCAGAATCTTGCTGCTTTTGTGCTAGGATATACATGTCACATACATTATTACTCATTATTCGAATCCTCAGCATATCCCCGCATCTCTTTTCTAAGCCTAACCTCAAATATCGAGAAATAGACTCTTCATTAAATTTAAAATGATCAAGAGTCAGTGTTCGATCTGTCTCTCTTGTCGAGCAATGAAAATCAGTATCAAGCAATAAGTAAAAAATCATGTCAACCAAAGTTGCAACCACACCGGTTCTTTCGCATAAGCCCACGAATGAGTGCATCATTAGAAAATAGGGTGACGACTCCCCACATACATCCAAAAATCTTTCTACTGCTTTCAAAACTTCTAGTTTATCTTTTCCTCTTTGAAAGAGAGCGTTTAGGTTCGTATGATTAAGCGAGTCGATACCTTTCGGTAAAAGTTCTAAAAAGGTACATTTTATATCACATTGTAAGGTCAACCTACCGTTACCACCTTGCAACAACCTATCTTCAGTCAAAAGATCTGATGTTAATAAGAATTCTCTGTTCAGGTATCTGTCAATACCAAAAGCAAGTCTATGATTCTCTCGTCCAGATGTCACCACAATTGTTTGCGAAAATCGGAGATTCCTGTCAACATCCACCAAAGATATTGTTCCATTAATTGTCAATGAATTAGTTGGGAAATAACTTTTCATGTCATTTTTCTCGGCGAATTCAAAAGAAATCATACCCCTGTTTGTTTCGTTAACACCGTCAGGGTAACACAACAAGTCAAAATAATGAGTAAATGTTTCTGGCCCACAGTTCTCTTTCCATATTTCACTTGAATCCATCTGCCTGAGTCTAATAAATCCTCCACAAGTTAAGGGTTCGTTTAGTTTTGAAACAGGAATCTCATAATGAATAACCCATTCACAGTAGCAATTATAATAGTCTAAATCATTATATGATAAGGATTTAGACCGGTTCGAAAGTTTAAGAAGATCCATTATAACTATTGCCATTTCTGGACGCACCATTTTAAGTATCTTCCAATTTGGTAGTTCTCTGATTTCCAGAAAATTTTCTTCCATGTACTTGATTACTGCTTCTCTCAATTCAAAATCTTTTTGATTTTCTGCTAGGTCTACCATGTTGAATATATTATTTTTGATGCTATGATTTTGTCCCGACGCAATCATGCATTTTGCAAGATTTGTCAGCTCTTTCCTTATTTCTAGACATTTCGCTTTAAATTCCAATAACTGTGACTCACTTATTTCAGAGAAATGCTCCAACATATACCTGATGACGGCTTCTTTCAAATCAAAATCTCTTTGCTTTACAGCAAAAGATAAGATAACAGTGACAAAATAAATCTGTAGTTTAGACGTCAACATGACTTTTGCATGATCTCTTAGTTCTTTCACTAGTCCCGGACGTTCTTTTTCGAACATTTTTCCTACAAATCTGAAACCTAGATAATATTTCACTAAGTAGTCAAAAATGGATGCTCTCAAATCAAAATCTCCTTGCCTTTCTGCCAAAGACAGCATATTACACATATGGAATATATTCATTTTACGAAAACCTTCTGAATCGAGCATCTGCTTTGCATGATCTGTTAATTCTTTTGCTATTTCTGGCAGTTCCTTCTCGAGAATGTTCCAACTGAAATCAGCTTCTACTTCTCGAAAATGTGTTATCATATACCTTGCAGCGTCTTGTCTCAAATCAAAATCGTCAAGCATTTCTGCTAAAATGAACAAATAGCATACTATGTTACATCCAAGAAGTCGATGCGTCAACAACTCTCTGCACCTCTGCTCCATAACTGAGACCAAACTTGGAGCCAAAAAATCTTCAGTTACACTAAAAGGATCCCGGATCAATTTTTCAACAATTATTTGCAAATTATCCCTATGGAATACCGTGTCTAGAAACGTATAACAAACTATATCAGTTAGAAATTCAATCCCGTTATTAGATAATTCCCTTTTCTCCATAAATTGGTGCATTTTTTGAAAATATGGCGAATCATTTCCCCATATTTTCATAAGTGTTTTAAAACGTTTAGGAATGTCAACTTCTTCCAGTCCACCTTGCAACATTTGAAAATAACCATCTAATGGTTCGTGGTTAATTGAAGCTGTGCCTTTCGGTAAGAGTTCAAGGAAAATAAACGTTACTTCACACCGCAAAATCAGCTTGCTATGGTCATTCAAGAGTTCATTTTCATTGTAAATATCGGACGCAAGTAAGAGTTTTCTGTCACAGTATCTATCAATACCAAAAGAAATTATGCTTTCGTCACGCTTTACTTTAGCTACAAACGATTTTGGAAATTTGTATTTTCCTTCTTTGTCCACCAGAGAGATCTCTCCATTGATTGTTTGCATGCGAGCGTATGCATTAGATATGAAACTAATTCTTAAATCATTTTTCTGAAAAAATCGAAAAGAAATCATACCTTTATTTTCCGTATTATTTCCATCAGGATAACACAACAGGTCAAAATAATGCGAAAATCCTTTGGGCTCAAAGGTGTGTTTTCCAATTTTTATTTCATTCTTACTCGGGTATTCGAGACGAATATTGCTTCCGCAGGGTGAGGGTACATTTAGATGTGAAACTGGAAGCTCATAGAGTATAACCCATTCGCTATAGCTGCAAAAATATGCATATTCTAAATCTGAGTTTTCGTCGTTGCTTTCTTCCATCATTCTCAACAAAGAATATATATTTTCTTAATAAAAATGTGACATAGAAAAGGTAGAAGTACTTCACAAAACGTTCTGAAAGTCTCTTATCGAATTATTTGTTATCTTTCTGTAAATTTATCTTTTTAATTCAATTCTAGATAAATGAAGCAGGCAAGTGATAATACATTTTATTTATGGATATCTTTGATGATATGTTTATGATATCAAAAAAGAAAAAAAATCACAGGAGGTTAGACATTCATGTACAGTGAGCAAACAATGAACGAAACACTTAGAATATATTGATCTAATGATCGAATTTCCGCGTACTATGACACAATCTAAATGGCTTAAATATCTTAGTTAGAGCAGACAATATTTTAAGTTACGAAATCAGACATATAAACTTATTTTTTCTAAAGAAACATGCCTTTTTTCGACGGATAATGATTCCCGATCCCAAATATTTCGGGAGCAGCCGCAATCTGGGGTATATCATCTCAATAGTTTTTTAGTTAATGAGCGGTCGAAAGCTTTGATCACTTAATGCTAATTTAAATTTTCGCATAATACACCATGTTTCGAGACCATTTTAAGCGAATTAAGAACATTTTTGCACACAATTATAAAATTTGTTTTTTTTAAAGGTAATACGAAAAATATTTTATTATTCTTTTATATAATAAAAGTCGGAAATTTTTTGAATTGTAAGGTATACAGGATTTTACTCCATTTTATATGCAATTTTATAATAATGAAATACAAAATTCTAGTGAGATCAGTCGAATAGTTTTCCAGAAATTAAATTTTAAATATCTGATTCTTTTTTGATTTTTTTAATGAATTTCTCGCAAACTATTCACACGAATTCATGAAAAATTAGTATTTCGCGTCATAAAATTACATTCTTTAAAAACAGCTTGTTTCAAATAAGAATGGTATTTAAGTGTAATATATTCTAATATAATTGCAATTTAAATTATAATTACCATTTAAATTATAATTACAATTAAAATTATAATTACAATTTAAATTATAATTACAATTTAAGTTATAATTACAATTTAAATTATAATTACAATTTAAATTACAATTACAATTTAAGTTATAATTACAATTTAAATTATAATTACAATTTAAATTATAATTAAAATTTAAATTATAATTACAATTATAATTATAAAAATTTTATTATAATTATAATAATAATAATTTAAATTATAATTATAATAATTAAATAATAATAATTAAATAATAAAACAATTAATAAAAAATAATTAATAAAAAATAATTAATAATTTATTATTTAATTAAATAATAATTAAATAATAATAATTAAATAATAAAATAATTAATAAAAAATAATTAATAATTTATTATTTAATTAAATAATAATTAAATAATAAAATAAATTATAATTATTATAATTTAAAAGTTATAATTTATAGCTAATGATTATAATTTATTTATAATTGCAATATTGAATTATAATTTTCGCAGCTCCTTTCCCCAGATCATTTATGTCGATCATCTAGAGGTGAATGTGATATTCCCGAATTTTGCGATGGTAAAATAGGACAGGTAAGTTAAAATTCAATTTCTATTAAATACATTAAGAGCGGGGCAAATATTAAGAATTTATTGATACTACTACTATTATTATTCATGATTTGTTATTCTTTTTTTTTTAAATTATAAATTTGGGCAAATATTAAGTAGACGACTCGGGGATGCGATTATTTGTGCAACTTAAAGGTTTATCGATGGAAAAAAAATCGTTGTAAATTGTGCACTTAACCTAGACTCAAAAAAATAATCATGACACTGGAAAGGTTCATTGCTTATTTATTTTATTCATTTATTTTTATTTCTGATAACAAGTTAGTTAGGATCTAAAATTGACGGCAATATTTTTATGTAATTCTTAAACTACTTTTATCTTCATGAAATCTTTAGTGTAAAGAGATATCCTACGAATATATTTTAAAATAGAGCGATAGTACCTCAAAATACAGCATTTATTACATCTTGTAAGTACTTTTTATTATAATACTTCAATATATAAAAATCTTTTTCGTTAACTTTGCTTATTGGTTATCATGTCTTAAATATGAATATATAAAAACGTCACTCCTCACTTTATGTGAAACATGCAGAAGCTTTAGTAGGATTCAAATTGTTTTCAAAACTATTAGAGCANATCTTTTTATGATTGCCCATGAAACCAATTTAAACACTTCATTTGTAATCACGCTCTATACTAGAATCTGAAACCATTAAAAACGAAAGATAAAGTTTTAAAGTTTATAATTTCTTCATATGTATATATATATGAAGAACTCAATGTGTGTAATAACTCAATGTGTAATATATGAGTGTGTAATATATGAGGAACTCAATGTGTAATATGGAAAATTTCAGAGGAGGACTGGTGGTATATTTTTTTAATATGTGCATCTATTAAAATTACATTAATACTTGATTTCACTGACTGCAGTTGGAAATTGGAAATTGTTCTTTAATTTCTAACATTTAAAACGTTTGACTTCGATCGCGTTAATTAGAAAATAGGAATGAAATAAATTTTCTGAAGAAAAAAAATGGTGTCATTCGAGACATGTAAGTAGCTTAAATTTATTTTATAAAATCGTATTACAGGAAAACTAAATTAATTACCAAAAACGAAGCAAAACTTCAAGAAACTAAAATCATTATCCTCCTCGAAGCTCCAACAAAATCGCCGGAAATATGTATTAGCAAAAAAGTGTAATGAATATTTAAGTGGCTTAAATCTAAAAATACATTAAAGATAAAAATACGAGTTTAATTAGCTGTTTTAAAATCTTGTCTTACAGATCCTTTATGAATAAATAATAATCTTATCTTTGTTTGGAATATCTTATAAATCAAAACGAAGTGAACTTATTTTAAAACTAATATGTTTATTTTAATTAATAGAATATTAGTTCAAAGGACTTTATGGTTTTTAATAATATCTGTTTTAATGCTGTTCGAATTATCCAATTCATGAAATTCAGTTTAAAAAAGCTTGAAATAAATAGAGGAAAGCTATTAAAATTTTACATTAATTCAGAGTATTAAACGTATTTCTTTATAATATTTTTGAAAAACGTCAATTGGGAAAGAAAGTAATTTGCATATAGAGTCATTATTTTAAAACAACAGACCTACATTAGAACTTTAATATAGTAAAATATACTGTAAAATAATATTTATAGAGTCGACCAAACAATTTTCAAAAACAGAAAATCTTTTATGTATATAATTGGGAGGGGAAAACTAAACAAATTTTCTTTCGACAACTACATTCCTACCTGGAGAAAAAATAATGGTAAAATTACCGTATTGTATGGTAAAGACATTCCTGATTCGAAAACAAACATAATTTTGGAAATAAAACTATAATTTACGGTATTTAAACCATTCTTATGGTAAGTTTCCGCTCACGTGGGAACTGCTTACGGGAAATTCTGGTTTTCAGAATTATTATTCCATTACTATAGATGGAATCAAATATACAATTTTGTGATGAGTAAAAAAAACTTTTTTTTTTATTTATCCTATGGCAATTAGAGATCTTTTTACACAAATAACCTGGAATCTTAGGAAGGTTATGAATATTTTACATGCAGACTGTAATGCAAAGCATACATAGAGAAAAAAATTCCAGTAAAATTACTATACCGTGTGCAAAGACAGGGAAATAAATTATAATTCTGGTAATAAAACCAAAATATACTCTATTTAAGCCATTCATATGGTATTATGGTTACCGTTTCCATTAATGCGGTATTTTATTATTATAAATAATTATTATATAATTATTTATAATAATATATTAATAAAGTAATAATAATAATTATATATTTGTTTAGATTTTTATTAAATTAATTACAAAAGTATTTCAAACAAAATATAATAATAGATTTTTTTAATTTTATTTCCGTCATTGAGCAGAAATGTAATTATTTTTAGAAATTATAACATCATTCCATTTTATATTTTATTTTATTTTATAACCATCGTTGAACAGCTGATCTAATTTTAGGATTACGCCTATTAATGTTCAATTCCGTAGCCTTGTGATTTTGAACCCAATCTAGAAGACAAGGAAACTCTTGGATCAAGTATTGGGAAAAATTAGTTCAACGTGGAGGAAGTTTTGATAGAACTAACATAATACTTTACACGGAGATCAAAGTCACGAAAGCCTCCCACGGTTAGTCCGACGGCAAGGGGACTCTAATCCATTATGCGTCTACCACTAAGGATATTTTATACCAGCACTGCGGCCGGTGCGAGCCGGTTACGGAATTCGTTTCGTCCAGCCATCACTAGGACTCGATCCCGGTCCACCTCATTACAATGCGAAAGCTCCATCTCCTCAGCAACCACGGCTCAATTTCTTTCAATTAACATAAATCTGCTTTCAGAGAATGTACGCTGAGCGAAAAAAAAAACTATAATTATTTGACTTTATTATGGTTTTTTTAAATAAACGTCTTCTTCATGTGGTCATATTACATTTCATCGAAAAAAGTCATTATTAATTAATCGACTATCTTTAATTGTTTCAAAATACAAATTATAAATGTTATAATTTTCTTAACTTTAATTCTTTACCTCAAGACATGTCAGGGGCTAATTTTTTTCACACCATCCCAAATTTCATTAATAAAATAGGAAAATAAAAAAAATTTTGAAAAAACTTTTATTTGATGTGCATTGCGCCAAGTAAATTAATTTAAAAATTCATCTACATAATAGAAACAACGTGTTTGCTTAAAAATTTTATTCTAGAACAACGTTAGTTATATTAAATAAACTATTTATTTTTTAACGTATCCATACAGTTTTAGCGTGAATAAATAGATGAATATGTTGTTTTCAAAATAAATAACAAATGAACTAACAAATGTAATTATTTTACTGCTTTTCAAATAAACTTGAACAGTTTTTTTCAAAATGAAAAACTCTGAAATGATATTTATTTCAACAATATTTATAGTAACAGCACGTTCGCTTTAATTATTTGTCTTTGTTCACTTCAAATGTATAGTGAGCAAGAAGAGAAAAAAGAATATCACACTGAATAACTTTTATTTCAATGATCGGATTATTTACATGAAATTACCATTAGATGAACAGATTTTATAATTATGTTCAAAAAGTGTTTGGTTTGCTTAAAAACTTCTTGAAATTTATAAAAAGTAAAATTGGAATTAGCAAGACCAAACTTTTGACGGCTTTTTTGACTAAACTGCTACGGAACCATATTTGTCAGATTGCAGCTACCTACATATTTTGATAGTCAAAAAACAAAATCTCTCGGGGAAAAAAAGGATCCTTATAAAAAAGTGTTTTTGTATTTAGTTCCGTAGTTTAGTTAATAGTTAGAACGAATTAATTAGTATATCTGAGATCAAAAGTTGCTTAGACTGGTATCTTTTTTTATTCATCACTGTGCGGATACTTTCAATGAACTGATGAAAGATGATTGCGCATAATCTTTTTATGATTGCCCATGAAACCAATTTAAACACTTCATTTGTAATCACGCTCTATACTAGAATCTGAAACCATTAAAAACGAAAGATAAAGTTTTAAAGTTTATAATTTTAGTTTTTGATTCACAAAAGTATATATTAAATGTTATTTGGAAGAAAAGAAAGATTCACATTTTAAGCAATCTTTTGCGGAGGATACGGACATTCTGACCAGGTAAACATTTTAATACAAGACGTTTTTTTGAAAATGAGAAAATTTTATTTCGAAATTAATATTTTTTTTCTTTTACAGCGACAAAAATTTCAAAAACCTTCGGATTAAAATTTGCCCTATAATAAGATAAACTAATCTGTAAATAGTATATTTGAAGATAGATTCAGTATTTTCCAGAAAAAGGTAAACAAAATTTAGCTATTTTAACATGCACTGGTATAAAACATTCATATCTCCTTACAGTATTATAAAGAGATCTTTCTCTTAAACTTTTCGATTTTTTTAGTGCATTTGAAAAAAATAATATAAATAATTAACTAATTTTCGATCTCTTACAACCCAAGTAATGGTATATAAATTACGCATTAAACATTAAAAGTCACCCCCGCTTCAAGAAAAAAAAATCTTATGAATTGATAATGGTTTTGTTAACTAAACATTCGTGATTTAATACAACTAACTTTTGTACATTTTTGCAGTGCCCAGAAGATTTGTTTAAAAGAAATGGAGCTGTCTGCTCTTCCGGACTTGGATATTGTTTTGAAGGATTATGTCCTGTTTTAAGAAACCAGTGTCAAGACATCTGGGGTGGAGGTAGTTAATTTATTTTTACAAAGTATCTTAAATTTTTTTCTTTCTTAATCCTGGAAAACTAATCTTATAACAGCGTTACTTTGTATTTTATATCAACTTACTTAACTTAAAAAGTGCGGAGTTAAAAACCTGTATTATGACTTTGTTTAACAAATTAGCCAAATCAAAGCGAAAGCAAAAGCAAATGTACACATAAAGAGTTGTAAATTAAACTTTTGTGGTAGTTAGTCTACTCTCGGTCATCATAGCTCTTTTACCATTTCATTTGCATGTCTATTCTCAGTCAACAAAGCTGTTTTACAATGTTATTCTTACGTCTACTTTCAGTTACTAAAGGCCTTTTACCATTTCATTCTTATGTCTACTATTTGTCAACAAAGCTCTTTTATTTAAAATTTTATTCTTACGTCTACTTTCAGTTACCAAAGGTCTTTTACAATTTCATTCTTATGTCTACTATTTGTCAACAAAGCTCTTTTATTTAAAATTTTATTCTTACGTCTACTTTCAGTTACCAAAGGCCTTTTACCATTTCATTCTTATGTCTACTCTCAGTCACCAAAGCTCTTTTACAATTTCATTCTTATGTCTACTATTAGTCAACAAAGCTCCTTTATTTACAATTTTATTCTTACGTCTACTTTCAGTTACCAAAGGTCTTTTACCATTTCATTCTTATGTCTACTCTCAGTCACCAAAGTTCTTTTACAATTTCATTATTATGTCTACTATCTGTCAGCAAAGCTTTTTACCATTTCATTTGCATGTCTACTCTCAGTCAACAAAGCTCTTCTACAATTTCATTTGTATGCCTGTTCTCAGTCAACAAAGCTCTTTCACCATTTAATTTGTATGTCTACTGTCAGCATGCATAGAAAAGAATTATATATTAATCTTATGGCATTGAACAATACTGTTCACTTAAATTTACCGATCACAAAGCCTATCAATTGATAGGCTTTGGAGACGCATGTAAAATGCAAAATAATGTTGAACAAAATGTGAAGTGTAATAGCATTTTTCTTTCTTAAAAAAGAATTGTTATAATTTTTTTCATTATCCTGTATATTGTTATATTCCAGCAAAATTTAATTCGTCCATGCAAAACCCAAATACAACCGCAAAGGGTTAATTTATTAGTAAGGAGGAAGCAAAAACTTTATCGAAGTCTGTAAAATTAGTTAGGAAGGAGAATGAAAAACACAAAACCCAATTTAATTGCCTGATGTAATTTTGATTTCCTTCTAACAATTGCCCTTTATTTCTATCTTTTTTTCCTTCTAGATATCAAGCATTTTTAATGCGTTTAGTTCTGGCTTCTTTAGTAGCATTTAGTTAGATTTCGATAGCGTTTTTTTCAAATATGTATACTTCTTTCCCTTTCTAACAAAGAAAGATACTAAAAATAAAGGGTCATCATTAAAAAAAATACCAAACATTGGAAAAGTGACAAAAAAATTAAATTTGTATCCACAATGATAAATAGTTAGTTGCTTTTTGAAGGGATATCTTGATTTCGCAAAACTGATATGAAACTAGAAACTATTTAATGAATGATTGTTCGGCTGTCCAATTTTAACAAATTGTTTAAAAAAACTTAGCACCTACACATTCAAAATATCCAGTAAATTTTAGAAGATATAATACAATTGTAAACAAATAACCACTATAGCCCAATTAAATTCTGTTGTACGGTTGAAATAAGACAAAGTCTATAAAGCAAAGCAAAGAATATTTATTGGCTTCTACAATACAGAGCCCTTGCAGAATAATAAATAAATATAGAACCATTATCGGTATTAATTTTAGAAACTCATTTGGCCAAAATCTAAATTTCCTCAGAGGTACTTTCGTCAAGTTAAATTCATGCTAGTAATAACATCCTTTCCCCTATTCAAGCACTCTATACCAGACCAGCCTTGAGGCTGGTCTGGTTTAGAGTGATCAGTACTGAGTGATTAGTACTGATCAGTAGATATTAATCCTAGTTAGACCATTCTGAATCAAACACCGACTTTTCATTCTTCTAGTACTTAAGCTGTTCTGAGCAATGATATCGCCGACACTCTGGCGAAGGAGGGGACAGAAGAAACTTTGATGAGTTCAAATTCACTCACCTTCATGGAACTGGCATCGAAAAAGAAAAAAAGATGACAATGTTTCCTGGCTCGTACCCCCCAAACATCACTAGTACCAGATCACCCGTCCAGGAGGTGCACTCAACATTCGGTGCAACCACAAGGACCAGACGGCGCTTAGCAGGCTTACCAGCGGCCATCTTAAGTCTCTTTCTTTCGAGGGTAGTGTTAAAATCTTTCCAAACTGCCCCAGGTGCCACAACATGCAGACTGTCCTGGACTGTCTTGGGCTGGACAAGAGGGACATTCTAAATAATCCACTTTTGGTGGCCGACTTCCTCCGGGTCATGAATTTCATGGACATTGTTTAGCCCTGCTAATTTTGGGGATAAGGAAGAAGATAAGAAGAAGTGCTTATGCTAGCTTTTCCTGGATGTGGAAGGGGAACCCGCAAAAAAAAAACTTTAAGAAAAAAGAAAGAAAGAAAACAGTACTTATCAGGAAAAGAGCCCAGACTAAACGACAAAGCCCTCTGGTGAGCATCAAGAAAAATTCCATGGTCACACAGGAGGTAGTAGATTGGTCAAAACCTTTAGAAAACCAGTGACCGCTCTCACTCGGTGTTTGAACCCACTATCAAAACTCTTGCACACACACAAAAAAGAAATATATGCATAGGTGTGCAATTACTTATTGGTAGATAATATGCATCTTGTAGCTCTTTCAAATAATTAGATGGAAATCAGATCATTGAACTAGAAATCAGTTACGATGTATTATATCATTGCTTTGTTGGATCTAGATATTACATGAATTGTATAATGCATAAGAACTATTTTAAAGAGTTTTTTATTTTTGTCCGTTTAGATTCTAAGTTTGCGAGTCGATCTTGTTTCGAACGTCTCAACATTTTGGGAACACCGAACGGTAACTGTGGGTTCGACGACAAAAGTGAAATTCAAAAATGTGCTATAGAGTAAGTATACTATTATCTAAACAAATTTAAATATTATGTGTTCTTCATGTCCTTTCTAAATAATGCAGTCAAATAAAAGTTTGAGATAGATCATCAAAGTAACAAGCCAAGAGTTTTGGCAAAAGAGGAAGAAATGAAAGAGGAGAAAGAGAAGAGGAAGATATGAGTGGGGTAAAAGAGGGGATAAACTTTTAAATCATGATATTGAGGACAAATTGTTCAGTTATATAATATATATATAACAAAATAAATTATATAATTTCTGAGCTCAAATCTGCTGCAGTTCATAAGATATTAATGGTATTACGTAATTCTGGAGAGTTTAAAATTTGCTTTAGATATTTACAGATGTCTTGTTAAAAAAAGTGACATGATTGCTAGATTTAAAAAGATTTCGCTTTTTGGCAGCTCTGATTTGGCCACTTTTTTACTTATTTATTACTGTTCTTGTTGCAAACCGTGCACCATCATACGTTAGTGTTAGCATATTGTTCGAACAGCGACATTAAGTTCATTTTACAAATTATCATTTAGGTTTAAATTTAGAAGTTGGTATATTGTTGACAAGGTAAGAAGTGTTTTATAATAATTCTTTTTTTTCTTCAAATGACGATTCTTACGTTTTGAAATGACAGTGTGTCATTAAATGACGATTCTTTTTTTAGACACCAATAATAAATCTGGTAGAAAATACACGTATACAAGAAATACTACTTAGGTCAGTCTTAAAACACAATCCTCACGTTGTGTGAGCCAAATGGTTCCAAAATGCACTGACAGCAGTAACCGGAAGTTAAGGCTGTAAAGAGTTTGCAGTGCCCCTACTGTAGAAGACACTGTCCATAATCCATTATAAGAATTAAAAGTGATATGGAATAAAGATTAATCACTGTTACGAGTAATAAATTTGCAAACCTAAGTTCTTATTTAAATAGTGGGGTGACTCCTCTCTTCTGTTAAGATACAGTCTGACAAGTGTATTGTTTTTCGATATTTTTTGAATCGTAGTACTCTCTGTTGGGGACAGAAATAAGCTGGGGTTTTACTAGTTTTACACTTTTCGTAAATAAAATAGGCGCCTTAAGTTTATACGACACGACTGTCCCACTCTCACTCACTCCGTTACAATGGTTTAAGTCACATTTGACTTTTCCCACGCAAGTACGTTTCATTAGGATAGTTTGTAATGTCTGTTCTATTTATGACGAGCATAGTATAAGATAGTTGCAATAACGAAATTTGGTGCGGGTGGAATTGTATGGTTTAATTTACAAATTGAAGATTGTGATGAAAGCAGGAGAATGAAAATGACAATTGAAGATGAAAAACTGGATAGTAATTATAATAAAAATCTTATTCAGTAATATTTGTAGAGCTCGAAATACAAAATTATATTTTTATCCATAGGACTTTTAAGTTGCATAAATTTTGCATAATAATATTAACAAGGACAGGCCATGGGAGACAAATACTACATGACTTGCCTAATCAAAAGCCAAATTAAAAGTATTTGTTCCCAACGGACACAGGAAAAGCACGGATAGGAGATCCAAAATTGGCGAATTATCAAAATGTAACATAGCCAAAACAAAGCCAACCCAGCATTATCAATATTGGGTTTGAAAATACTTTGGCGATCACGAGTCGCCAACAAACTGTTGATATTATAATAACCCTGTAACTGAAACATATTTGAGGTAAGAAATTAATAATAAAGAGTTATAAATAGATTTTTGTTTTTGATTAGGCGCTGCAGTGAATTAATGAGTCTGCATTAGTATTGAAATAAAAAGTTAGCTGCTGCATTGATCAATAAGAAAAGAATAAAATATTTTATGTTCGCTTTAAATAAAAATAAACTAACTGATTTAATTTAAATATAATAATATTTAATTTAAATATAATAATATTAAATAAACAATAAACATTTAATTTATGATCAAAAAGCAAAGATAGTTTTCTTTTTAATCTCCTTGAAGAAAAGAAAAATTGAATCGATTATAAATTAACGATTTTCCAAGCTTTTTGAAAACAATCNACTCATCATAGTGTAAACAAAGGAAGTATTTACAAATAATAAAGAACTAACGCTGTATACAAAAAATGTGAACATAGAAACCATGAATCGACGAGTTTCGGAAAAACGCCTTCGTAGTACGGCAACCTTAAAAATGGACCGATTTATTTTATTTCGGGTGTGGGAAATTAGTGTGGCGAATACTTGGCGAGAGTGGAAAATACAGCGATATTTTGCTTCGTGATTATATTTTGGGGGATGGAGGGTGTTTTCCTGTCGATTTCTACTTTGGTTGTGTTTATTACCAATATTGAAAAATCAAAAAAATTTGCATAACTTTTTATGGGAAAATGGAAAACTGAAATATTTTATAGTTGAACACAAACAGCGGGCGCACCTAAACCGATCGACGGGCGCCATAGTGCCCGCGGGCATAGGGTTGGGGACCCCTGGTCTACGGCAAGAACTCCATCCGCCACAAAGTCTGATCCCTGCTATGGAAAAAAGGATAGCGCATTTCAGAGAGGGAAGCTTCTCTTCACTCTAGAACGAACACAACAGACCGAAGAAAACGATTCCCTTTCTCTCACCGACCCGAGCAAAAACCTATCCAAAACAATGATCCCACACCACTACTTGAAATGGTTATACCTCGTTACCATAGTCACCGCCATGGGTCCAGATGGGGAGTTCTTACTTTAGACAAGCTATACTAGTTTTACCCACTTTGTAAATGAAATAGGCACCTTAAGTTTTTACGGCTTTCCCGCATGGAGATAAATCCCCCATGACCAGCCTAAACAAAAACAAAATTAATAGTGATTGAATTGGTCCCAATTATTGGCGATATGTTTAAAAATAAAATAGCCAAAAATAAAGCCAATCCATCGCAATCAATATTAAATTTAAACTAATTTGTTTATAGCTAAACGCCGAAAAGGATCGTGTGAATTAGTATAACCTTTTAAGTGAAACATTTTTGTGGGGTAAAAGAAATAAAGAATAAAGAGTTAAAAATAGATTTCAATGTTCGATTAGTTGCGACTCTGAATTAACGAGTTTTACATTAGAATTAAAATAAAAAGTTAGCCGTACATTGTTAGTAAAATAATAAGATATTTATATTAGCTTTTTATAAAATGTCATAAAAATTAAATATTTGGATTAATTTAATTAAAATTCAATTTAGAATGATTAAAAAAATTAATCTTATGAAATTAAAGAAATTTTAAAAGCTACAAGATATGTAATACCTATTATGGCATCAGCAAAAGTAATGACTGGTAGGAATATTAAAGTGTTACTAACCCCATTATCTTCAATAAGTGTAGCTGGATCGACTGTTATTCAAATAACGCATACAAATATTTCTATTTTATTTTAAATAGGAATGTCTATTGTGGGGCTCTACAATGCAGCGAAGGTGAAAAGGCTCCAGTATCTAGCGAAACTCTACCAATCAACTTTGTAGTGTATAAAATGAATGCTGATGGAGCAATTCATGAATGCAAGTGAGAAATTTGTATACTAATTTTTCATTTCAAATTTACCTATTGTAAGTCATGACGTCACAATTTTTCAGAATAAAGGATAAAATATTTTTGTCTCTTTTCGTTTGCGTCGCAGCAGCGCTACACGAATAGGCAGTAAGCTACTGTCAGGTATTCCTCCTTATTGATGATTTGGTAACATTACTGACGCATGCACGCACTACACTACCACAACTTATATCGGAGGGCAGATCACCAAGCCTCCGCACCACGCTTCACAACCGTTACTGGCTCAAAAATCATTAGGGACATTACAGTAGAGTGGATTCCAAACTACTAATATACGAAAGAGAAAAGAAAATGCTATTAGATCAATCTTTACTACGGGGAATCGAACGCCGAAGTCCTGGCAGGCGAGGATTATATCCACCATACTCACTAGGCCATGGGAAAAAACTTCCTTATTAACGAATGCTTGGGACTTGTTGTTGCTAAAATATAAATAAATGAATTTTTTAATATTATACTTGGGAGCACAAATTTTTTGTTTCATTAATACAAATTCTATATCTTCGCTACTTCGGGTGTGGTTTTTCAAATCTGAAATTAGTTTTGCTTCTGAAGCTACAAAAATTTATTTAAAATGACATTTTTAGTCATTTTTTTGTCGAAATTTATAACTTTAAAAACTCTAAATATAACAGAGGGTTGAGTTACGGAAAATTTCTAGAGGATGTGGGGAGCATCATCAGGATAAAAATTACATAAGAAACACACTCGGAAATATCGTCATACACTGTGCGCTTCCCTATTATGAAGCACACGAAGAAAGGGTTCATAAAAGGGCAACTTCCCTATTTTGAAGCACACGAAGAAAGGATTCATAATAGGGAAGTTTTCCTATTATGAAGCACTCGTTCAGGAAGTACACGAAGAAAGGGTTCGTAATAGGGCAGCTTCCCTATTTTGAAGCACACGAAGAAAGGGTTCATAATAGGGCAGCTTCCCTATTTTGAAGCACACGAAGAAAGGATTCATAATAGGGAAGTTTCCCTATTATGAAGCACACGTTCAGGAAGCACACGAAGAAAGGGTTCATAATAGGGAAGTTTCCCTATTATGAAGCACTTGTTCAGGAGGCACACGAAGAAAGGGTTCGTAATAGGGAAGTTTACCTATTATGAAGCACTCATTCAGGAAGCACACGAAGTAAGGGTTCATAATAGGGAATGCTTTCTAAGCTGCGTATGACGGTATTTCCGGGTGAGGATTCCTAAGCAATTTTAATTCTGATGATGTATCCTAACTTCCGTAGAAGTTTGTTGCGACATTTAAGTGATCCCCTGTTATATATAACGCCTTTAAACTTGTATATTTCGATCAAAAATATAATAAAGATGCCATTTAAGAAAAGAAGATGTAACTTGTATATAGAGAAACGGATAGTAGATTTGAAATCAGCATTACGAAAGTATCTAAGATCTATTAAATATCTCATGAAAAGCAGGGAGGAAAAAAAAATTGTGCCAGAAAGTAATTTGAGTCTATGAATCGCTCTTATTCCTCCAAATAATTGTTCTGAATACTTATAGTCTGTGAAATTTATGTAAAGTAATCTGAATAGCATAAAAATATTTATGGTATCTTGTTAAAAAAAAAACAATATTAAGCTAGATTCTCATATAAAGCAAGTGAGCTCAAAAACGAATGACAGAGCGAATCAGTTTCGATACTAGTTCATAATGAATATTTGATATCTCCAGAAAATTCTTAGGGTGATTATTTTTTTTAATTTGCTTTCATGTCATTAATTCGATTGAAAATAGAGAGGACCTAGATATTTTTTAATGTTTGATGGTAAAATTTCCAACTGTAGCGCATTATCAATAAAAGTTTAGATTTATATTTTAAGCGTAACTTTATCTACGAATAAAAAGACGCAGAACAGTTTCTACCTGTTCTGCCAAAACTTCTTGTTACACACATTTCATGTATTAAGAAGCTGACCGGCCTGCGTAGGGGGCAGGGAACTGTCTTTGCATCAGAAAGGTCCTGGGTTCGAATCCCGGGCAAGGCACGGATGTTTCCTTCTCTCTGTGTGTGTTCTATGTCTTTTGTGTGTGAATGTGTGTGAATGTGACCCACCCTATAAGCGGGTTGTGTGAATGGCGTGGCAGAAGTCGAATTCCTGGCCATAGATGGCGCCACTGAAAAACAGGAACAATCGCACCCCCACTGCCTAAACAGGCATACGACAAATAAAAATGCATTAAGAAATTTTTTTAAAAACAAAACATTGGTATTCACATCAGAGTTATGATTTAAATTATGCTTTATTTCAACGAGTGTTGCACTTTTTAATTTTCAGAGCTTTGACACTCTCATTGTTTGATAAGAAGCATGGGATAATAAAAGAAGGCACAAAATGTGGATATAAAAAAGTAAAAACTTTCATTACAATTTTTGTTTTGTTTTTATATGACTGTCTAATGTATTTAGTTTGTTATAATTTCTAGCTTTGCTTGAATCACACTTGCACAAAAATCAGAGACATTGTACATGGCAAATGCCCTCATGAAGACATACAGAATACATGTTCAAGTCATGGAGTGAGTATAGCTTAAAATAAATAAATAAATTTAATTCTTAGTCATTTCTATTGAAATCTAATCTAAAGTATTAACATGTACTTTTTTAATACACAAAAACGAAAGAAAGAAACATGCACAGTGCAAACAAAAGAACGAATGAAAAAAACAAACCCACCTACATTTAGTAATTTTAGATCTAATGATCTTCACCAACTAAGACCCAATCTTAATGGTTTGAAAAGGTGATCTCAAATATCCTAATTAATTAATGCAGACTACATTTTAAGTTAAGAAATCAGACACGAAAGCGTACCTTCTTAGAATAAACTTTTTTTCTTCGATGAATTTGGATTTCTGACTCTCAAAATATAGGGGTAGCCCCGATCTCAGTATTCCAATAATTTGGTCAAGAGAGCAGTCTAAATTTTGCACCCCTTATTGTTGCGTATTGCGTATTTCTCCAAATCGTTTATCTAAAGATGCAAAACATAATTTTTATTAATTATTTATTATTATTTTATCGAGAATTTTTTAAGCGAAACAAAACGTTTCTGCATACAATTAGGTATATTATTCGTTTATCCAAAGATGAAAAACATAATTTTTAATAATTATTTATTATTATTATTTTATTTGAAAAGTAGGCGAAAACCTTTTGAATTGTGAGGTATATAAATTTTTACATCATTTTAAAGAATACAATTTCATAAGTCAAATTAAAAATTTTTTAATGAAATCGATCAAATAGTTCCCGAGAAATCAAATTTTAAATATATTACTTCCTTAAAATTCGACTTATCAAGAACTATTCGATTGATTTCGTTCAAATTTTGTATTTTGTTTCATGAAATTACATTCTTTAAAATGATGTAAAAATTTATAACTAATATAATATAATATAAAATAAACGAAATATATAATAAAATAAATAATATAATGCAAAATAAATAAAATATATAATAAAATAAATAAAGTATATAATAAAATAAATAATATAATATAAAATAAATAATATAATAATTAAAAATACTAAGAGTTTATAATTTTACGAATTTCATAATTGTGTGCAAAAACTGTTTGATTACCTCTCAAAATTTTCGAGATATCGTGAAATGCGCAAAAAGTACAATTAGCATAACTTTGGACCGCTCTTCTGACTAAACTATTTTTGACCATATTTCCCAGATTGTGACTACCATTATCAGAAATCCAAATCCGTCGGGAAAAAAAGGTATGTTTATTTAGAGAAAGCTGATTTATTGAACAAACTGAAAATGGGGCAAAAGTTCTATGGTTCAGGGATGTATTTGGGTGTAAATTAAGAGTAGAAAAGCTGATTTAACAATCATTATAATAGTACTTGTAATGTGGCTTTAAACTGTTGTGCTAAGTTTATGCTATTTTTGTTTGCATACTATAACTGTCTTATCCTGATGGTTTGTAACAAAGGGCGGTTATTAAATTTTCAGGAATAATCTAATAACTTCTGAAAATACTGTGAAAGCTTTTTTTAATATGAAGTCATCTCTATTTGAATTTATGTTCTTTCGTACAGTGCACAAAATAAAAAATGGTGCTCCCTGAATAACTTTTGATCTAATGACAGGATCTTCACTTTTTACGACTTAATCTAATAAATTTCAATAAATATTCATTACATTTTATAATTTAATTAAACAATAGTCGAAAAAATTTTGAGACCGCTCTCCTGACTAAACTGTTGAGACCATATTTCCCAGAAATCCGAATCCGTCGAAAAAAAAGGTATAGTTATTCAGAGAAAGTACGTTTCTGTGCCTGATTTCGTAATTCAAAATATCGTCTGCACTAGTTGATTACTGCATTTGAGGTCACCTCTTCGAACCAACCATAAGATTGAGTTCTAGAATGTAAAGATCCGATCATTAGATAAAAAGTTATCTAGAGTGGTCCGTTTGTTTTATTGCGCACTGTGTATTTTTAGGTAAAAGTTTCAGAAACCGCATTTAAAGTCCTTGTTCGGAATTTGTTTTAATTCTATTGGTAGTTTCAATCAGAGAAATATGGTTCCAATAGTTTGGTCAGGAGAGTGGTCCAAAATTTTGATCTCTTAATGTTAATTTTACTTTATACTATACTATGCGTATTTCGCGATACATCTCGAGAACTTTTTCAAGAAATTGAAAAACACAAATTATAAAATTCGCTTACTGAAAGGTAATTAATTCTATACAAAATATAACTTTTAGTAAATATTTATTTTTTATTATTTAATTCAATGATAGTCGGAAAAAAATCTGAATTATAAGAAATAAAAAAAAATTTTTTGCACGATTTTAAAAATTATAATTTTACATGAAAAAATACACATTTTGAGAGAAATATTGGCCGAATAGTTCTAGAGGAATCGAATTTTAAGAAGCTTGCTTAAAATTCTATTTCCCTGGAACTATTTGATTGATTTCAATCAAATTTTGTATTTTGCCATGTAAAATTACATTCTTGAAAATGGTGTAAAAATTGTATACCTTACAATTGAAAAATTTTTCGACTACAAAATAAATTTAAAAAAATATATTTACTATAAGTTATTTGGGGGGGGGGTCATAAATCCGAATCCATCAGAGAAAAGGTATGTTTATTTAGAGAAAGAACATTTTTGTCTTATTTCGTAACTTAAAAAATATCGTCTGCACTAATTAATTAATTAGCATATTTGAGGTCACCCCTTCGAACTATTAAACTTGAGTTCTAGAATGTGACGATCCGATCATTAGAAAAAACTATTTAGGGTAGTCCGTTTATTTATTAATTGTTTTTTTCTTTACCCACAGTATTTGAATGTAAAAATTCCAGAAACCACTTCTGAAGTCCTTGTTCGGAATTTTGTCGGTTTTTCTTTTTTCACTTATACATTTTTAAATCTTTCATGGAGAGTGGGATAAGAACTGTTCTATTTACTTTTAATAATAACAAAAATCACTAAAATTATAATAGTTTTTAGCTCTCAAATAACGCAGTTTTTAATGAATCAGTTCTTATTTTGAAAAATGCAAAGATAAAGCCAGCCGTTTCATTCCTGAAATGTTAACCACGACCACAATTCCTTTGGATTTTATTAACTAAATTCTTTTAATAAAATTTCCCGCCTCAAAAAGGGTTAAGTAAAATTTTCGTATTTGGAAACTGTCTAAATAATTATTAGGTGGACCGGAAAATAATGTCGTTTCGGTGCATTTGATATTTGTTATTAAGATTTTCTTTTTAATGAATAATGTATTCACCCTCGTTAGCAATCACCTTTCAATACCGGATCGAAAAAAATTAATGGGTTTTTAAGATTAACGAATCTTTAATGTGCCGAAATGTCATTACTTTCCGGTCCACCTAATAATTCACCAACTCTCCTGACAAATATTTTTACTTTTTATTTAAAAAACTGAAAATTTTGTTAACTGAAATAGGTTTAAAGATTTTGGACCTAACATCAGAATTAAAGAACATTCGATAAGAGGAATTTAAAAGTTGTCCTTCGAAACATATAAAATGTATACATAATTCCGAGAGTTATTAGTTCTGAAAATTAACAGCCATATCTTGTATAATCAAGTTGCCGACTAGCCTGTGTAGGGGTCAGGGAACTATAGCCTTGCATTAGAAAGGTTCTGGATTCGGGCAAGGCATGAATGTTCTTTCCTTCTCTGTACTATCTGTCCTTATTGTGGGAGCAACTTTGGCCCACCTAATATTGTTTCCATGAAAAAGTGGCCAACATATCTGCCTTTCAGATGCCTTTATAACGAAAGGTCATTCTCCAGGTGGGCATTGGAATTTTTTTATTTTATTATCAAGTTTCAAACAGTATGATATTCATTATGAATGTAGCAGACTGTAAAAGGAGAACCTCATTGGTTCAATTGTTTGAGTTTTTAATTTCAGGTTTGCACCAATAAAAACACTTGTGTTTGTGAAGAGGGTTGGAAAGGGGATGATTGTGGCATTGTTGATGAGGAATGGAAACTTGGAAAAGGAAGTGCTGGTTATCATGATTCATCAGAAGATTCCAACATCAGTCCACATTTAGGTAGGTTTGAGGGTTCGTAAAACCCTTAGGATAATTAATATTTAGCATACCACTTCTCCGCAGAATTCAGCCTTTTTCCGTCTTAATCTATCAAAAACTTAACAATTCTTAAATTATTATGATTCATCAGAAGATTCCAACATCAGTCCACATTTAGGTAGGTTTAAGGGTTCGTAAAGCCCTTAGAAAAATTAATGTTTAGCATACCACTTTTTTGCAGAATTCAGCTTTTTTCCGTCTTAATCTATCAAAAACTTAACAATTCTTAAATTATTATGATGCATCAGAAGATTCCAACATGATTCATCAGAAGATTATCATGATTCATCAGAAGATTCCAACATCAGTCCACATTTAGATAGGTCTAAAGCAAGGTTCGCAAAGTCCTTAGAAAAATTAATTCCACAAATTATACAAACGTGATAGGATCTTAACTATTTCATCAAATATACAGTCTTAATTTTAATTCTTCAGATAGGCTCTTAGAAGTAAGAAATCATTAGAATGGATTAGCAATGGCATTTTGAAACAACTAACAGAAGAATCCTCGATTTCACGAATTTTTCGATGTCTCGAAGAAAAAGAAAAAAAATTCCTTTCAAATTTCCTATACACTCAATGGTAAAAAAAACTTGATTTCTCGAATTTTTTTTCTAATCCCTCGATAACTCGAATTTTTTTTTTCTCCATAAATAGAGTAAATTTTTTTTCTGAAAATAAAAAAAATATTCAAAAAATATTTTTTTTTTTTTTTAAGAATTGAAAATCAATTTTTATAATCATAACCAATTCTCAAACAAGCACTTTCTGCAGTGGACACTGTAAGGAGATTTATTGAGAGGCAGCCGAATATGTCAGAGGAGACATTTAAAGCTATAGTTCACTTAGAAAGTGTTATAGACAAACTTTCTTACACATCTCTAAAGCAAACAACAAGTGAATCTTAAGTGTAAAAAGTGTTTTTAGAATAAATATGGAATAGTAAATAAGGTATGCAAAGAGCATTTTTCTTTATTCTACCATCGATAACATGCGATTTTCGATAATTCGAATTTTTGGTATCGAATTTTTTCTCCTCACCTTACAAGTTCGAGATATCGAGGTCTGACTGTATATACATTGCAGAAGTTACTTCTTATTTTAGCTTTTACTTTAAAGGTAAAAATTCTATGTTTGAGATTTCGCGACTAGACAACATTTATTTTAAAATATTAAACATATTTATAAATACAAACTTTTTAAAATTCCTTTTTTTTTATTTAAATTTTTCTAACACTCTTTAACTTATATAAGGAGTGCACAAACCCTAGCGTAAAGTCATACCTTTTATTCTTCCATTTTTTACTCAGTAAAGATATTTTTCAAACATTAACATTCAATAAAATTTCAAGCAATGTAAATTAAATCATTGAATAAAAAATAAATTCTTAAACATAGCGGTATTTGTTTTAAAATTTTTTTTAGGAAACACAGAGTTGAAACTTAGTCCAAAACTGGCCTTTACTGTCCTGGTCTCCTCTGTGATTGTAGGTTTGACGCTGGTGATAATTGTTCTGTTATTCCTTTTTTACAGGTAAATATTACTTTTCTTTCACATGCATATTTCTTCTTATATTTGAATAAAATATATTTTATTCAAATAATAAAAATAATTATTTATACAAATATTTATTTAATTTATAATATTTATTATCGTAAATAAATTAAACAAAAGACCCTTACTCAATTGTGTTAATGTAAAGAGAAATATATATTTCATTATGAATAATTTAAAATAAAAGTTATGCTACTCGTAATTGAAATTCAAAATCATAAGATTTAATTTTAGATTCTATTAAAATAAATCAATTATATAAAGTAAATGACATAGGGTAAACTGTAATGACTGCCCTTAATATATATTTTTAAAATTCTTGTATAAATAAAGTAAAAAATATACACCTTTGCTGTCGCAAATAAATATAAGTGAAAAAAATATATTTTCAAATTTAGGTGAATCACCAATGAAGTAAGAAACAACGAAGGCGGATTTAAAATCATAAAAAAAAATTTATTCGTCAAGTGAGACAAAGATGGCCCTCTTTTTTACTTACTATCATATTTCAGCTCCATTTTAAAATAAATTGAATTCAGAAGCTTTTATTCTCCGCTTTGCTTTCATAATCTCAACAATAATTGGTCTGAGTTTAAAAAGTTTTTTTTCATTCACTTACATATTAAACCGTGACAGCTAATTGAGTATACTTTTATTACTCCATTTTTTCAAGAACTTAATAAATATATATTAAGGAAAGTCATTACAGATCATCCTGAATAAATGGCAAAAATAAATTACATTGATTATGTCTAAAGTTCAGGATAGTCAAGGGTCAAATATTGATGACTTACTTAGATTTAATCAAAAACTTCAATTTGATTAGTACTAATGCAATAAAATAAATTTTAAAAAAAAGAGCCTGATTATGTTTAGACATAATGACCAGATTTTCATTTACTAATTTGAAATTTTAATGGTCAAGGATGTGTTATTACTGTTAAATATTAAGTTACAAAATAAACAAAAAAATGTACATCATAAATGATAGAGTCCTTTAAATTTATTATCCAATTAAATTTATTATATTATTTGCAAAACATAAGAATGTTTTTAAATTAAACAAAAAATTACGTATGTTATGTTTTATTAATTTAATTTTAAAAAAAAGAAAACAATTATTAATAAGATAATTTTAAATACATTTGCAGCATTATCAAATGGTGAAATATCATTTAATAAATGTTATACACATTAAAAAAATGATAATGAAATGATTAATAGTATAATGGCATATAAAATCCATAATTAAATTAATTAAATCAGTGAAGGAAAAATTCAAAATTAGTAAGAGTTAAAAATATTCATAAAATCAATTTTAATGTTAAATAAATATTCCCAAGAAGCTAAAGCGGTAAGATATTTTGCACTTTTAAAAACTTCATTCATTTCTTCAAATTCACGACTGGCAAGTCTCATAAAATCTGCATGTATTTTTGAGTACTTGAAACAGTTATTTTCTTGTCCCCAGTTATTTTGTTTGTGTATTTTTGAAGCAAATGAAGCTCTTAATCAAGGATCAATTTTAATGGATTAAACATATCTCAGAGTTAAGTAATTAAAAATTTAAATAAAAAATGCAAATACTAATTCAATAAATGTGCCATTTTTTAAATACCAAATTAAGTATAAATGTCTTCACTAAAACTAAATTAATTCGTAGTAACTTAAAAAAGGGCAATTTTTTCTAAAAATTTTGATAATTTTATTAGAAATTCTTAGTACAATATTTTTTAAATCATTTTTTAGCACTATGAAATATTAAAATGCCATCAATACGCAAGCAATTTTGAAATTATAAAAAAGTGTTTTTTTCTTCTTCTTTTAAATGATAATACAACAACTAAATGCATAATAGCATAAAAAGATTTAATTCAATAAATTAAATCAGTAAAATAAAGTCGTAATTAATAATTGTTAAAAATATTTACAAATATCACATATTTTTAAGGATTAGGAAAGATAAGAAAAATAAACAGTCCTCTACATTGAGTCATTGTTTGTGATAATCTAAATATTTTCTACAGATTATAAATTCTCACACAGATTAAACAATATGAATAAGATAAGATGTATGATGTCATCAATTTATTCCTACATGGAAAAATACTTTTTGTTTTTTCTAGATAAAAATGTTATTCACTCAAATTTCAGATAAATTTTTGAAAGAAAATAATGAAAAAAAACTATCTAATATCAAAGATAAATCAAACAACAATGTAATAAAAAGAATAGTTGCACTTTTTCTAGCAAGTTGTAAAGTTATCAATAAACTTTTAATTTCTCATTCTTCTCAAGAAGAAATAAAGAATGGGTTTTGACGTTGCATTATTTAGATTTCTATGTTTTTTTAGAAATCTCTCATAAATATTCTACTGCATTAGTTTCAGAAATAAAAAATAAATTCTCAATTTTTCTCATACAGATTTGTGTTGAAGTAAGACTAATACTGTTCTTAACATTTAAAGTGAAACAATTGAAAATAATTTTAATTTAAACAAGGACGAATTTTTTTTTATTATTATACTGATATAACTTTTTCATTTCGAACTGAGCTTAGAATTTAACCTATATGTTTCTTTTCAACATATTATGCAAAATCACATGTTATAAAGATTTTTTTCTCTCTAAGATACTTAAGCCAGAGGATGTGTATAAAAATAAAGTATAGATCGATAGTACTTTTTTCATGTTTTTAATTTATAAAGGGTGGGGAACAGCAAACACAAACTAATAATTCTGTGTAAAACTAATAATGTTTAACTCCGTCGCCCTGTAATTTTGAACCCAACCCAGAAGACAAGGGAGCTCCTGGATTAAGCATTGGGACAAACTATAATTTGTAAAGGACTTTTTGATAGAACTAACACATATTTCTGTTACATGGAGTGGAAAAGCATGAAAACCTCCCATGGTTAATGCTACGGAAAGGGGATTCTAACATATGATCTGCCTACCAATAAGGATATTTTACATCAGCACTATGGTCGAATACAGCCTAGTGCAAATATTGTATCAACAAGCTGTGGCTGTAATTCGAACCTGCATCATCTCATTGGTAAGCAAACGCTTTATGCCCTGAGCCACCACGCCATCCTGTTTTGTATTTTGTCAAAATTCATGTTTTATTCCTTATTTTTATAATTATCAAGAAACAAAATTTCACCATAGTGAAATGACTTAAATTACTTTAAGCCTTTGTAAAAGATACAATAAGGTGATTTTTTCATTATGAATAGTGACTTTAAATGCATATAATTTTAGATAACAAAACAACGGCAAACAGTTCCAATAATTTCAGTTAAAGTAACTCTTTGTTTTATTTATACTTGCTCCCATTTTTAGTAACTTTCATTAATTTATGTTTTTTAAAAAGTAAAAAACTGAAATGTTACAGAGGAAGCATAATGTGTAACATTTGTAACAGCTAATTTATGACTTTTTCTTATCTGTTAGTGTCATGGTGTAAAATAGATGTTAAATTATCTGTGCATGATTAAATAAACTTAACTTTCCTTTTTAATCAAGCGTATTAGTTCATAAAAATGCATTTTATTTTTAGAAATCCAGAGCCTCCAAAGAAGGTTAAAAAGTCAGAGCGTGGAAAAAGAGGCCATTAAACAAGCCAAACAACAAAATGGCTCAATTCACAAAAATGTCATATTTTTTTATATCACTTTATATATTTATAGAAAATAAAGTTTTACATAATTTTTTTTAACTTACTTTGGACATTGTGTACATTTTAATATCACATTCAGTAATGAACTAGTGAGCTACAATAATTACAAAAGCTTATTTCCACTTTTATTTGAATAATATTGAAATAATTAAAATTACACACATTATTGAAACAAGAAAAATTAAAAATGCAAAGTCTAAAAATATATAATTTTATTGCATGAAATATGTTATGTACAAATATAAACAAAAATAATAAATAAAATATAAATAACTATAAGGCTGTAAATGACATTAAAAATAAATATTTTTAAGATCATAAACCATTGAATACATTATAAAGGGTACGATGTAATATGAAGGGTTCTTTATCACAGACACTACTCCAATCGTCTGAGTTCAAGTTATAAGTCATGGCACCACCATAGCCTTCGGATATAATCCATTTCGCCTACAGTTAAAAGAAATAAAAATTAAAATTTTAGCAAAAGATAAACCTGACCTTAGTATTATATAAGTGTTTTGGTTTCAAACTCAATCTCTTTTTAAAGTTTCACATATAGAAAGGAAAAAAAATCCAACCATACAATCAATTTCGGTCAAGGTTTTTTATGTTTTATAAACTAACCAAAAATTTATAGACATTTCAAGATAGTTTTTTTTTATTAAACATAGTTTAATTTTTGTTTAATTTAAATAGAAGTTTTTATATTTTCTTTCCCAAAATTAAAAAAAAAAAGAAGAAAAAGCAAGGAATAGTCTTTTTGTGTTGCTAAACTGAAAAGAGAAATATACAAAAAAATAAATAAACAAATAAAGCAAAGCATTCCCACAACACCAGGTCTTTGTAAGCCAGAGGGAACTTGGAGTTTAAGGATTTACAATGTCACGACCAATGGCATGATTGTGTCATGTCAGCATCGTACACAAGCCGGTTTATATTCGAAGTGTATTAAATTAAATATTAAAAGTGTATAATATCAGTGCATCAAATTAAAATAAAAGGATATTGTATCATAATTTAAATTTTGTTTTAATAAGAAAAAACTTCCAGTTTGTAAAAAATGAAATGTGAGTAATTGAATAAAAATAATAGTTTTGCAAACATAGCATAATACAATATATTCTTGATTTTCCAATACTTGAATAAATATTTTATAAAACTTTATTGAAATAATATTAAAGTTCCAATTATTAATAAAAGCATTATTAAAAACAGTCTTAGAAAGATTTTTTTATTATTATAATGTATATGAGATAGTGGACGGCCAGTGACGGCAGAACATTTGGACGAGTGTGAAGTACTGACAGATTTTTCTTGCATATTTCAACGCTATTGGCAAGCAAGAAGTTTAATGGCCTAACGGCTAATGTAACTGGCATTTGACAAATAAATTATTATAAAATGTTATAAAATATGCCTTATAGCATATTTTTTTAACCAGACAAGCACATAAAAAAAACTTCATTCAATACTGGGACCAATTTATTGAATTGCTTGATTTTATGGTTTTAATAAATTTTTAACTGGACAAGTTTTCATTAAGTTTTTCCTTAATACACAAATTTCACATTGAATAATAAAAAGGGAAACTGATTTCCGTAGAAAATCAACAGATCAAAATATCTTTAGCCATCGCCAGGAGGTTAAAATAGCAAAACTGACAAAATTTTGTTCTATAAATATTTCTTGTTTGTTTTATTTTTAGTGATGCAAAAAATAGGAAGAAATGTAAAAATTCTATGAAAAAAACTTACAACTTTTATTTTCGTGTAATTAACATGCAACATTTCAACAAAGAGTGAATGATAAAAATATAATATAAATTGCAATTAATAAATTGTAATCAATAAAAATTGTAATTCATATAAATTGGAATTGATATTATTCTTTTCTCATCTTTAAAGTGTTGGTAGAAATTTGTAGTTATATATTTAAACAGTTACATAAATATTAAAATTTAATATTTACATATTTTGTACATAAATTTTACTAGGTTAGTATTATTTAGGTTAAAAAATCATTAACATACCTTTCCATAAATACTGGTAGTATCTTCATAAGATATCCAGTCATAACCAGAATACAAATATGGTACTAGGCTCTCATTGTCAAAAACACGGTGTGCCCCATTCGATAAATAAGTGCAAACCTAAAATATGAATTGAACTATTTTCAGGAGATGAAAAAAATTATTATCTCTGTATAACATAAAAATATAAGAATTTAACAATATTTTTCACTAATGCCGGTTCATTTTTATTCCCCGGGAAATAACATGGTAGGTTCCAGTTTCCCCATATTAACTTTTATACTATTTCAGTAGTCATCAGTATAAATTAATAAAAGTTATAAAGGTCTCATTTTCCAGTAAATATTTTTGTAACCCTAATTTAAAGGTTTTTACCTGTACTGTTACTTTGTTTTTGAGTTCAATTATTTTCAAAATTAAGAGTTTAAAACTACGAAAACGATTTTTGTTCATTTATTTATTCTTATTTTTAAAGTAATTCTATGCTACATTTAAATCTGTGTAGAAACTTATTAACTAAATATATCAACTATATTATAATTCACTTTAAAATTATTATTTTTTGGTGAGAATAACATTAATATACTAATTTGATTTATAATTAAAAAGTTTCATTAATTAAGTTAGCACTTAACGATCAGCTTCATGCACAGTGTAATTATCACAATCAACAATTTTCTACTGTACATATCTCCGTAAAAGCCTATTTAGACGAAGGTATCTTTGTACTAACGTTAGCAAATTTAGTACTTATTAAAAAATACCAATCAACAAAATAGCAGTAATAGCCATTACAAAGATTAAAAAGTAAATTAATATTTTATTAAATTTTTTTTTAAGTAAATTAATCTTTTATTTAATCTTTTTCTCAATAAACATAATCAATAATCATTAATCTTTGATTTTTAAGAGGAATTTGAGTACTTTCATACAAATGATTAAAATATTTACTTAAAATCCAAGAACCCTTACAAGATTGTTGCACTGTTTTGGCTTTTTAAAATGGCTGTGTTTAACTTTTTGCATCTGAGTCATTTTAAATTCTTAAGTTAAGAAAAGAGACTTTAGCTATTTTTAAAATAGTATATATAGTATAATAAATAGCTATTTTTAGCTAAATCATGGATTTTTTATTCTGCTTGGTGAGTTATTTTCTAGCCTCGAATTATCACACTAATAATCATTAGAATCTACATTCTAAGGGGTTTCTTTTTCAGTTGCACATCCCGCTACTATAAATTTGCTTCTAATAATTTTATTTCGATGAGATAATCTTCTTATTAGCACCATGAGCTCTGCACTATGATTTCAAAAACAAGAAATTAATCCTGTCTCATCTAATATTATTTTACCTGTAAATTATTATTTTCTGGGAAAATCATCTACTTATGCCCTCATTTATCTTGGACTATAAAGATAATTGTAACTTGCCATAAATTAAATTACTGCCTTCAATTCTGAATTGACATCATTTTCAATAAAAGTAATTGCTATAGAAATATGTTCTTTCAACAAAGTTTAACAAACATTTATTTTTTCATCAATCTTCATGATAATCACAAGCAAGAAAAATTAAGCTTAATAGTTCTTGGATTATTAAAATCATTTTTTAAGACATTCAACTGCAATATATTTATTTATACTAGCAATAATCCAAAGTATAAGAATATGCTGCCAATGAATGCAAAACTATATCATGTTTACCTGAGGAAATGTCACATCACCAAATGAGGCAACAGCTGGAGCATCAACACCATTTATATCAGGATTCACAAGAGTATAAGAATGGCCATATGTTGGTATACCCACCATTATTTTGGACTTGGGCATCCCAAGTTGATGCCAATACGCAGCTGCCCATGCCTGAAAAAAAGTTTAAAAAATTTAGAAGCTATTTCAAAGTTGCATAATTTAATATTTACAATGCATTATTCATAATAAATCTACTAAAAACTACCACAGTCGTACCTCAATTCATCATACCTGCATCTTTTTTTCTTTTTCTTTGTGTTGTCATTTATTAATAATCCTGTCATAAATGCTAGTCTTAATGTAAAGTTATAATGCTAGTTGTAATGTAAATAATATCCACTTTTGAAAAAGGCAGATTTCTAAAACGATCATTCATAAAATATAATAAATATTTAAAAAAAACAAAAACAATTTAAGTTATTTCGTTTTGTTTAAGTTATTCGTTAATGCAGTGTTTTGTTTTCATTAAGTTATTTCGTTAATGCAGCATAAGTAAATAGGTAATGCAAAATCAACTATAATTACTATAGTAATTATAATTGTCCGACATTTTAAAAAAATAAATTATTTCAAACAAATCATGAATAGTTTTAAATAAAATTCCTAATTTATAAAAGATTTAGTACAATTTAAAAAAAAAACATAAAAATAATAACATTATTAAAATTGATAATATTTTATTTATTTACAGAATAAAAACCCTTAAGAGAAAGTAAAATTAATATAACATATTTTACTTAATAGTCCGTAATAAAATTCATATAACCACATGTATGTTAATTTTGAATAATAAAATATAAAATATTAAAAAGTCAATAAAGACCAATTTTTTCAATTAAAAGTTAGATTTTTTAATATAAACCAAATAGCCTGGCCCTTTTCAGAAAAGACCAGCATTCTTGTAAACCTGATAGACTGTAAGAGTAAAGAGAAAAATCCTGTGAATTTTTTTTTCAAAAAAAAAAAAAAAAAAAAAAAAAAAAACAGATCTATTTTTTACAGCGTTAAAATAAATGAACTTACTGTATTGAGAGTAGCAAAATATGCTTTCTCAGTGGTTCTGTTGAAAAGAGGACTGTTGTGCCCAGTAAAGGGAGTATACCAAAAAAAGTCATGAAAATCATAACTCATTAGATTTATGAAATCAATATATCTGAAACAATAAAAAGAGTGTTGGTTACATGAAAATAGTTAACCATATAGTTTATAAAGAACTATGAAGTTTTATAAAGAACTATGCTACATCAGAATAAAAAGAAAAAAGACATATTTTAAAGTATCTTAACTCTTAAATGCAGATCTTGAACTCAAAATACAATCTTTTGACACTGGTAGTAAAGTAGAGAGTACATAGGAACTAGACAATTTTTTAGAAACACATTTAGGTTTAAGAACTTTCATGATGATATTTAAAAATTAAAAGTAAACAAGTCTGGCAATTTTATGAAAAAATTGCAGTCTGTTTTTAAGTATATTATAAAGTATATTTTTAAAGATTAATAAATATTGTTAATTGATTACTCAAATAAATCATAGAAGTTATAAAATTGTAATTATTTTTAAGTTAATGTAACAAGCAGTAATATCAACAACATAGGGTGTTTGTTAATCATAAGTCTGTAACTTTTCTATTTTAATGCAACTTTCCTATTTCAAAATAGAAAAATAAAATATTTTCATTAAAGTTCAATTTTCGATGTCTTTAATTTTTGAGAGAATAATTGCTGATTTAGGGGTTGCTGAGGTAGTAGGGAGAAGCTGATTTTAGGGGTTAATAAAAATTGTAAATTACTAAATTAATTCATAGAAGTTATTAAATTATAATTGTTTTTAAGCTCACACAACAGCAAATATTATTAGCAACTAAAGGTGTTTATTTATTAATTAAAAAAAAGTTACTTTAATACTTCAAGGAAGAAAACAAAATGTTTTAATTTAAGTCCAGTTTTCCATTTCTTCTTTCCTTAAAACTATAAATCCAACATAATCATTTTAAAGTAAATAGAACTTTTTCAATCGAAATAAAATTTCAATAAAAAGTTTTCATTAAAAATATTTTCCGTAATTTCTATTAATAAAACTACATTTAAAAAGTTATCATACCCATTTTTTTATCTTCAGGTTTCATTATCATGTTTAAATTTTATATAATAGAAAATAACATGACTGAAAAACACTGACTTACAATTATTTTTTTTTTTTTAAAACAAAGAATGCTTGTATTCAAAATATGTAATTTCTATTAATAAAACTACATTTCAAAAGTTATACCGTTTCCTTTTATCTTCAGGTTTCATAATCATGTTTCATTGTATAATAGAAAATAATATGACTGAAAAACACTGATTTACATTTAATTTTTTTTAAAACAAAGAATGTTTGTATTTAAAATCTGTAATTTCTATTAATAAAACTACATTTCAAAAGTTATACCGTTTCTTTTTATCTTCAGGTTTCATAATCATGTTTCATTGTTTATATAATAGAAAATAACATGACTGATAAACACTGATTTACATTTAATTATTTTTTAAACAAAGAATGCTTGTATTTAAAATATGTCATTTCTATTAATAAAACTACATTTCAAAAATTATCATACCATTTTTTTTAATTTTCAGGTTTCATTTTTTATATAATAGAAAATAATAAGACGGAAAAACACTGATTTATATTTAATTTTTTTTTTTAAACAAAGAATGCTTGCAATTAAAATATGTAATTTTTATTAATAAAACTACATTTCAAAAGTTATCATAAAATTTTTTTTATCTTCAGGTTTCATTATCATGTTTCATTTTTTATAAAATAGAAAATAATATGACTGAAAAACACTGACTTATATAAAAGTATTTTTTAAAAACAAAAGAATGCTTGCATTTAAAATATGTAATTTCTATTAATAAAACTACATTTGAAAAGTTATCATACCATTTTTTTATTATCAGGTCTCATTATTTATTTAATAGAAAATAATATGACTGAAAAATACTGATTTACATGCAATTTTTTTTTTAAAATAAATAATGTTTGTATTTTAAATAACCGTATATTTGATACTCAAGCAATCACTAAATTTATCAAATAACAGAATATGTGATTGGCAAATTAAAAATAACCAATGGTTAATTGGTACATATTATTTAAACATTTTAATCAACAACACCATGCAAATATTATTTGGTATATTGTTTGAAATAAGCAACAAAAAACAAAAAATAATTAAAGTTTAAATTAAAGAATAGTCATGTAAAGCTTTAAAGGAAAAATTTGTCATTTTTTTAAGAATATATTTTGCAGAACAGTAAAAGGCACCAGTTTATTTACCAATTGAAAATAAATCACAAAATATTTACTTAGCCATTTGAGGAACATCATATGATGAATCAACAATATTTTGTGGAGCAGCTACAGCAACACTTAACAGAGATCGATTTTTACCTATAGCTTCAGCATAAAATTTTGCAATTGTGGCATATTCCTAAATATAAAGCAAAGTTTTAATACATGAAAAACTAATAAAAAAAAAACAATATAAAAGGTTACAAAAATTTACATCTCAGTGCTTTTTTTAAGGAACCTGTTGGGAACCCTAAATTCAGTCCAACTTTGGTATATATTCTATTATATTTGTAAACTTTATGAACATACGAGTTTCAATTCTTATTTTGGATTCTACTTGATCGACAGCAACATCTAGATCAAGTCCTAACTAACCTACAAGTCCTAGCAAAAACTGTAACTAACAGATCCATTTTAACATTCCACCAATCAGTCCATTCATTCCACCTATATATCCATTTTATCATTCTACATAACAGATCCACCTATCAATAAATATATTACCTTTAAGAAATTAGCGAAATTTTCCTTGTCTTCTTTGGTGTTGTCATTCCAAACTGGAAACTCCCAATCAATATCCAATCCATCAAAATTGTATTTATACAAAGTAACTAAAGTTGTAATAATAAATCTGAAATAATAAAAAATAATACTTTTAATAATTTACACATATTAAAAAGAAATATTGGGTTACTACAAATGAAATGTTAGATGGGAAGTAATGCAAGATACTTCAAGGTAAACATAGAATTCAAGGTAAACATAGAATAAAAGGTTAACCTAGAATAAAAGGTTAACATAGAATAAAAGGTTAACGTAGAATAAAAGGTTAACATAGAATAAAAGGTAAACATAGAATAAAAGGTAAACATAATTAACCACAAAATTATCGTATCATACATCATTGTTTCTCGATCATTGATCCATAGATTAATATTTGCATTAGAATTGAAATAAAAATTTATATTTAAAATAAGTTAAGGCTCAAAATATTTTAAATTGAGAAAGAGTTCAGTAGCAGAAATCCTCCAGAACAGCAGCAGATACTGTTGTGCTTAAATGCCACAATTTTGCAAGAGTAAAAATTATGATAATAATCTAATTACTAACTTCATCAGTCTGTGATAAAACACTGAAATATTTTGCTGGTTCGAGTAAATGGGATTTCAAAACACTGTCTGATATGTGTAAAGCATAAGTCTTACATTTAATTTGTTTGAGTGTAAGATGATAGTCATGCTGAAATATGCATAACATATTTCAATAACATTTAAAACCAAATTATTATCTTATTTAATCCTTTTTCAATAAATAAAAATTATTAATATAATCTGAAAATTTTTTAGACCACAACCTTGAATTGAGTGCAGAATAAAATCTATTTTCAGAGAATCCATCTGCTTAACACATTAGTGTAGAATTCAAAAATCATTATAATTCTCTATAATTTCCCATGCTTTCTTCTCCGCCAAAACACTTGAATGCTTAAGGCTAAGAAAAGGAGCCTTGGCCTTAAATTCAATCAATTAATAGCCAATAAATAGATTCTTAAACTTTCCTTGGTGAAAACTATGCTAACGTACACAAGACACTTGCAATTTCTTGATTTCTTGGTAAATGGAATTGTCCTGCGGGACTTAGCCCTGCAGCTCCATCCCCTGAACATTTTTTAAATTCATTAATATATATGTACATAAAAATGAACCATTTTTCTGCTTTGGAGCTCCATATGATTCGATATTCCTGAAATAAAATATCTTTACTATTTATCAAATTTAATTCATCATTAAAGCAGTTTCTATTGTTTAACATCTACATCATACTGGAATAACATATGGACAATTTTAAATACACCAATCAAATTCTTTCTTCTTCAACTAATAGTAAATACATCAACTACTTCAGCAAACCAAAATATTCCTGGATAATGATCTTAAATAAAATATAGAAAAATAAAAATTGAAGATGATTCTTATTTAATAATTTAAGCTTTCAGTTGCAGATATTACTTGAAAAATAAGTAAAGCATTCAAAGAAAGTACAGTCAAACAATGAACCCATCATAGTTTGTTCGGCTGCCACTCCTACCATCAATGGTCTTGTGTGTGGCCTTAGTAATAGACAAGACAAGGGGTGTATATGCACTGCAGGGAGCACACTAAATCTGACATAGCTGAAAAGTCTCTCAAGGGTGTATTGTTGATGTATGGAGAGTAGGATACCATCTCAAGCACTGTCCACATCTTCTAACCGAAATAAAAAATATTGGTGTTCTTACTATAGCTGTTAAAAAATGGAGCTCTGATATCAGAACAAAGTGCTGGTCCATGGTTGAGCATATAATGAATAAACCAAATGAAGCGTTTCTTAATAGAGTTACATATCTAAAAAATAAATTTAGCATCCACCAAAAAAATTCAATTTCTGATAATTTTAGTAACTTTCTTTTTGTACATAAAAAGTGCTAGCTGCCAGCCATCTTTATATGCAATAAAGCAGTTGAAATTATCTATAATGCATATTTTTTTTTCACAGTTCATATAATATATATTCTAAGTTTCACTGTTATCAGCCTGTTAGAAAACATTAATGCTGGTCTAACTAAACAGGACAACTTCATAACAATGCTGTATTTTACAATAGTGTGCATCAAAGTAATAAGTTTATATAATGCATTGAAAGATNAAAACAATTTTACTGAACAACATAAAAACAGTTTTAAATGATAGTTAACTTATAAGAATATTTTGCAATTTTTCCTAGCTGTATTATACTAAACCAGGGCCTTAACTAAATCAAACACCTCCTGTAATTTTTAACAAATTTGAATAATCTTTCAAAAGAAAAATTTCTATATGAAAGAATCCCCACTTCAACATGGTTCTATAGTCACCAAGTTGAATGGAAATTAGCAAGAATTGCAGTATCACAATTACACAGGTTGTGTGGCATAAGTGTCACACATAGGGCACCTGTAAAGAATTCTGAATAACCCTGTATGTACAAAATTCATTATCAAATCATCATCATCAATGGCTCGACAGCCCAGGGTGGGTCTTGGTCTTCTCAAGAAGTTTTTTCCAGACCGACCTTTTTCCTGTTAACGTTTTCCAGTTTTTAAGACCAAAAGGTCTTCTTCCAGGCCATCTATCCATCTGAAATTCGTACCACGAAAAGAGTTTTGAATGCCAGACCAGTTGGCACACGAAAAAGGGGGATGCTGAATTCATTATCAAATATGCATAGTTGCCAACTTGGATAGGAAAATATCAAGTAGATTTTGAGAAATAATCATGATTGCATAATATACTAAATATTTTACACATAGGGATTGTTACAGTCATCGAAATAGAAAAATTGCAATATTTTCCTGTTATGATTGTCATTAAACATACTTGAAATGTTATGTATTATGTTTACTCATAATTTCGAGTATTAATAGGCATTTAATTCATTAAAATATAAATAAAAGATTTTTTTAAAAAATTAATTTAAAAAGAGAGTTTTGAATAAAAATAAACTGAACATTTTAGAACAAAAAAAAGTTTTGAACTGATTTCTATAAATGAGGTTCGCTTCATTATTTATTAGTAATATTTATTTAAATACTCAAACAAGCAAACAATAATCTGAAAAAAATTCTATTTTAATAGGGATTTTTTTGGAAACTCATTCATTTTTAGGGAATTTTCTAAAATGTACAAAAACCAGGAGCATAGCTGCCAATATCGATAGGAAAAAATCCAGTAGATTTTATAAAATAATATAAATTTCATGGTAAATGTTGCATAGTGTACTAAATATTTTACACATAGGGAATTTTAGGGATTTTTATAGTCATCAAAATAGAAAAACTGCCATATTTTCCAGTAATGATTGACATTAAACATACTTAAAATTTTATGTATTATGTTTACTCATAATTCAGCATTTAATTCATCAAACATAGTTAAAAGATTTCTTTAATTCATTTAAAAAGAGAGCTCTGAATAAAAACAAACTGAACAATTTAGAACAAAAAAAAATTTGAACTGATTTCTATAAATGAGGTTAACTTCATTATTTATTAGTAATACTAATAAATTCATTATTAAATTAGTAATCAATAAATTAGTAATTCATTAATTATAATAATTCAAGCAAGCAATAATCTGTACAAAAATTATATTTCAATAGGGATTTTTTTAGGAAACCTACACAATTTTAGCGAATTTTCTAGAATGTACAAAAACCAGAAGAATTTAAAATAAACCAGTAGACCAGGAGAAACTACCAAAAATCCAGTATTCTACTGGAAAATCCAGTAGAGTTGGAAGCTATGCAGGAGAATTTTAATTAAACCAGTAGACCAGGAGAAACTTGGTAATTCAGTAGTCTACTGGAAAATCCAGTAGAGTTGCCAGCTATGAAAATGTTTTCATGAAATGAAATTCATATATCATTATCAAATATTACTTTAAAATACTAAAAATCTTTCAATGAAAACTCTAATGACAGAAATCCATTTTAAGAAATTTTTTTTTTAACCAGTAACAATGATAATCTAATAAATAATTAAAGATTTAATAATAAGAAAAATTTACCTTTAACTCCTAAGCAGCTAATAAGCAAGATAAATAAAATATGTATTAACTGGATAACCTTGGAATATATCATGACAATAAATGAGCACGCAAATCACCTAAAATATAAACAGTAAAAATAAATGTGAAATTATGTGCTTTATCACTTTTATACAAAATGATAGATAACCTATCTTTCCTTATCAAAAATTACACAACTCAAAAAAAAAAAACTTTAGTAATACTTAATTCAGATTCTAGTTTCAATTTCATTGTAATTTGATTGATTGAAAAACTTGAAGGAAAAAAACTTGCATACTATTGGATAAATAATTCAGCACACCTTTTCACATCACCTTATGTCAGATAAGGAAATATATCACTTAAAAAAACTGATAAAAGAAAGAGGAATAGTCAACAATTGTTGACCAATCACTGATTGAATAACACATAAAACTAAAAGGTATTTCCTTGTTAAAAGAGAACACATGAAGTGACTATAGATAAAAACCAATGAAATAATAAATAAAAATATCAATATAATGTATTAATTAATAAATGATTAACATTACAATACTAAAATTATTAATACAACAACAAATGTTCAACAAACTTGTTTCCATTGACATGCTACCTAATTAATACAGAACTATGTTTTAATATATAATTAACATAAAAAATTTAATTATTATAAGGGTACATATTATAATTTTTTTTTTGGGGGGGATGAACTTGAATTTTTTTCTTCACAGTGATATTATTTATTAAATTCCCTTCTTTTCCCCCCAAAATGTACTTTTTTTAATGTTATTAATTTTTCTCATACAGCTTTAGTTTCACCCAAATGAAGAACTTTAGACAGTATAGTAATAAAACATTTAAATACCCTGCTGCTTAGTGTTGTTTTGAGATAAGTACTTAAGTTACCGAAAATCCCACTAGATAAGAGCAATACATAAAAAAAAAAACACTTATTACCCATATAAAAAGTGTTGTATTTTTCATGGAATATACTCTCTTGATCAAATTGATTATCATTATATTTCCCTCAATGAAACACAATTAAAGCTATGTATGTACCTATTCCCAAATTAGAATTTAAAATTTTGATTTGCTTTCATTTTTTTTATTTTATTCAATTCTCATCAAATAAAAATGAGTCATTTTACTTTACATAGAATTCCATTATGCATATCTACTGGAATTATGTAAGTGATATAGGTAAGTGTGAGAATGAATTGGTTGATCAAAAATTTCAAATATTTTCACAAATGAGGAAAATTGAAATGATAAATGTCTGAAAAATTCCTTATAAGGTGGTAGCCATTTCAGTATCTGGAGTATATTTTGAATCCTATCTAATGTTTCAATTAAAAAATTTTGTTATAGATAGAAATCCGCGATGGAGAAACTTTTTTTTTAGGAAGAATCTACAGTGAAGTCATTTTTTAGTTATATCAAGCAACTAGACAATGATGGCTTTAGAACTTTCATAATAAAGATATAGTTTTCTGTTCTAGATATTAAATTTCACAAACATCATAGCATAATTTTATAGTTTTCAAAACATACAAATTCCAAGAACTTGTGTTAAAAATTATAAAGCTAAATCGAAAAGAAAGAAAAGTATGTTTAAAAGTATACACTACAACTCGTTTGGGGATGCTTAAATATCTTGATCTGCCACATCAACTACAATCGCTAAGACGAAAAATAGATTTTAAACTGGAAAAATTTTACAAAAAAAAAAAAAAAAACATTAAGAGGGTGGTTGCGAGTTATACCCTTCAAGTTGGCTCTTTTCTTTGATGTTTTTTTTAGTTGCAAAGACTAGGAAATTGTTCTGTTACAGATCACAATTCAAAAATATTCCCACCCGTTTACATGAGGAAAAAGGCAATATGCTCGATAAATCTGGCTTGGTCAAATTATTAAAAAAAAAATTTATGATGAACATAAGAAAAAAAGTTAATTAAAAAACATTTTTACCAGAAACTAACACAAAGACTTATGGTTAACATTAGAACCTCTAATGTTGAGCATAAGCCCCGAAGCTATAGAGATTCTTTCTCTAAGAAGAGAGAATCAGAGCTTCAGTTCTTCCAAAAATAATTAATTTCAGGAAGAGTTAACTATTTTCCTTCAGGTAGTTTTAATTAAATAATTTTCAAGAAGCTTTGGAAAAAAAAAACATTGAAATTTACATGTGCTCGTAATAAGAAGGTTTTAAATAGGCTTTTTAACATTATACTAACAATTTCTAAAACAATTTCCTCCTTGTATCTGGGATCTCGTTAAATTATGGCTCGTAAAAAGCGAGTTCGGCCATATAGACAAATAATTGGACGAGTACTTCTTTTTAGATTCTAATTATAAATGCAAAATATACATATAGACAATTGAAATTCTAGTCTTGTCGCTTAGCAAAATTTTTTAACGTTACCAGAGATTTTCCATGCGAAAATATTATTTAAATATGTTCCATTATAGCATGGAAAATGCGTCATGTTGTTGTGTTCAAATCGTCAAAACTTATATATTTATTAAATATTTATGTTTTCTTTGCGATTACATAACAATGCGACGCAATTATACGTATTTATTCGTACTTAAATTAGTTTTATGAGACGCGGGACTTCCTCCCCGCCTCCCATATTTTTTTGTTTGTAAACAATAATCTTCAGCTAGCTTATATACTTCAACTTCAATGAAACATTTAATTTTTTTCCTTAAAAAAGAAAATTTGGTTCTAAAATGATTTATAAAGCTATTTTAGATTTCTTTTGGTTCAAAAAATAGTTTCATAGAATTATTATTGTCTGAAATACATAAAATATTTACTAGATATTTAATCTTTTTTGTTAACTGGGACTGTGTTTTGACTCATTAATGAAAGCGTAAAAAGCGTTTTGTTTTTCTTCTATTGTTGAAATTAAATGTATTATCGCGGGAAAACTGCAAAACTATGTAAATAAAGTTTATGGGGATAAGTTCATAATGCGTTGTTATCTTCCGTACGCTGAAGAAGATTACTTGAAGTATATTAAACTTGTTCTTAAAAGAAACATTTTATGTGGAAAGATAGTTGTGGGGAGGCAAGTATACTATATGCAGTTGTTATGCATATGCAAATCTAGATTATAACAATATTTGTTTTTAAAAATGCATTCATCCTCTATGATATTCATCCACCAGATATAATTTACTAACTCTTATAGGTTATTCCAATATATTTTCTTTATTTTTTTTAATAGAAATCAGTGCTTATTAAAGATTAAAATGTTATTGATTAGAATTTCTCTACCAAATCCCCAAATATGCTCTTGAAAGTAAAGAAGAAAAAATATATTATTTTTCTAATATCGTTTTTTTTTTTTAATTTCTATTTAGGCAGCTAAATATGCATGACGAGAAATGTATTATTTATATTAAAGTTTCCCAAATCTATTCAAGTTTTTCCAACCTCAATTGAATTAGAATTTTCTTCAATCTGTGGTATATTATAAGTAATATTTATTATCTGAAGATATTAATTAGTATAATTTGAAAAAGTTCGTGATTAAATTTATATGTTAAAAATGCAAGCATAGTTAATGCTACTACAACTTGCATTTAACTTTCTTTGAACCACTTAAAATTAATAATAGAGAATTGCATTTAATAGTGCATTTTAAATACTTAAAAAATGTATGAAGTATAATTATCTTCCTTTCTGAGCTTGAAAAAAAAAGGAATATTTCAATATTTGTATCCTCATGATAATAGTTGCTAGATTTTGCCAACTATTTTCACGTGGTGTGTATGTAGTGGTACGTGTGAAAATAAAGTATCTCCATAAAGTATATCCAGTACTAATCTAGAAATATCTAAGCATGTTAGGGGTAGAAACTATTAAATCTTAGTCACATTTAAGACCCGTGACTTAAAGGTTTCATCAGTCCAAACTTAATTCCCACTTCATTGGTTCATTCAAATGTCCCTGTTGTTCTTACTATAGTAATTTGTAATTATTTTTCTTTAAATAAAGTATTGTTTCCAATATCTTAGGGCCAAATTTTGATTTGCTTATTAAAAACTAACATTTTGAAAAGTTAATTTTTAGAAAGAAGATTGCAGGTATTGAAACAGAATCTATGTATTAAGAAATTCTTGTCTTTGACATTATCATTTCCATTGTTTTATTATTCCATCTATTTTATTTCCTTTCTAATGAAAAGTTGGCATTTTGCCAGAAGTTTTTTTCTGAAGCAATTTATACCAAAAAAAAAAAAAATTTAATGACTTGAACATATAACAGTAATAATGAGAGCTGAAAATTTTCCTTTTCTTCTGTTTGCTTTGAAAAATCGAACCACCAGGTAATCTATTTACACAAGCTTGACCGTTATGTCAGGTAGACTACTAATTATTTCATGTAGTTTCAGTCTAGTTTGATTAATTTTGTATCAACTGACCACCTTTAGTTTTTAACCTTGCATGTGGTTAGTTTAACTAGTGAGTCTGGTTTCTTAGGGCAGGCAGGATTTGAAATTAACAGTGGTTCATTAATCTGAGAAAAAAGTTGACTCGGAACCACCATGAAATAATAATCGGTGGTTCCCTGGACTAGAATAGATGTAAAGAGCTAGTATACAATTTTAGTTGTTTGATTTTCAGGTACATGTTTTTGTTTAAGTTAGTGTTGCAAAACCAATTTCATCATTAATTTATTTTGAGCATTGCACATTTTTTCTATTATTTTTTCTCATTCAAATTCACTTAATTAACTTTTTTTAAAGAAAAAAAAAATTTCGTTGCTAACCATTGTTACAAGATTTGTACAGGACATCTGAATACACTATTTGACTAAGAAAAATTGTATAGATTAAAAATATCTGTTACTCTTTGGCACATGAACCAGTGACTAAATTTTATTAATTTCTACCTTGGTAAGTATTGTGTTTAAAAAAGAGTATAAGGCAGCAAACATATCTCTGATCAATTGACTACTAGCAATTTGTAACGTTATATATTTAATTAATTTGACCAGTGAGCCTGTTTCATTTTGTGTTATATTGTAAAAGTAATATTGGGTGTTTTGACTACTGATCTCTCTCTAAATTATTTTGATATTCACAACTTATTCATTAGAATTATCTAATTACACGTTGCGGTCTTTCATTTTGTTTTCAGCATTGTTTTTAGGCCAATATCTGTTCTTTATATGCTTATTGCTTTTACACACAAAATTAACTTTATTCATTTTTATAAACATTGGAATGACTACTACATCATAGCTCTCAATTTTGTGATACATTCTTAAGATATGTGTTCTGATATAATTATAGCTCTATTATCCTTAAGTTTTACTGTAATATTGGTATGCATACTTCGCATATTAAATAAGTTTAACGCTCTTAGAGTGTTACTTCTTATTTCATAACTTTATCTATTATTGAATTGTTTATAAAAAAAGGGGGCTTGAAATGTGTCAGCATTTTTACAATTTCAACTGTTAAGTGAAAGAAATTCTGTACATTCATTAATAATTTTGATATTTCAAGTATTTATGTCTTCTTTTTTTTAATAAAACAAAATGAAATTTTATTTTCAGGGAAGTTCCATGAGCGAGCATTGGGAGGCATCTCCTAAGGCAGCTACCAAGAAAACATCTTTAAGATCTAAAAGAAAACTTCCCTTTTCAGAAAATGTTAAGAAGTCCCTGGGTAAATAATTTTAATTATCCTTTTTGTGTTCTTATAGCAATTTTATTCACCTGTTCATAATTAATAAATTTGCATGTAACTTGAGTAGAAATTCAGATTTACGTTACAAGTTTCTATCCTATTAGCAGAATTTATTGAGACATTGTATATACTAGTACTATCTTCATAAATAGTCTGTGACCCCAATGCCGTCAAACAGAAATTTTTATTTTGAAAATTCTGCGTAATCTAACATATATGTAGTAAAATTTGCAAATTTAAGGTATTTAAAAACTTAAACATCGAAAATTTATGTTTTGATTTATTTAAAATTATTTATAATGATATTTAAGAAAGGACATAAATCTCTTTGCATTAAAAGGCAGTATATTAATTTTGAAAAAAAATTTCCTTTCATTATTTTTAATTGTGTTCTCACAATTCAGCTTAATTTTGATTAAAGAAAATTTAGAAAAGAGCCTAAATCTAGTACCTAATTTTTTCTCCTTCTGTGTTATATTATTTTTAAATCTGGCATGAAAAATATGCTGTGATTATCTCTTTAGCGCTTGTTGTCATTTGGAGGGTTTCAGCTACTATTATAACTTGATCAAAATTTTTTTATTATTTTGTGATTCACTTTAGTTGGCAGTAATAATGATTGCCTGAATTTCATGAATTCTGATGCAGGATTTATTAACTGTATATAAATTTGATATTAGATTTTAAATTTATTCAAATATGAATTACATGATTAAAAAATTTAGAATATAAAAATGTCAGTTCGGATATTTGAAGAGTAACAGTTAATCACACAATTAATCTAGATTAACTTTGTAGCATGTTATTGAGTATTTTACTATGACCTTAAATATTTGGAATGACATTTGTTTAAAAACTACCAAACCTTGATGAGCCATTTTTGATCCTTGGCAATTATTTGAAATACATGATCAAATAAAGTGGAAATATATGATTTTTGATCATGCAGATATTACTACTGCATGATCAAAAAATATTTTTTTTTTTTTTTTTTTTGTCTTTTTAAACTTATATTTGTAAAAAATTATTTTATTTTGGAATAACTAGAAAAATTGTTTTGAATATTCATATTTATTTTTAAGTTGATTTATACTGTATAACAGAATTCATAGTGCTTTTAAAAAGTGCTTATTTTTTATTTGCATTTTTTGGACGTGAAAAAGCCCTTCAAGCTGCTTTTATTCAGGGTTTCCCAAAAGTATTTAATTTTCTATATTTTAAAAAGAGATTTTTCTATGCTGTGTCGATTGTCATTCTAAATTACCCAAAAATGCACGATTTTTACAATTTTCTCTGCAATATTTATCTGAAACTAGCTATTTTATCATGATTATGTAAACTTTTGGGAAAATATTTTGGAACTTTATTGATTTTTATGTTTATAAATTAAGAATTTTAAACGATAGATAAAAATAATTTTATTACTGCACAGATCCTAATTATGATTTTTTTATTTTCGGAAAGTGATAAAAAATATTTTTTGAGTGTTTAAAAAGTGGTTATTTTTTGGTGAAAAATCTGACTACACAGCCTGTATCAAGTTGATTTATACTGTGTAATTTTTGCAAATATTATTATTAATATTGTCTTTCAATTTTAGACTCTGAAGCTCTCCGGGAAGAGATTCTTAAAGAAGTTCAACAAGTGTGTGATTCTAGCACCAGTAGCTCTAGCTCATTGACACTGAGAAGAAATACTCCTTTGTCAGAAAGACAACAGATAGCTTTGCTTTGTAAACTTAGTGTCACTGATTCACCTTCAGGTGCGTTTTAAATTGCAACACATTTTAAAAGCCTATAAAAATAATGCTGTTATTTTCAATTGATATGCTAGGAAATAAGTTGTAGAGATAATTAGTAAGTTGTGTTTGCATGTTTTACTGGTTTATGTTTTACTGGTATTAAATATACGAAAACAGTTAATTATTCAAAATTTTTATTTATTCTTGACAAAAGAAATTTCTATATATACAGGGTATCTGTGCACCTGGAAAGTCATGAATTTCAGTATTGAAGAAAATTTGTCATGTTTTTAATTATTTTTTTTAAAAAATTCATGGAAAGTCTTAAATTTTGTCGCCGAAAAATCAAATTTTTAAAATGTACCCCCCCCCCCTTTTTCATGGTGTTCCGAATACCTGAATTTGTAAAAAAATACTCACTCATAGTCATATTTTATTAAAATAAAAAATTTTTTTATCGTGTTCTTTAAAAATTATGGTGCTCTTTCAAAAATTGAAAGAAAAAACATCCTTTCTAGAGCGAATTATCTTTTAAACTTCTGTGATTTCAGAATTTTTATTATTATTTTTTATTTTATTTCATGAATTTAAAATTCTAGCTAAAGCAAACCAGTCATTGGCGAAATTTTTTTATTCCGAACTGAGAATAGAAAAATCAGGAGTGTTTCTTTCCTTTCTGATGGACAAGAAAAGTATCTTTAGAATATAATTTTGCAGAAAAAGAGGAAGAAAAAGTTTTATTTGATTTTGTAATTTTTTTCAGCTATTTTATTGCTTTAATTCTTTCTGTACTCTGTTTTTTAAATTTAAAATCTATAAATATGAAGATTCAGAATATTATAGTTTTGGGTATACCTATTATTTCAATAAATGTTATTATAATGTTTTTTTATTTTTTTTTATTGTATTTTTCTCTGAGAAAATAGTAACTTCGTTAAGTCATGAAACATTCTTGGAATTAGTCATGAAAGTCATTCATTTGAAAATCTAAAATGTTGCCGATATCCTGTATATACATGCACATTAACAAAAAAAATATTTGAGAAAGATTAATATTAATACATAAATAGGAAATTTAAGAGCTGCATTCATACAAAGTAATTATCATATTAGGTAATGTTACTAATTTCGCTCAAAATGAAATTTCATTAAAAGATTTCCTACTGTCACCGCAATCGTTTATTTTTGTTGTAAATCGATAGTAGTATCAAGTTCAGTTGTAAAAAGCTAGCTGATTGTATGGCTAACTGTGGGATTGCTAATCTTTGGGCTAAAATGGCAGTTATATCTTTTCTCTTTGGGAGTAGTGTGCATAAAATTAAACTCTAACTTTCTTCAGTCTTGCCTAAATCATGATTACAACGTCAGCTTCATATCTTCTCACCGCCCCCCCCCCTCTTTTTGAATAATTTTTAATCACCCACCTTCCCATCACAAAGTGTCACATTTTAGCAATACTCCTCTCCCTCCAGTCGCATTTTAGGTTTTTTTTTTTTTTTAAAACATAAACACATAATTATAGAGATATATAATTTTAGAGACAAAGCAATACCTTACAGATATTATTTCAAATTTTATTTTTAAATATTGATTATGTGTTTTAATGTGTAAACATAATGATAATGATTGCGTTAAAAGAAAACAAAAAATTCCTTCATTGTGGTTCAGAGGTTAAGGTTCCACAATTAAGGTATGAAATGATATTAATGTTAACAGCAAAAAATATTATTAATCTATAATAGTAAGCATTTATCTATTTAAAATAAAAGTAGAAAATAAATTATTTTTATTTGAAATTTTTTTTTACGTATGACAGTTAGTAATCTTGCAAAATTATTTCAATAATTAATATACTGCTACTAAATTAAGTTTTCAGTGATAAGAAAATCAGTTTTTTTTTTGCAAAATATAAAGCTTAATGCTTGATCATGATAGGAAGTCAAAGTTAAATTTTTCTTTTCTGTTCAGTTTATGAATGAATCTAACAACATCACCACTGGAATAGTAAATTTAAATATATAAAATAAAAATACCAACATTTAAAACCTACATATATATTATGATTTATTGGATTTCCAGGAGAATATGAATTCACATTATTGGCTTCCTCCTACCTGCTTTTTATGTTTTCAGCAATTGGGGAAAATTTTAGTTTTTAAGAAATTCACATCAATTCAATTATTCATAAACTGCTGCTCACTCTCAATAATAACAAATGATGTAAGAATTCATTTTAATAAGGTTTGCCAAGCTTTTTGATCCTCAAAAAAATTTTCTCTTTTCTTAATTTTTGAAACAAAGAGGATAAAAAATTACCTGTTTCTAGTATGATTTAGTTCATTTCGACAAAATCAAATTTATACATGAATCATTGAAAAAGATATGCTTGGCTAGATAAGCAATGTTTGGTTTAAAATGTATTAGTTTCAATCTTAAATCGCCCTGCAACTCTCATTCAATTTATTTTTCTAGCTTGTTAAAATTAAATTAATTTGACTGAAGTGTAACTTAAAATCATTGCTTGATTTTTTAAATCTTTGCGACTGAATAACATTTTTATTCATTCAGCCATGGCTGCCATTGGCTACTGAAAAGGTGGCAAAAATGACTATTTTGCAAACGATTGTGAAACATTTGTGACTTTTTTTACCAGTTTGATTCTAAAATAAAACTACTTGCAATTTTATTTCCCTCTCAGCGATATGATTAAAAATTGGTTCCATTCCATATCCTCATAATTTTTTTAAAATACCATTTTACCAATACTATTACAATGGAATGTTTCGCGCCACTAAAGTGAGCTACAGCCATCGACCACGGCAGGAAAGAACAATCTTCGAACCTATTGGAATTTTTTTTCCTACAATTCTATATTAACATAAAATGTATAGAATTTAATTTAACGTTATAAGAAGGTTTAATTTGTGTAGGATTTTTTCCCTTGTTCGTGTAGAACTTATGCTTATTTCACACGAGTGTTTTTACCCCATTTTTATTGAGGTTTCAATAGTTAATTCATTAAAAAATTGTAGTATTTATTTGCATTATAGTTCTATTTTTTTTCAACTTTCAGAATCACGACATCAACTTTTTATTTATTATTTCATTTGTTAAGTGCAAAAATTGTTCTTGTCAAATTATAGTCCAAAATATAAAAATAAAGCCAAGTTTACATTTTACTAAAAGTAAATTATCAAAATTTTCGGACCTTAAAGTAAATATATTGTTTGCAATAAAAATTAAAGGCATTTATATATTTCCTGTTATATTTTAATTAATTAGTATTTTGTATATACTTTTTCTTGCTGAATTGAATCATAAAGGGTATAAAAACAGTTAATCAAAATTGCCCTTTTTACTAGAAGTTAAACAATCATTTGCATAATGTAGATTTATATTGTAATATGTTTAAATTATCTTTACTAGTATTATCTGATGAAGATTTAATTTAATTCCTGTAACTGCCCAATGTTTCTACTCAAATCATTCAGTGTAGAAATATTATCAATACATAATTTTTTTTTTCAATCGTAATATTTTTAAACACTGCTAAGAACATAAGAAACATAACTAGTAACTAAGTTGTGAGGGTAAAGACACAGAAGTTACTTTCATATATTTTTTATGCAATGACAAAACAGTAAAAAGATGATTGATTTATAATGAAAAGATAATTTTAATACATATTCATTTTTTGTTATGTTATTTTACTTAAGCTAAATAATTAATATTTAACTTTTTGCATTTGTTTAAAATTTAATTTTTCTTAAACCTTGAATAATTTTAGCACATTTAAAGAAAAAAAATTTAATAAAAATAATGTTTTTTGATATCTCAACTTCCTGTACTTGCAATTTTTTAATTGATATAAGCTACTGAATTGATAGTCATTTTGTTTTTATCTATGACTGTTTATAAAAATATTGTTGTATTGATGTTGCGTAGTTTATAGAAACCTTACTACCACAATGGTTCCAGAATAGTTAAGTTTAAAGACTTTACTACGATAAAAATTTCTGGGTATTCTAAGTGTGTTAAAGTGAATCACAGAAAAGATGTTGACTGTGTAAGATTGAAATAATAATGATAAAAAATAGCATAAAGGTTAAGTGAAAATCCTGAAAAATTAATGGAAGTTAAAAATATTTAATATGTGATCTAATTAGAACGAAAGGGAGGGGGCACTATGCATAAATGAAACAAACTAATATTTACTGAAATATAATTATATGAAAAATAAGATTCAGTACTAAATTTGGCATTTAAATATCTGCTATATATTGTCCATATACAGTTACACTCCCCAGTTTAACAATGTCCAATATCCTCAGAAATTTAAACAGGTTAATGAAAATACCTCGTAAAGAGTTTAATTTTATGCAGGAAGGAGAACAATATGTTTTGTTTACAATTGACTAAGCTTTTAACATGAAAATATCAACGTTTAATATAAATTAGTTTAATTCATAAAAACTGTTGTGTTACACATGAAAAATTATGTTATAGTATTAATAATGTGTCATTTTAGATGAAATATTTAATATACTTGCTTTGACAGAAATCACACTGACTACATAGTTAAATTAATTGAACAGATCTTAATCTGGAAATTTTAAATGAAATGTATTCTAATTTTATTTATGCTTTTAATTGAAACATGAATTTGACTTAAAAATACCATACCAGAAAATCTCATTCTAATTGAAATATAATTTTTTCCCCTTAATGTATTGCTGTTTGTTAAGAGAAACTGAAAAATTTTCTTAATGTTCAAAATCTTAATTCAAAAGTTCTTTTCTTATGCACAAAACTATTTATCCTATTTATCTTATTTATACTATTTATCCTCTTCAAGTGAAGTGTAAAATGAATAAATAGAAAAGATTTTAAAAAAAAAAATATCATTCAGCATTATAAAAAATTAAATATCAAATAAATGCAGCATCAATAATATCGAGTGCATTTGTTTTTTTTTGTTTTTTTTTCAACTGTTGATATTTACATTTTGACTGGGATGAAAA